CAGGGAAGAAAAAAACGCAGGACTAATCAGTGGGAACAGAGTTTGAACCTAGAGCCAAAGTAGGGAATTTCCCTTGCACTGAATTGTCTTATTCCTGGTTAACATTTTAGTTTCCTTTTCAGACTTGAATGTATAACTTTTCTTTTTTAGCATTCATGCTTTCCAGATATATACATAATCCAAATTCATTCCAGTATCATTGTGATAACAACGATAAGTTTTACACTGAGTATACTGAGGCACAGAAGTTAGGTGACTTAACTAGATTAGTCAATAAATTGGGAATCATAGAGCAGAATACTATCTCAATCTAATTAAAACAAAAAGAATTGCCCCACGAAAGTCTTAAAAAGGAGAGCAATGGTGGATAACTAGCCTTTCTGGATGTCAAAATATACTGTGTGTGTGTGTATATATATATATATATATATATATACATATATATGTATAATGCTTGTGAGAATTTAATATATAATAAAGTTAGCATTTTACATCAGGGAAAACTGTGGATTATTCAATGAATGTTCTGAAACAACTGGTTAACCATGTGGAAGAAAATTAAGTTGAAGCTTTAAATTTCAGATGTATTAAGTATCTAATGTAAAGAATTAAAATATAAAAGTGTCCAAAGGAAATATTGCAGATTTTTTTTTCAAGTTTTGGGGCAGGGGAGGACTTTATAAGCATAAAACAAGACTCAGAAACCAAAAAGAAAAGAATGAAAAATTTGAGTGTACAAAAAAGTGAAATTCCATAATGGAAAAATAAAACTCAATAAAAGACAAATGACAAAAGGTTGTGTGTGGGAGGGAGCGCCTGGCTGGCTCAGTCAGAAGAGCATGCAACTCTTGATCCCAGGGTCATGAGTTTGAGACCCACACTGGGTGTAGAGATTACTTAAATGAATAAATAAATAAAAATCTTAAAAAAAAAAACCCAGTGTGTGGGAAAGAGGACATTTGTACACATTTTCTTAATGCTTGACATTATTCAAAATTACTTAAACACCCATAAAAACAACAAAATGAGACATATTTTTCACCTGCGAAGCCTGGCAAAGAGTAAAGTGTTTCATATTACATGGTGTTAGCAAGTGTTGACTCATATGTAGGTAGTAGGAGTGTAAATTGGTGCAAAGTCTTAGGACATTAATTTGGCAATACATGTCAATTTAAAATGAAGATATCCTTTGACTTAAGAGTTTCACTACATATCTACACACAACACACAGATGCAGGCATGTGCTTGTATATACGTAGATTTCTGGAATGATGAAGCACAAGTTCTTATTAGCAGTTGCCCCTGTGAAGGGTAAAGGTCTGGGGTGGTAGACAAATCTCCTTTTCATTTTATATACTTTTTTATTGTTTGAATTTTTATTAAGTACATTAGTTTTCTATTGCTGAATAACAAATTAGCACCAACTTAGTGCTTAAAACATCTGTTTCTTTATTAGCTCGCAGTTTCCATGGGTCAGGGGTCAAGTGTGACCCAACTGGATCGTCTGGCCAGGATCTCACCAGGCTGCCATCAAAGTATCAGCCAGGGCCCCAGTCTCATCTGAGGCTTGGGCTCCTTTCCAAGCCCATGGGGTAGTTGGCATTCATTGCCTTGCAGTTGAACTCATGGTGGCTTCTTCTTCATGGTCAGCAGGAGAATCTCTGATCTCCAGATCCTCTTTTAAAGAGCTCACCTGATTAGATCAGGCCAATCCAGGATAATCGCATCTTTGATTAACTTTAAGTCAACTTTAAGGACTTCAATTACCTCTGCAAAATTCCTTCATCATTGCCACATTCTATTGGTTAGAAGCAACTCACAGGTCCCGCCTGCACTCAAGACAAGGGTATTGTACAGTGGTGTGGATACCAGGGAGCCCGAGTTCCCAGGCTCTTCTTAGAATTCTGCCTGGGGCGCCTGGGTGGCTCAGTTGGTTAAGTGGCTGCCTTCGGCTCAGGTCATGATCCCAGGGTCCTGGGATCGAGCCCCGCATCGGGCTCCCTGCTCGGCGGGGAGCCTGCTTCTCCCTCTCCCTCTGCCTGCCTCTCTGCCTACTTGTTCTCTCTATCTCTGTCAAATACATAAATAAAATCTTTAAAAACAAAAAAAAGAATTCTGCCTACCACACCAATATGACCAACTATAAAACCACCATCACCACCACAATACTATCTAATACTTAAGTAGAGCTTATTTTGTAGTAGGCACTGTTTCAAACATTTTGCATATATTAGGTCAGGACAATCCTATGAAGTAGGAACTCTTCCTCCCTTTTACAGATAAGGAAACAGAGGCATAAGTTTAAATAGTTTCCCAGGGTCATAGAGCTTATAAATGTTGGCGCTAGCAATGCAAGCCAGGAGGTCTATGTCCAGGGTTCTGTGTTTCTTGCTACCCACTGCATACATCTGGCAAATACAGACAGTGATAAAAAAGAGTTCAATGTTCCAATACCTGAGGCTAAACAACAAATATGCCAACATTTGTAGCTTAAAGTACCACAGCACTTGGTTTGCTCATGAGTCTACTTTTCAGGCAGGGGATGGCTCACACCTGCTCCACTCAGCATCACCCCGAGTGGTTCGAGGCTGGAAGTTAGAATCATCTGGAGGGGCTCACTCACTCCTGTACAGGCAGTTGACTCTGGCTGTCGGCCGGGAACCTTAGTTGTTTCTTACGTGGGCCTCTCCGTGTGATGAGTTTGCCTTCCTCACAGCATGGTGGTGGGTTTCCAAGGGCGAGCGCCCCATGAGTGAGAGAGTGAGCCAGGGAGAAGCTGTATTGCCCTTTATGACCTATCTTGGAATTTATACTGGTTCACTTCTACTGCATTCGATTCATCTGAATAGTCAAAAAGTCCTACCTGTGTTGAAGGGCAGGGGAAATAGACTTCACCTCTCAGTGGTGAATGGCAAGGTTCTAGAAGAACATGAGGACCTAAAATATTGCTGTCAATCTTCCACAAAAGATTGATCAATTGAGTCCTCCATCTCAGAGCTAGTCTGTACTCAAACCATCCCAATAATTTAGCTATTCTTTTCTTCAAAAGCATCAAGAAAAAGGCCCCACAATCTTAAATAATAAAACAGTAATGTCTTTCTTTTTCCAGTTTTTATACTCCTAGATCACCTTTCCCCCTTACATTTCCCTTAGGGTGGAGAACAAATGAAATTTTAAGCTCCCATCGGGTCTTTGCTGACCTGAATAATTATGTTTTCTTTCTTTTGGCTGACATTTCAGGGAAGATGCCTGAGGTAGGACTATCTAGGACATGTCAGCTCTTATCTTCTAAGAAAATAGGGAAGGATGAAGTAAATATAACCATCCAGTCATTCATTTATTCAATAGAATGTTCGAGTTTCCTCCTTGCACTGAGCACAGCCCTAGGGAAGAGATGCAGACAATGACTCTGCCCTCAAGAAACCCATGCTGGTGGAGGAAGAGAGAAAGAGAAACAACAATTTCAATATTAATTCCTATGGTAGGGTCCATCCTTTTCTGTTCCTCAGGGTGAGTCTTTTGTTACTCTCTCAAGTGGGCCAAATCAAGACAACCACCCTTACAGATCTCCAGCTGGATCTTTGTCTTGTCTGGGACTGATGCTTCCCAGCACCCGAGCCCTTAAAAAGGTGGCTGCCATTGCATTCAAATTAGTAAGGAAGATCCTAAACTGTGTGCCAAGGCACCCTGGGGTGCTGGGATGAACTCTTAGGGGTGTTGTGGGATATTCTAAATTATTGAGGGAAACAACAGATGTCTGTTGGACACCACCCAACTACTACTATTAAGTCATTTGGATCAAACTAAATAACCAGAGCTACTTGGTATTTCTTTTGGCCTAGTGGTATGGTGAAAAAAATCACTGACATTAAGAACACCAACTGTAAGCCAAGAAAGTTTGGTAACCTCTGGAGTAACTCATCTATCAATCAATCTTCCTGGTACTTCCTCACCTTTTTCTTCAAAGTGAACACACACTGTGTGAGCCATTCTTTCTCTAGGACAAAGTCTTATCCCTTGAGCCTCCTGAAGGGACTTCTCCCTGGGCCTTCAGAGGGATCCTCAGGCAGGCATCATTTCCCATCTCTTCCTGCTTCTGCTTCCCTTTCGGTAGCCTTCTCCCCATAGCACTCCTTCACCCCATGCTCCACTCTGGCACCTCCCTATGGAAATAATCACGTCTCGATCCTCACAGGTGCCTTGTGGTGACATGCAGATTTGCATCCCTGTCCTTGCCTCCTCTGCCCAGGTATTGCTACTCAGTAAACAGTAAGGGTAGGGAAGAAAGGTTAGGGCTATCGTCGGTTCAGCCCCCACAAGATTAATTCCCATTTGAACTTCTGGTGTGATGAGAAAGTGCTATCCCGTTCATTAACATATTTTTGCACTGGTTGCTCGATAACCAATATCCTGGGGCTATTATCCCAAGCTACCACTTGCCTCAACTGAGCATTCTACTTTAACTGACCATATGGTAAATGCCCAAATGTGTACTAAATTTTTTAAAGGTTTATTTATTTATTTTAAAGAGAGAGAAAGAATGCACAGGGGGAGGGGCAGAGGGAGAGGGAGAATCTCAAGCAGATTCCCGCTGAGCAAGGAACCTGATGCGGGACTCGATCCCGGACCCTGGGATCATGACCAAAGGCAGACGCTTAACCAACTAAGGCACCCAGGCACCCAGAACATTACTTTTTAATACAAAGCCTGCTACAGAGTAGAAACATCAAACACTTGTTCAGTGGCCAACTGAAACAGTGTTGTATGAGAGCAAGTATTCATTTTCACCCAAATGAACTATGGATGTTTAACTGGCCTAGGCTTTTATGAATTTAAATCTTTTTTTTTTTTTTTCATGGAAAATAGAGAAATAGTTTGTACAAAGATTCAACAGTTCTACATGGAGAAAATAGAGGACAAACAGAACCATAATGTCAATAGCAAAGGAACAAAGGAGGATATTATCTTCCCAAGAGCAAACTTAACTCTGGCAAGACAAGTTGGAGGTTATCTCCCCAGAACTCGAGGAGCCCCACCATTATTGGGACAAAAGCTGGGATTATAGAAAGTTAGAGCAGGAAGAGAGTCTTGGAAGGCATTTGGCCTATTCCTCATTGGCTCAAAAAAGGACATGTGACTTGTCCAAAGATATCAGGGTTAGATTCCGGTCCCGTGCACAGGACTCAAAAGAGCAGTCTTAAGTATGTGAGAGGTGTCCTGCCAGCTCATATTAAACAAACAAAACCATCAGCAACAAAACAACAATTAAAAATCTCTAGGGGGGCGCCTGGGTGGCTCAGTTGGTTAAGCGACTGCCTTCGGCTCAGATCATGATCCTCGAATCCCAGGATCGAGTCCCGCATCAGGCTCCCTGCTCAGCAGGGAGTCTGCTTCTCCCTCTGACTCTCCCCCCTCTCATGTGCTCTCTCTCTCAAATAAATAAATAAAATCTTTAAAAAAAAAAATCTCTAGGGATAAGCAGAAGAATGGCCCCCAAAGATCGCCACATCTTAATCCCTGGGACCTGTGAATAGATTACCCTACATGGCAAAAGAGGCTTTGCAAATGTGATAAAGAACCTTGAGATGGGGAACTTTGCCTGGATTATCCAGCTGGGCTCAAGATAATCACATGCATCTGTGAATCAGAGAATCTTCCCAGCTGTGGCCTGAGAGAGAGGTGACAATGGAAAGAGTTTGGTAGTGCAAAGATCAGAAAGACATGTGAAGAAAACTGACCTACCATTGCTAGCTTTGAAGATGGAATAAGGGGGCCACTAGCCAAGGGATGTAGGCGGCCATCTAGACACTGAAGGAGCCAAGGAAACAGATTCTTCCCTAGGAACTCAGATGGAATACCTCCCTGCTGATGACTTGATTTTAACCCAGTGAGACCTGTTTTGGATTTCTGACATGCAGAACTGTAAGATAATACACTTATGTTGTTTTAAACCACTAAATTCATGTAATTTGTTATAGAAGCAAAAGAAGAGTAATTCGGGACACACACAGGCATGCACCCTATAACCCCTAAGCAGGCCAAGTAGACAGGCTTCCCATCTCTCTCCATTCCTTCTTCTCACTCTTGTAGTATTTTTACCCTTTCAAAGATTCCCCTGAGGTTTATTTTAATCCCATCTCCCTTGGATTGATAGGTGAAAATGGGAGCAGAGGGCTTGCAGAGTGATTGGCTCTGGGTCTCACCCCTGAGAAATTGGCAGAGCCCTTTCCAGAAGGATTGGCCTGGGCTCCATGCCACCCTTCATGAAGCCAGATTGACAAAGAGTGGTCCTGTGCCAATCTGTTTAGCATCTAGAGAAACACTAGAGTCTCTGCTGGCCAGGAGACCAGGCCTAGCACTGAGGGACAATTGTTACAGACTCTGGGCAAACAGCGTGGCAGTCCAGGAAGTTGGAAGGGTAGTATTTACCACGGTTCTCCAAGAAGAGCAGGGCCTCTACAGCACACAATGAGGTTTTTATAGCAGTGTCTCTCACGAATACTCTAAAAAACTCCAAACATTTCCTGTGACTTCGTGCAAAAGCTGAGGGTAGTGAGGTATGACCTGTGTCATTTAGATATGTTATACCTGCATGTGGTCTGTTATGTAACCACTACCCCACAATTTATACTTTATTTAGCATCACCCAGATATCTTCGGAAAATGTTCTCTGCCTTCCACGTTACGTGCATGGCATCAATGTTGCTGACCTGGGAACTGGCTGGGGCCTGAATTAAGTCAAATGACTATTTGAGAAATGATTCTCAAATATTCATAATAAAAAATAAATAATGAGAAAGGGTGTGTGAATTCAGATGGGTACTTTCTTTGAAAGCTCACACAGAGTACTGAGGGGGATCAGAACGGGTGTTAGAGCTTGAATTTGACACTCCCCTCCTCTTGCCAAATGTCGAAGCAACATTACTTAATGCTGCTGGGTATGTAAGCCAAAAAATTCCTTGCAAGGTCAGGCAAAGGGTAAAATGCCTCAGAAACACTTAAATTAGCATCATTATCCCTGGGAAGCAAAGAAATGCCAAGGGGACATAGGTGGGCAATGCCTTGGGTTTATGCAAAGTGCAAAGTAACTGTGGAGATTGAGTATCAATATGAATTTCTCAGATCGGTGGAATGCTGTGAGCTTCCTGGCTTGGGGCTGGATCTAATAGGGTCAGATATTCTGGGGCTTGTCTTGTTTGGTACCATACTTGAAAAAAAATTGTTCAGTAGTAAGCAAAGTATATTTAAATCCCCAGTTGAAGTTAGGTAGTCGGTCGAGTCAGCAGGGTTTTGTAACAACTTTCAAAACATGTGGCCTAAGGCAGAACTGGGGAAAGCAGACTATGTGGATTATATGGATTGGCTAATTGGACAGTACACGAGGATAGCTGGGCATTGGAGTGCTGAAACAGTAAACAGTAACCTGTAGCACTGCATAGGTAGGACAGGAACAGAGTTAAATGTACCTAGCACAGGACTGGATGGACCTGGGGGCAAAGGAAGATTGGGAAAAATTAAAGGTATCGGTAAGACAAAGAGTTGGCTCAAGGAAGAGGAGGGAAGGGAATGAAGTTAAAGAAACAGGTTGGGTCTACAGTCATGGTTCTTAAAGTGGGGTTCCTGAACCTAAAATTGTCAGGAGGCAATAATTAAGAAAGAACATTTACTTGGGATCAAGGAATTGCAATTCGGGGTACACAAATTTGGGTAGTAACCCAAATAGTGTCCCATTAGAGAGCAAAGTCAGGTTTTTAAAGCAAAAAAGTAAAGTTTGTATAGGTTGTTTACAAAGAATTTTTTATTGGTGTTGACAGCAGAAAGCTACTCTTGACCCAATATAATTGGTTACTAAGGCTATCGCTAAGCAAAGTCTCTTACGATAGCAAGTTGCAGGTGTTCAGGCTGAGTCCTTGGAATATTTGCAGTCTGACCCAGTTCAAAAGTTCATAGTTCCATCAGTGAGGACATGCAAAAGGCCCACCTCCTTAATGGCCTCCCAGCTGCATTTTAAAACCCCTTGACACAAGTGACCCCATTTCATTTCACCTTTCACAACATCAACTGAGAACTCGTTAGAAATGCAAATTCTTGGGACCTACGGAGTCAAAACTCTGGAGGTAGATCTCAAGCAATCCCTGTTCTAACAAGTCTTACAGGTGATTCTGATGTATGTTAGAGTTTGAGAACCACTGGTCTAGAAAAAGTAAACAATGTTTGAGATCTCAGCAATGAGCATTGTCCTCCAAAGAGGTAGAGAGGACTGTTGTCCTGGTGCATGGCTGATGTGATGTGGTGATGAGTCAGTGGTTAAAGAAGAAGGGAATATTCAGGTGAGTCATCTGATGGCTGAGGATAAAATCAAGGGTTGGAATAAAAGGAAAAAAGAGATCCAGGTGCTCATATCATCAAAGAAGGTGAAAGTGAGTCTTAGAGGATAGCCTGTGAGGGTAAAGACTGAGAATGAGTAATATATTGGGATATCAAATGAAAGAAACTGAGAACTGTGGTAGATAAAAGGTTTAGCCATGACAATAGTGAGCAAGGACCAGAATAGCCCCTATTTCCTCTCCTCTTTAGTTGGGAAAATGGGAAAAACTAAGTAATTGTCAAAAGAAAAAGGAGCCAGGGAGTGTCTGCCTGATTGGAGGTAGTGATGGTGGCTGCCTAAGTTGAAGAAAGGAGGTGAGGATACGTGGGAGTTTTAACTTAGCCCACCACTTAAAGGAAACTAGGCTTGAGGATGAGTAGAAAACAGTTCAATGGCGGAAGTTCTTCTGAGTAGTTAGCATAACTAACATGCCTCAAGAACACAGTAGATTGGAAGGTCAGATCAGTGGACCAGCCTCCATTAAATGAATGGAGGACATCTAGTGGATGGAGAAAACACATACATGCAAACAAGATATAATCCTATTTTCAATATAATGTTATACTGACACAAACTTTTTCAATAAGATAAAAAAACAAAATGGTGGCATGGGAAGTTGGCTGTTATATTTCTAGAGGTTACCACCACAACTGTTATAGACTATTTAGAGGACAAGGAGCATTTCTGATGGTAGAGGAAGGAACAAGGATAAACCCACACTTAAAATCTGTAGTTACTATTTAAGCAAGGAGTCATGGTCAAAGTGAATTCCCATTCTAATACAAAAAGTTAGAGGACAGCCCCCAAAATGCCAGAGTGATATTCTTATGTAAGGCCCTATATTTTAATGGCATTCCTTTGTTTAATATGGAGAAAGAAAAAAGTAGAGTTTTGTAATTTAGTCAGAAAAAGTGATACAAGATATATGTTTTATTTCCATGGATTTCTGAAATTATATACTTAAAAAAATCTCTTATTCAAATTTACCCCCACTATATAATACTTATTATACCAACCAAACTGACACAATCATTGCTCTTGAAAGATAACAGATGTAAAATCTAACAGATTCTAAAACATAATTAGATTGCAACCAACTGGTTAACAACAAAAAGAAAAACTAAAGAACGTGAACCTTTACAACAATTTACACAGCTCTGTTTAACTTAATAGATAAGAAAAATATGCTTCGGATAAGGCATTGCTTCACCATTTCTCAGAGAATAAGGCACACAATCACTAGCATTACAAATCACAAATGTGTAAGAAAATCTAAAGACAACAAATGGTACTGGGAAAAAAAAGCAAGTGCCATCAGGACACTGACTTTTATACCAAAGTAACATTAAACTATGAAAATGTAAAATTTTATTGCAACTAAATTTTCTTTCTCTAATAAAGGTTAATCATTTTTAACAGATCAACCTGAAAGAACAAAGAAAAAAGCAAATTTCCTAAAAATCCTTCATTTTGAAAAACATATGTTTTGTTTCTCAGTATCAGATATTTTTTTTCCCCTAAAGATTCTATTTGTTTATTTGACAGAGACAGAGACAGAGAGAGCGAGAGCAGGAACACAAGCAGGGGGAGCAGCAGAGGGAAAAGCAGGCTCCTCGTGGAACAGGGAGCCCGATGCGGGGCTCAATCCCAGGACCCTGGGATCACGACCTGAGCCGAAGGCAGACGCTTAACTCAACCACCCAGGTGCCCTAAAAAAAAAAAGTGTACATGCCTCCTGAGCAAGAGGATTCAGGAATTATAATAATAAATATAATATGTTGTTAAAAATTCACTTGATAATGTCAGCCACCCTTAATTATCATTATCGGAACCACCTGCTTCTCTAAGACTGGCATACGGTTACCTCAGACGTCAATATGGATCCCATGTTTTGAAGACATCATTTGCCTGGTCCCTGTGAAATACATAACGAACGAACAGATGTGAGGTAAGGAGGAGGTGATGATGACATAAAGCCAGAATGGCAAAGGAGAGGTTTTTCCAAATGGGCATATCCACAGGCCGTGACGAATTCCATCTCGGATATGATGTGAGGTCCACGATATAAATAACATCCAGGGAAGAAAGCACCATGAGTCTTTGAGCTTGAAAAGGTGCATAGTAAGCCTCAGGGTCAGAACCACAACTGGTATGACCGTAGAGCAGTGAAGAACAGGTCTTCGTGGAAGAGTCAAAGCAGCCTGCCGGGGAGAGCGGTAGCTAGTATCATTTCCCTCTTGGCAAACAAAATTTGGTAGATGCTTCTTAATATTCTAAAACATCTTCTATGAGTCTATTAGAAATACAATGCAAACATTTTCTGCATCACCTATGAATACATGTATTAAATCTGTTACATATAAAGCAAAGAAGAGTGAGTGGGATATTCTCTGCATTAACAATGAAACCAAGATCTCAAGAACATGGTGATTAATTTTTTAAAGCTTCCTATTAGTTGCTTAGAAAAGTCACAATACAAATGTAATTTATATCCCAAATGTCTGGTTTGTGTAAATTTGGAGTTTTAGAGAATTATCTGGGGCCTCTAAGCATTGAAAAAAATCTCACAACTGAATAAAATATTCTATTAACAAGGGCATGAAAAGGAAATGTTTTTGTTGTAACCACTTTATATTAGCATTGAATATTTTCAGAATGCACTTAAAACAACATTTAGAAAGATTGTATTATTTTAAATAAGTATTACAAAGTTGAGTTAAATTCCAGTAAAAATTTTAAACCAGTACAAAACATTTATTTTATTTATTTATTTTTTTTTTAAAGATTTTATTTATTTGAGAGAGAGAGAATGAGAGACAGAGAGCACGAGAGGGAAGAGGGCAGAGGGAGAAGCAGACCCCCTGCTGAGCAGGGAGCCCGATGTGGGACTCGATCCCAGGACTCCAGGATCCTGACCTGAGCCGAAGGCAGTCGCTTAACCAATTGAGCCACCCAGGCGCCCCCCCAGTACAAAACATTTAATCAGTAACTAAACAAATGAAAATTTCAGGGTTAACCAACCCCTGAATGATTCTTTTTTTTTTTTTTTTAAGATTTTATTTACTTATTTGACAGAGCACAACCAGGGGGAGCAGGAGAAGGAGAGGGAGAAGCAGACTCCCTGATGAGCAGGGAGCCCGATGCGGGGCTCGATCCCAGGACCCTGAGATCATGCCCTGAGCCAAAGGCAGACGCTCAACCATCTGAGTCACGCAGGCGCGCCCCTGAATGATTCCTGAGTAAGGTTTTGCTCACACATACTCTAAAGGCTAATTTTCAATTAGATAATTTCTAAATAAAAAGGAAGCCGAGGGCAGTGAAGATTGCCTAAATCCGAATCTCCCCACATATCCTCAAAAACATTACAGACAAGGGCAAATAAAACTATACCAAACCCCACTCAGCATAGACAGAAGCCAGAGTGCTCAAAACTTCAAATACTCTAAAGTATTAAAATACATACCACATCAGTGCGCTTTCTCTCACACTCCCACCACAAGCCAGGAAAGATGAGGGGACCTACAATTGATCTAAAATTACCACTGGAAAGAGAAGCACTGAAAACGGTCCTGGTTGATCAGAGCACTGCCTACAAAGCAAGGACTTAAAAGTGTGCATGTTTCTGGGCGCCTGGGTGGCTCAGTTGGTTAAGCGACTGCCTTTGGCTCAGGTCATGATCCTGGAGTCCCAGGATCGAGTCCCGCATCGGGCTCCCTGCTCAGCAGGGAGTCTGGTTCTCCCTCTGACCCTCCTCCCTCTCATGCTCTCTGTCTCTCATTCTCTCTGTCTCAAAAAAAAAAAAAAAAAAAAAAATCTTAAAAAAAAAAAGTGTGCATGTTTCAAGGCTTTAAGAGGCACTGGTTCTGGGGCAGAAGATGGCAAAAAGGAAGGGTGGGGAATCATTTGGACACCGGGTGGTAAAGAGGAAAAGAAGGAGTAAAAAAAAAAATTAGGTACCTATAAAAAAAAAATTAGAGGCATAACCTTCCCACCATTAAAATACAAGGCCATCCATTAAAGAGACTATACCTTCACCATGTGCAGTCACACGACCCTTAAACCCGTGTCTTTAACTCTCACCTATTGACTGAATATCAAAGAGTTTACGCTACATTCTTCCTTCTCCCTTACAATAAATTCTAGATGAATGTATTTAGGAACCACACTTTTTATGATGCTTGGTAGTTTATCCCAATCTCTACTCTAACATTTATTGTGAACTATTTGCTGGGGTCTGTCCTTTAATGTGCTCATTTAACACCCATGACTGCCGGGTGAGGTAAGTAATGACAGAATCCACACTTTACAGAAGACGACATTGAGACAAGAAAGTGCTCTAACACTACATACTAGGATTCAAACTCATGTCTTCTGATTCCAATCTCAAACACAATGTTAATTCTGCCTTCACCTACACCAAAAAAGCTAAAATTTGTCTTTAATCAGGAATTACTGATTCCTTACTGAAGTTTTTTAATAAGTGAGACAACCTCTAAGAAATACATGGTATGTGACACATAAAAGGAAGAAGTGATCATTTCTCATTTTTTCAACAAATACTTACTGAACCCCTTCTAGATGAGCCAGGCACTGTTCCAGGCCAGTGGTGAACAAAGCAAAGTCCTTGCTCTGTGAGTGTTTACAGGTCATAAGCATGGAAAAGGCAGGCAAATCTGCTGACACTTAGAAAATATGATCTTAACTGTATTTCAAGCTCCATTCATTTGCAAAGCTAATAGGTCATTGTATAGCTAAACACCTCAATGAAATTCCTCAAACTTCTCCACCAGGAACTGTGCCCTAATCAGCCCATTGAAATGCACACCTTTGGCTCCACAAGGGACTGGGAATGAATCCACTGAAGTCATTCCCCAGCACTAGGAATCATCTTAAAGCTCTTCCCCTGTTATGGAACACTCAGAAGCCGCATACTAACTGTGAAACGTGAAGAATAAGGGGGAAATTATAAGTGTGGTCCTGAAGAAAGAACAGTGAAAAAAGACCCAGGAGACCCTGACAATGACCCCCATATTACTTTAAACCAGTTGATTAATGCTTCCTTCAAGACTTGGCTAAGTACCATCCTCTGTAAAGCCAGCACAGAACTCCTCAGGTACATTTAGTGAGTCCTTAGCTCTGTATGCATCCTTGGCACTTGGTGATGCCAATAACTTGATTAGCAACATGTCTGTGTTCGCCTCAAGGAAGTACTAAGTGCTCAAAAAAAAGTTGGATGAATGGGCTTTCTTATTTTAAAATAAGGATAATCTTCTCTAGTTCTAAAATGATGCTGTGAAGATCAATATAATGGTGCTAAAGAAATTAAAGACCAGAAAAATTAAACATATATGCTTCTTACCTTTAAAGATAAAGATCCAGCTAGAAAAAAGTGGTCTACATCAATAACAGAGGCTAAAAATCCAGCTAAAATGATTTCGCCAAAGTCAGTTGTCTTCTTGACTCCAATGACAATTGCCCACAACCACATGCCAATCACACAATGTACGGCGTTATCTGAGAGGGCTCGAAGCCAGTCATTTTGCTGAATTACTGAAAACTGAAGAAGTCTATCGGCTACTAGGCAAAATATCCCCAGACCAAGGCTGGAAATAAGAGACTCAGTGCTACAAGACTGGAGTAAAGCATGGGTCTTCTCAGCCTCAGATGCCATCCCAGACAATCCGTCAGTATATACTAAAAGCCATCAGGAAACAAATAGCTTATTCTTGTTTACATTCCCAGTCACCCTAAAATAGAAAGCAGAGGAAAAGATTAATGCCACGTAACATTTAAACAAAACAACTTGAGCAATAATTTCACAAATACAAAACCAAGCTGTAAAAACTGGTATTTCTTTTTTTTTTTGACCATTGTCAGTAATTTCATTTTATTTTTCCCAGCTTCATTGAGATATAGTTGGTAGATAATACTTGTTAAGTTTAAGGTGTATACTGTGATGATTTCATATACAGACATATTGTGAACTGATGGCCACAATAAGGTTAGTTAACATCTCCATCACCTCACATAGTTACCTTTTTGTGCATGTGGTGAGAACATTAAGACTACTCTCCTAGTAACTTTCAAGTATAACAAAACTGTACTTCTTACATGTTATATACAATATGCCATGCAGCCCAAAGAGAATAGGTTAGCTTTATAGGAACAACAGTTTACATGTTAGTATGCATCAAGGTGAATTTAAGAAAGCCCATCAACTGTAATCTATTACTTTGAGGTCATCAAATAGTTCTCTCTCTCAGCAATGTGTGCTACATGGTAGTGGGCACCCATTGTGTCTCTGTACCCAGCAACCATTTTCCAAACTTCTGAAAACAGCATCTCCTTCCTTTAGGAAAACTGCTCATCACAATACCCAAACTCTGGAGCTGACCAATTAGAATTCTCTGTCTCTCTTATCAGTAGTAGTAATTAATTAGTAATTACTAATTAGTCATCATTTTCCAGTAGTGATTAGACTAGTGATAAATAATCTGGTGATTAAGGTGATCCAGGCTGGACCAATAAGACTTCCTTCTAGAATTTTCCTAAGTGGAGCTAGTGGGAGAAAGTTCCTTTTCTTCTTACAGACCTGGGCTCCACTACATGGAACAGCCTATGAAAAAAGAATCATAAGGACATCAACTCCTCAGGTCCAATCTTTAAGTTTTTCAGAGCTGCCCTAGTTCTTACAGCTTACCCTTTACTTTACTTCTATGGGCTAACCCAGGATTCTTCCAATAAATCCCTTTTTCTTTTCTGTTGCCTCTAACCACAGAACTTTAATTGATATAAAAAGGCAATCATAATTCTGTGCTGAGTACTTACCTGGCATAGAATACTGAAATCATTCATCCAGTTAAAGTTATCAATATTATGTGATACCTGAAGTTTTTGTTTTGTATTGTTTTAATTCTGAGACTAAAGAATAACTAAAGATGTATTAAGGATGATTCAACTTCCATTCTGTAATAAAAACTATCCATTGCTCATTACATATATTCTAAAATTTATAGGGAAACACAAAACACTAGAACAGGAAAACAACTTGGAAAAAGATGAGCTAAGTTGAAGGACTTACACCATCTGACTTCAAGGCTTACACAGCTGCAGTAATTAATGACAGTGCGGTATTGGTATAAAGACAGACAAATAGAGCAATGAAACAGAATAGAAAGTGTGATCAGAAATAGATCCACACAGGGATGCCTGAGTGGCTCAGCTGGTTGAACACCTGATTCCTGATCTCAGTTCAGGTCTTGACCTCAGGGTTGTGAATTCAAGCCCTGTGTTGGGCTTCACACTGGGTGTGGAGCCTACTTAAAAAATATATATATATAAAATAAATTAAAAGAGGGCGCCTGGGTGGCTCAGTCGTTAAGCGTCTGCCTTCGGCTCGGGTCATGATCCCGGAGTCCTGGGATCGAGTCCCACATCGGGCTCCCTGCTCAGCAGGAAGCCTGCTTCTCCCTCTCCCACTCCCCCTGCTTGTGTTCCTGCTCTCGCTATCTCTCTCTGTCAAATAAATAGATAAAATCTTTTTAAAAAATAAATAAATTAAATAAATTAAAAGAAGAGATAGGTCCACACATACACTGTCAATTGATGTTTGACAAACATGCAAAAGCAAGTAAATGGAGAAAAGATAGTCCTTTCAGCAAATGGTGCTGAAACAAGCAGATATCCACAGGCAAAAATAATGACTCTCAAGCCATACTTTACTCCATATACAAAAATTAAGTCAAAATGGATCACAGAACTAAAAGTAAAACATAAAACTATAAAAATCCTGGAAGAATATTTTTGTGTACTTGGGTTATGCAAAGAGTTCTTAGAAGCAACATCAAAAGGCCGACCTGTTTTTTAAAAATTGAAAAATTGAACTTCATCAAAATTAAGAACTTCTGCTCTTTGAAAGACTATGTTATGGGCACCTGGGTGGCTCAGATGGTTAAGCGTCTGCCTTCGGCTCAGGTCATGATCCCAGGGTCCTGGGATCGAGTCCCGCATCGGGCTCCCTGCTCCTTGGGAGCCTGCTTCTCTCTCTCTCTCTCTCTGTCTCTCATGAATAAATAAATAAAATCTTTAAAAAAAAAAAAGACTATGTTACGAGAACGAAAAGACAACCCACAGACTGGGAGAAAATATCTGCATATCTCATATTTGATAAAGGATTTATATCTAGAACAAAGAATTCTGGAAACACAATAATAGAAAAACTAATACAAAAATGGGCAAAATATTTGAAAAGGTACTTTACAAAGATGATATACAGGTGATCAATAAGCACATGAAATATGCTCAACCTCATTAATTATTAGGGAAATGCAAATTAAAACACCACAATGAGATACAAGACATACCTAATTAGAATGGCTAAAATTAAAGACTTATCATCCCAAACGTAGAAAAGATGTGGAGCAACCAGAACTCTCATACACTGCTGGAGGAAATTTAAAATGATAAACCACTTTTCAGTTTCTCAAAATGTTAAACATACTTCTATCATAGATTCAGTCATTCTACTCCTAGGTATTTACCTGAGAGAAATGCAAGCATACACCCACACACAGACTTGTACATGAATGTTCACAGCAGCTTTATCTACATTAGCTCCAAACTGGAACAACCCAACTGGATAAACAAAACATGGAATAAAAAGAGACAAAAAAATAATACAAACAAAAACATTGATGAATTTCAAAATAATACTTAGTGAAATAAGCCAAACAAAAAGAAAAGAAAAACAGAGTACACAGTCAAAACTCATGGAACTACACAACACAAAGAATGAACCCTCATGTAACTATGGACTTCAATCAATATATCAATGTTGGTGTATTAATTGTCACAAGGTATCACACTAATGCAGAATGTTAATAATAAGGAGAAATGTGTGTGGAGGGAGAATTAACATATGGGAACACTCTGTACAATCTGCTCAATTTTTCTGTAAACCAAAAACTGCAATAAAAAAGAAAGTCTTAATTTTTAAAAAGTGAATAAATGAAGTAAGTATGGAAAATGTTATAACTGTTTAATATAGGTAATGGATACACTATAGTTCATTATATTATCTTCTACTTTTCTATATATTTGAAATTTTCATTTGGAAATATTTTTAAAAGAATACAGAACATGATTCCATTTATATAAAATTCAAGAAAATGTAAACCAATTTAAGTGACAGAAAGCAGATCAGTGGGGCTGGAAGGATAAAAAAGGAGCATTAAAAAACTTTGGGGGAACAGATGTGTTCATTATCTTGATTGTGGTGATAGTTTCATGGTTTATAGCTTCATATATACATCAAAATGTACCAAAATGTTATGTCAATTATACTCCAACAAAGATGTTAAAAAGTTAGAGAATATACTTTATTGTCAATAACAACAGCAGGCTTTCATGTAAAAGGAGCACTCTGAAAACAAGAGCTTATGGAGATGAAAAGTCTGATTGCCCAAATAAAAGCTCAACAGGAACAATGCATAATAAAATGAATGCTTCAAAAAACACAATTAGTGAATAAGAACATTTTTGAAGAATTTTCTCAAAGCTTGTTGGGGAAAAAAATGACAAAGAGTTAAGCACTGAAAGAAAAAAATAAATTCAAAAGATAAATATAAAATCCTTTAGAGTTTCTAAATCCTGCCCCACCCCAGCCAAAAAGGTTATCTGCAAAAGGAAAATGTGATTAATACCAACAATAAATGCCAAAATACTGTGGGGCAACATTACTAAAGCTCTGAGAGAAATGGATCATGACTGTAGGATTCTACATAAACTAAATTATGGCACCTCTGTGACAATCATGAATTTCATAATTTTGCCTTTGAAATTATAACAGCTATATACAATTTCTGGGGGAAAAAGGATGGAGGAACAGGACTTCTAAATCACTAGGAAGACATAAGAGGAATATAGAAAACTTGATCAGTACAGCAAAACATAAAAGGAAAAAAAAGAAAAAAGAATTTACTGTCACCCCAACCCCCCAAAAGAGTAAAAGGGACCAAACATCAAACACACATGTATTAAATTTATCTATAAAGAAACAGATTGGGACAAAAGGAAACATCCCAGTTATTGTTCATAAGAAAATATCTCAAACAAAAAGTCTCAGCAATATACAAAATAAAGAGATGAGAAAATATATATCTAGAATATACAAACCAAATAAAGCAGCCGTGGTAATATTAATATCAAATACAAAATTCATGGCAAAAGACTTAGTGGTACTAAAAGGGATAAAATAAAGTTATATAAGATGCTTACAGGGCACTGGGGTAGCTCAGTTGGTTAAGTGTCCGACTCAATTTCGGCTCAGGTCATGAACTCAGGGTCGCTGGATCGAGCCCTGAGTCAAGCTGCGTGTTCAGAGCGGAGTCTGCTTGAAAATCTTTCTCCCTCTCCTTCTGTCCCTCCCCCTGCTCATGCTCTCTCTTGCATTCTTGTTCTCCCTCTATAAATAAATAAATAAATAAAATCTTAAAAAAAAAGATGCTTACATGACAAACCACAAAGAGGTAAGATATGTAAATTATATAAAGTAGCCAAAAATAGGTACAGATAATCTAAATAATATAATTACAAGTTTGATTTCATATGCAGGTCTAAAATTACACATTTTACATGGAAAACACATTCTTTCCAATTGTCCATGAAACATTTACAAAAGTTAACTACCCATTTACTCATCCACAAGAAAAACTTCAATAAAATTTAAATACTGGAAATGTTCAGGCCAAATTCTCTGACCACAATGCAATATAATTCATCACTTTTTTTTTTTTTAAAGATTTTAGTTATTTTATTTATTTGACAGAAAGAGACACAGCGAGAGAGGGAACATAAGCAGGGGGAATGGGACCTGGTTAAAAAGAATAGAGTGGCCTAGTTAGCTCAAAGAAACTAAGCTTAAATGATGGTGCAAGTAATATCTTTAGAGCCAAAATACTTGTTTTCAAGTATTTATGCTCTGTACACATTTCAGGAAGGAAAACAAAAGTTCAGAGAGCAAGGACTCAGTCAACTTTGTTCACTACTATATCTTTCATGCATACTAAGTGCTCAATAAGTGTTGAATGAATTCATGAAAAATCTTCATATACTGGATCTGTTATCCAGCAGGAACTGCATATTAAATACTTAAATGGCATTTAGCAAAATGTAATATCCATTCCTGGGATCTACATTTTTAGCAAGTATGACTACCAAGTAATTTTTATATTCACTAAACATTGAGAAACACTAGTTTACCAGAAACCAAAATCATGAAAACCGAGAAATATTACCTTAAAAGTTAGAAACAGTAAAGCTATCAGAATATTGTTCTGGCAGTTTCATTCCACTTAACGTGCCAAGGAAGGGACGGAGGGGGGGGGGAAGGAAATGTATCATTACCTTACCAGGAAGAACAAGATAATTACATTAGTTGGCAAGTGAAATGACTGCCTATTCAAGAGAATCCATTGGAAACCATTAGAATTTAAGTTGCAAATGGTGGCTAATTCAAGATAAATACTAAAATAATCTTTATAATATATAAGCAATCATCGTAAGAAAAAAGTGGGAAAAAACATTCACAACAGCAATAAAAACCCAAATACCAAGGAATAAACTAAACAGGAAATATTTGTGAAGAAAACAACAAAGCTGTATTAAAGGACACAAAAGATCAATCAGTTCTTTCGAGCTCTGGTGGCTTCATACTATGTTAGCTCAGCTTAGTTGGAAGCACATTTTTCAATTCCCTTCCTTGTAAAATTCTTGTATAGTTCTTCCTTGCATGTGGAGCTTGCACATGATCTGTTAGCTTGCCTTGTTGGCATGGGGAAGCGGACTGGCCTGCAGCTCCTTCAGCTTCTCCAAATCCAAATCCGGGTCAAGGGGGTTAGCCTCTCCTGGTAGATCATCACCCACAGCATCAAAACTGGAGTTGGTGAGAAGCCAATGCAGATTCCATTCTGTCCCTGCTCTCCTCCACATCCACTTTCCCTTCTCGACTGTGTCTGTCTAGCTGGTTTGTAACCCCTTCAGGCTCAACAACAGACTCAGAGGCAGGAGTCTGTCCAGACTGCTTTCCCAGTCCCCACAATTACAGAATGTTTAACCCCTGTCTAAATCCCAGGCAAAGTAGTTCTGCTTCTTTGATGGAATGTAACTAATACAAGAGCCAGACCATTTTATTGAGTAAGAAGACATTGATGGTGTTATTCTCCTCAAATAAAATCTATAAATTTAATATTAATCTAATTAAAATCATAAAGGGATTTTCTTTTAGGAACTTCACAAAGTGTTTCTAAATTTCATTTAAAAGAGTTAATGCCAATAAACTTGGAAAAGCAGAGTAACGTAAGTACTGAAAGGTGAATACAAAGTCTAGAAATCGAATAAGTGTGTGTATGGGGGTGTGGAGAATGTGTATATAATTCTAAATTGGTAGAGGAACAATTATTATTTAACTCTGATCCTGTAACAGTTAGGATTCTTAAGTGCATGGAAAAGAAAACATTCTGGCAGTAAATGCAAAAAACAAATTTATTAAAAGGATACTGGGAGGGCGCCTGGGTGGCTCAGTCGTTAAGCGTCTGCCTTCGGCTCAGGTCATGATCCTAGGGTCCTGGGATCGAGCCCTGCATAGGGCTCCCTGCTCCGCGGAGAGCCTGCTTCTCCCTCTCCCACTCCCCCTGCTTGTGTTCCTGCTCTCGCTATCTTCTCTCTCTGTCAAATAAATAAAATATTTAAAAAAAAAAAAAAAGGATACTGGGAAATCACAGCCAGGTTTCAAGAATCAGGCCTCAAAGTTATGCCTCGAGCACCTCAGTGAAAATGACACTAGACAACTGGTCTGGTGAAGACCTCCCCACCACGGAGCCCAGCTTACACTGCCTAACCCCCTGTCACCAGGTATTACCACTGGCACTGAGTCAGTGCTGCCCTGTCCACTGCTGCCATGGAAGACTCTTGACTGTATTTGCTTATTTGAACTCATACACTATTTGGATGGGGCAGGGTATGTGTCCGATTGGCTGGGCCTACATCACATGACTAGCTACAGGGGAGGCTGGAAAAGACAGTATTTGGCCTTCTCAGCACATATTATGGAAAGTGGGCTCTTTGTTTCTTCCAGTTGCATTAAAACAGCATACTCACAAATATACTATGCTGGACAGGAAGAGCTGTCCACACTAGTAGTCAGTTAGGCTTTAATTGCTAAGTAATACTGGAGAGAGTCAATGATCAGACGAAACCTGAGAATGGATCATCTCCTTTCAATCTGTGCAACGCATAGTTCAATACAGTAGAACTGTTTAATCAAACAACTCTAGGTTTTAAAATGTCACATCCACACGGATCAGAGTTTTGCAACATGATAGAACATTTCCCTGGTTAAATTAATAAAGGGAATCAGTTTCGTTGACTAGTCCTGGAAAATGTCTATGATTAGATAGCTTTTGTAATCAGTTTGGTTATCAAGTTTGGGATATTTACATGAATTTGTAAACAGACTCCTACATAGTTGAGCTAGCTTGACTTTGAGAGAGGAACTCAAAATTATTTTTATTAAAAAAAATTTTTTTTATTTATTTGTCAGAGAGACAGTACCAGCAGGGAGAACGGCAGGCAGAGGGGAGAAGTAGGCTCCACATTGAGCAAGGAGCCCGATGCAGTACTTGATCCCAGGACCCCGGGATCATGACCTGAGCCAAAGGCAGATGTTTAACCGACTGAGCCACCCAGGTGTCCCTCAAAATTATTTTTTAAATATTGACAGACATGACTACATAAGAATATAAAACTTATACATGGCAAAGTTAAAGACAATGGAGGAATTGTGATTCTCTTTATGATGGGGAAAGATTCAAAGTTTTAGTTTATTAAGGTCTCTTAAAATTAAGAAGAAAAAATCAGTATTCCAATAATAACATGGGCAATGTCTATCAAAAGGCAATTTGGAAAAGGAAGAAATACAAATGATCAAAAAAAATTATTAGAAGGTTTCAACTTTATTAGCAATCAATTGAATTATATTAAAACAATATTTCAATGTACAATTGACAAAAGATTGCTAATGCTTTCTGTTAGTAGTGGTAGGAAGATGATCACTCATTCTGTTTATTAACAGGAGTATAAGTTAGTATAATTTTCTAGTACACAATTTGACAATATATATCAAAAATCACTTAAAAATAAGCAAATATGGGGTGCCTGGGTGGCTCAGTGGGTTAAGCGTCTGCCTTCAGCTCAGGTCATGATCCCAGGGTCCTGAGATCGAGCCCTGCATCGGGCTCCTTGCTCAGCGGGAAGCCTCCTTCTCCCTCTCCCACTCCCCCTGCTTGTGTTCCCTCTCTAGCTGTCTCTCTCTCTCTGTCAAATAAATAAATAATAAATCTTAAAAAAAAAAAAAAAAAAGAAATCTTTAGGGAATTATGGGTGCTTGGGTAGCACGAGATCCCAGGACCATGGGATCATGACCCGAGCCAAAGGCAGACGCTCAACGACTGAGCCACCCAGGCGCCCCTCCCTAAAGATTTCTAATGTCTTTCTATTATGACCATAAAACAAATAAAGCTACTCTGAAATTAGTCAGAAGTCATTAAACAACTCAGACCATGATGCTAAAGTCAGTATCTTAAAGGTATAATTTTTGAAAAGTAGAAACATACTTATAACATTAAAAATATGTATTAATAAAAATATTAGCATATACAACATCAATAAACATTAATAAAATTTTATACAATTCTTATAAGTCAAACTGATAAAATAAAAATAATTTGTTCATATTTATGTGTTAGTTGACACATGCAAAGTCTGTACAAAAGATTTCTATATCTCCAGGTGAAATAAAGTTATATAGACACCTTTAATTCTTTCATATGGTGAAGAAGACTTGCTTTGTACTGAACAACTGTTTTGTTAATGATAATGGAGTCCTCCATTAACAACAATCCTCAAATTCTTGGTCATTTGCAATAATGAAAATTGTTCTGAAAAGCACTAAGATTGGGTTAAAGTGTAGATTCTTCCAGGATGAGGAAATGAGTGATTTCAAAGTACTTTCAAGCAAGACCAAATGTAAAAAAGGCAAAAGATACATCCAAGTCATGAAACCTTTCTATAAACTTCAGGATTGACAGTCCCATAAATTATGAAGCATTTGTTTTTACTTTACGAAATAAACTCTTGACACTTGTATGGATAAAGAAGTCACATGTTTAAAGGTTCGGTGCATACAATTTTAAAGTTTATAAAATATCCCTTTGAACCAAAGACAGATGCCAATATCCACTTAGCTGGATGGGAACTGGGACACACAAATTTTAATGAATGACCACGCCAGAGAGGTGCTACACTAGCAGAAACATTCCCCTCCTTCAGTAAGCTGTGGCCTGCAAATTAGCCCAAAGAAGAAAGAAGGTCACTCAGGTGAAAGAGCGTAGAATGTAGGCTGGACACACATAGAAGTTCAAGAGAAAAGCTCTGCTGCCACTCAAACTATGCTTATATCTGTATTTATTACAAATTTATTTTCAAATCTTATCCCAGAAAGGGGACAAAAATAAGAGGTCATTATCCACTTAATTGCAAATTGCATGATGCCACTATAAAGCCACTGCATTACACCCATCTTCTTTTACTCTTGAAACAATTTTCATCACCCCAAATATATTTAAATGTTACTAACCTTGTGTTTTAAGTTCAGATTTTAAAAAGATGGGGAGGCTAATGATGTGTTACGAGCAAAGTGAAACATCAAAAGATCACTTCAAGTCTTTAAATGATGATCCAGATTTAGTGACCTGAAAAAGAAAACCTTATTGTTTATAATAATATAACTCTATCATGGTTTATGAATAGGAACACATACACATAATGGGGCAGCACGAAATGCATTTTATAAATGGAGAGTATACAACAGCTTGCTTGATGACAGAGGAACAAAAAGCTAATGAGTGAACGTGGAAGGAGATCCTTCAGCCCCAGTCAAGTTTTTAGATGACTAGAGCCCTGCAAACATCTGGACTACAACTGCATGGGCCCCTGGGCCAGAATCACCCAGCTAAGCCTCTTGCAAAGTCCTAGCCCACAGACACAGTGAGATAATACTTGTTAAATGTTTAAAGCCTCTAAGTTTTGGGGTGATTTGTTATATAGTAATAGGTATCTAACACAATACTCTTTCCATTTTTATAAAGGTATAATTATGGTCCCAGAAACACAATTCTGACATCTATTCCACTCTATTAGGGCACATATTTAACATCTTTGGCTTAGATTCTGAGTATGAGGATAAGAAAAAAACATTTTTGGGGGGGGAGAAAGAACATTTATAAGTGTACTGCCTTTTATTTACTGTCTCTAAGACACCCAAGTGTACCCGTTTTTCTTCATACCTTTTTCTTCCTTTTTCCACTTCCTACCACTCCCCTACAAATAGAATGGACACTGGAACCTCAAAAACTGTAACATAACTCTGTTTATTCTACATACTTACTTTTGTTGGGTAGTTCCCTTAAGAGTAGTAATTTTAATTTTCTGTTAAGCCTCTCATGCATAAAATCTAATGTGCTGAAGGTATTTAATAAATATTTCATTATACTAATACAAGGGGTAAGCAGGTAAGCAGCCCTCAGCCTATGAACTAAAAATATTTTGGGGATGACTTCCTATCTCACAATAGCCTAACATGTCCTCATGACTTGCAGCCACTTTCTACAAGGGTCAAACTGCCACACCCCATTCCATTATAGCAAAATATCATCAACTATGGGGCCTTTTAAGTATACATAGTAGTAATCTTCCCTTTCCTTAACTCCACCAACATAATTAGCCAGTCACTTTAGTTATGCACTATTATACAGTTTGTTAATACTCTTAGACAAATCTTTCTGCCAAAACAAAGAACAAATTCCCAAAGTAAATATCATCTGCTTCACTCTTCCCATCACACAAATGTTTACAAAAACCTGAGGTAAAAGCAGTCTAAAATCTGATAACTACCTTTAGTATTGCTTTACAAATAAGTCTTTTTCAGTGTCAGTGCTGTGAAAGTTAATATATTTGATTTTTTTAAAATTTTAATTGTTTAAAGTAATCTCTACACCGGATGTGGGGCTTAAACTCACAACCCGGAGATCAAGAGTCACACACTCCATCGACTGAGCCAGCCAGGCGCCCCTAATATATTTAATTTTTTAATGCTATAATACCTAAAGCAGATGCCAAATGCAGCTAATTTGCAAAGGAAAGAAACACAAATCCTGCTCAGTTTCACAGAAACTTTTGTTTAGTTCCTACACCATTAGGAATAAAACATACAATTCTGAATTTAAACATTTATCGAGTCTCAGCAAATTCCCCAAATCATTCTTTCCCAAGGCTGGTGTGATGCAGTAATTTTAAAATGCCCATTAAGAAAATAGGGCAGGAAGCCCTGGCGTCATAGCATTTCCTATGCAAGGAAGGGATCCTGTCACACTTAACAGTAGTCACGCCTTCAGGGACCCGGGGCGCTTGGGACTCTCGTGCCTGTTAAAGAGGGCAATGGGCAACTCCGACAAGAACCCGTCACCCCGCTCTGGGCCAGGGAAACGCCAGGGACACAGGGCCTCGGCGAGGACTGGGTGCCTGTGGACTCTCGAAGGCTCCACGAAGCCGGAGGAAGGAGCCGGAGCTTCGCGCACATCCCGGGGTCGTCAGACAGTGCCGGCGGTCAAGCACACCCCGCTGCCTCTGGAGTCCCGCGCGCTCGCCGCCCCTTCACGCCCTCCCCATCTGGAACCTGGGGCTTGGGCTTCCCACCTCAGGACGCAGTTTGGCGGAGTCCACTCCGTCCCCCTCCCGCCCGGGCCCTCTCCGAGCTCAGCCGCGCCCACCTCCGTCTCTCCAGCCTGAAGCACGCCGCGCTAACGGCGGCCCCGCCCCTTTCCCCTCCCCGCGGCCGGCACCATAGAGAAGCCTGCCGCCGGCCAGAGCGGCTCCAGCCCCCAAACGTCGGCGGAGAGGACGCCGGGATACCGGCCCCATGCCTACGGGCGAGAACCGATAGCTGGGTTTTGTTTGGAGGAGGTGGTGGGTACTACGGGTTCTTCCCCGCCGTGTCCCATAAGGAAACCTTTGGGACAGCAGGGTGAGAAGTGCAAAGTGCCTTGTTGGTTTCCTCTGTCAAACCTGAGCATTCGTTCTTGGCTTTGCCGGCGCCGTGCCCCAGACTTAGCAGCCGACATACTCACGACGCACCCTTACTGGCGGCTGGGAAGCTGGGGACGAAGTGACCTCACCTAATTTCGGATGTGCGGGCCCAACACCCAGACCTTGAGCTAGGAGCCACGGGCCATCTTGGGTCTCGAAGGGACAGAGAAATTTCCGGCTTCCTTTACCGGGTCTTTCAGGCTGGGCGCCGGAGTTTTTCCACGAGAGGGAGGGACCGCGCGATCCGGCAGATCCGCCGTTTCTTCATAGCGCTCCAACGCCCCCTTGGGGATTTCTTGATAATTATTCTTTGCCACTTTGTGGGCGGACGGTGGGGGGCTACCACTTTATTGTGGCAGCGGTGACAGGGCTGGACCATTTAATCATGACTACTAAACGCACAGGAGTTGGAAAAAGAACTGCATAAAAGGTAGCTTGACCCTAATTAACCGGACTCAACATGCAGCTTTTTAATGGGACTATGACCAGGTCCCAGCCTGCCTTTCCGCCTGAGTGAGCACCAAGATGTCTAGCTTGGCGTCGGCTCTAGGAAGCACTGGTGCAAAAGAATAGTCTCAAAAAGGTGAATTGCTTTCTTCTTCCTACCTAGTTTCTCAAAACAAGGGTGAGATGGAAAGCAACGGCAGTAGTGGGGTTCTATTAATTGTACAGTTGAAAGACAATTCTATAGTAGAAAGTGAGATCTTCAATCTCAAGCAAACTCCTAGGCCTCTCTCTCACAGAACCCTAAAGCGTGGCTCAGTTTCTCAATGCTAGAACTTTTCATTGCTTGTCTTGGTTCTTAGTGGAAAAGACTCAACTGAGGGGAAAAATGATACACATTTTAACCCACATAGTTTAAAAGCTAATTAAAAAGATCACATTAACCACAATATGGGGTACTTTTAGTCATGTTAAGAACAGTTTGTCTGTCTGAATGCAGTAACAATTTCGCATTGCCCTTATGGCAGCACTGTACATGTCTTATACTCTAGGCTTACTAGAGCTGTTGAAGAACAACCTGGATGGCTGCCTGCAACCAAAACAACGAAATTGTTACAATGCTTTTCTCTGTAATCACCCTACAGCCCAAAGGCACTGATTCATTTATACAACACATACTGAATGCTCTTTGTGCCAAGCGCAATGCTTGGTAACAGGCTACAAAATGGCTTTATGAAGCTCAAGTTCTAGTGGAGGATCTAGACCACAAAGAGACAAAAGTTGGATGGCTGTAGTATGTGCTGTAACGGAAATAAATAGGGTGATGTAGTAGAGACTAAGTGGGGGAGGCCCTTCTGAAGAAGTGGTAATTTGTGCTGAAACCTGAAGGTAGCAAGGAGCCCAGGGTGACAAGAGCTAACGAGAACATTGTGCCCATTCAAATCATTGACATTATCACTCCTAATCTATGCTCTGCTTGCTTTGTTCTTTTTCTCCTTGTTTCCTCTGTTGTTTCTTTTATGTCAAGAAGCTGGTCTTTTCTAGAAATCAGAAGTTAATTAGAACATTTCTGCTATATTGGTCTAATCTTGAAGTCTCATTAGATGTGTGGTTTTGTGCTTTCCCAATAAACAGCACTAGGTTGCTATAAATAGCACTTTTGATGAGCTATTTTAGTTTCACACACTTGTGTAGCATAAATTTTTTTCAGATGTTCAAGAGAAATGAAAATAATCAGACAATTCAGATGAAATTTGGTCTTTGCTGAAGTGCCCAATTCTTAGCTTGAAGCAATATTGCATATATATATATATATATATATATATATATATATATAAAGATCTAATTCTCTTTTGGTAGTTCTGTTGAAAAATATTTGGAGACCAAAAAGCAAATGACCAAATACACACAATTCTGCATATTTAAGAAGGAAAAAAAAACAAAACAAAACTTGAGGATTAATAGTGAATGCTCCACAAGCTAAAACAGCAACTATAATTTTATAAGTTTTTCTCATAAATCTGAAATAAGAAATTGTTCAAAATCCTAAAACAGTTCTTTATTAATAAAATACATTATAAACATATAGTTTAAAATTTACAAGTTAGGTAACCTCCAAAGTTAAATGTCATTTTTTATATAATCATTGCACAGAAGTAATATATATAATTTCTTGGCTTACTAGTAATTTTATACTAGTCAGTTGAAACAACATCCTTAAGGTTTATAATAATTCCATTTTTCACTTTTTAGAACTTGATAGAAGACAGTCAATATCCTGAAGGATTTCAGAGGTTTTTTTCAATGCCACTGATACTCTCTCTTCATTAACTTCTTCCAGCAAGGTTTCTGGAGATTTTGGTTCATAATGATCAGATGACTCTTTGTTTTTTTTGTTAGAAATCTGGTTTAGGATACCACTATTTTCCAATAAAACTAAGTTGGTTAGTTAAGGAGTTTTTCCCTGCATTTTTCATTATATAAGTACATTTAATTTCAGAAAGCCTGGTCTTCATATTAAAATATTATTTCTCTATTAGGAAGATCCCTTGGATTCATAATAGATTTGGTACTTCAGAACTTATCAGGTCTACCCCTTACAGATGAAGAAACTGGTTAAGATATAAGAGAGGTGGGGCGCCTGGGGGGCTTAGTCATTAAGCGTCTGCCTTTGGCTCAGGTCATGATCCCAGGGTCCTGGGATTGAGCCCCACATCAGGCTCCCTGCTCAGCGGGAAGCCTGCTTCTCCCTCTGCCATTCCCCCTGCTTGTGTTCCCTCTCTCACTGCGTCTCTCTCTGTCAAATAAATAAAATCTTAAAAAAAAAAAATTAAGTAAGAAAGAGTACCTATGTGTATTTGGAAGTTTGGTGATAGGGAGGAGATAAAAGAATTAAAATCTCAACATTTCTTTAAGTGAAGAGTGATGTGGGAATAAAAGAACAAAAGTAGGAGTGATAGGAATATAAATAATCTGTGTAGTGTATTTTTAAATTTTTCTTAGGAGAGGGACCCGGGGGAGTGGCGGAGGGAGAGAGAGAATCTTTTTTTTTTTTTTAAAGATTTTATTTATTTATTTGACAGAGAGAGAGAGAGCGCGAGAGCACAAACACAAGCAGGGGGAGTGGGAGAGGGAGAAGCAGGCTTCCCGCCGAGCAGGGAGCCCGATGTGGGACTCGATCCCAGGACTCTGGGATCATGACCTGAGCCGAAGGCAGACGCTTAACGACTGAGCCACCCAGGTGCCCGAGAGAGAGAATCTTAAGCAGGCTCTGCACCCAGCAGAGAGCCTGATGCAGGGCTTCATCTCACAACCCTGAGATCATGACCTGAGCCAAAATCAAGAGTCGGACACTTAACTGACTGAGCCACCCACCCAGGCACTCCTAGTGGGCATGGAGCCTTCTTAAGATTCTCTCTCGGGGCGCCTGGGTGGTTCATTTGTTAAGTGTTTGCCTTTGGCTCAGGTTATGATCCCAGGGTCCTGGGATCCAGCCCCGCATTGGGCTCCCTGCTCCGCAGGAAGCTTGCTTCTCTCTCTCCAGCTCCCCTGCTTGTATTCTTGCTCTCGCTATCTCTTTCTCTGTCAAATAAAATCTTTAAAAAAAAAAAGGAGGGCGCCTGGGTGGCTCAGTTGGCTAAGCGACTGCCTTCGGCTCAGGTCATGATCCTGGAGTCCCTGGATTGAGTCCCGCATCGGGCTCCCTGCTCGGCAGGGAGTCTGCTTCTCCCTCTGACCCTCCCCGCTCTCATGTGCTCTCTCTCATTCTCTCTCTCTCAAATAAATAAATAAAATCTTTAAAAAAAAAAAGATTCTCTCTCTCCCTCTGCCCCTCACCTGCATAAATGAATGAATGAATGAATGAATGAATGAATGAATGAATGAATGAATAAATAAATAAATAAATAAATGATATAGAGTGGAAAGAAACCTGTCCTCTGATGCAGGGCTACTTTATTATTTGAATAGGACTACAGAAAAATCACATGATAAGGGCACCTGGGTGGCTCAGTTGGTTAGGCGACTGCCTTGGGCTCAGGTCATGATCCTGGACTCCTGGGATCGAGTCCCGCATCAAGCTCCCTGCTCAGCAGGGAGTCTGCTTCTCCCTCTGACCGTCCCCCTTCTCATGCTCTCTCACTCCCTCTCTCTCAAGTAAATTAATAAAATCTTTAAAAAAATCACATGATAAATTAGATGAATGGGGTAGGAATGTACAGAACAAAAGATTTCATAAGAAAAATGAGTCAAGGGGCGCCTGGGTGGCTCAGTCGTTAAGCGCCTGCCTTTGGCTGAGGTCATGATTCCAGGGTCCTGGGATCGAGCCCCGCATTGGGCTCCCTGCTCGACGGGAAGCCTGCTTCTCCCTCTCCCACTCCCCCTGCTTGTGTTCCCTCTCTAGCTGTCTCTCTCTTTGTCAAATAAATAAATAAAATCTTAAAAAAAAAAAAGAAAAATGAGTCAAATTATATTCCAACAAATTAGACAACCTAGAAGAAACAGATAAATTCCTAGAAACAGGGGCACCTGGGTGGCTCAGTCAATTAAGCGGCTGCCTTTGGCCCAGGTCATGACTCCAGGGTCCTGGGATCGAGCCCCATGTTGGGCTCCCTGCTTAGCAGGGAGCCCGCTTCTCCCTCTCCCTCTGCCTGCCACTCCCCCTGCTTGTACGCTCTCTCTGTAATAAAAAATAAAAAATCTTAAAAAAAAAAAATTCCTAGAAACATACAACCTACCAAGACTAAATCTTAAAATAGAAAATCTGAATAGACCAATCACTAATAAGGAAATTGAATCAGTAATCCAAAATCTCCCAACAAATAAGAGCCCAGGACCAGTTGGCTCAGTCCATTAAATGTCTGCCTTCGGCTCAGGTCATGATCTCGGGGTCCTGAGATCAAGTCCTGCATCGGGCTCCCTGCTCAATGGGCAGCCTGCTTCTCCCTGTCCATTGCTTGTGCTCTCTCATGCTCTCTCTCAAATAAATAAAATCTTTAAAAATAAATAAATAAATAAAATTCTCTCTCTCTCTCTGCCCCTCCCCTTCCTCTCTCTCAGAAAAAAAAGAACTAATAAATTCAGTAAGGTTTCAGGATATAAAATCAATATACAAAAATCAATTATATTTCCATTCACTAATAACTATCAGAAATTAAGAAAACAATCCCATTTATAATTATATCAAAAAGAATAAAATTCCTAGGAATATATTTAAGCAAGGAGGTGAAAGATCTGTATACTGAAAGACATTTATGATGGAAACTGAAGAAGACATAAATAAATGGAAAGATATTTTGTACTCATGAATTGGAAGAATTAATATTGTAAAAATGTCCATGCCACCCAAAGCACTCTACAAATTCAATGCAATCTCTATCAAATTCCAACAGCATTTTACAAAGAAATAGAACAGACAATCTTAAAATTTCTGTGGAACCACAAAAAAACCCAAATAGCCAGAACAATTTTAAGAAAAAAAAGCTGGAGGCATAATACTTCCTGATTTCAAACTATATCACAAAGTTATAGTAATCCCAAAAGTATGGCATGGGCATAAAAACAGACACATAGATCAATGGAACAGAATAGAGAGCCTAGAAATAAACCCATGCAGTGCACATGGGTGGCTCAGTCAGTTGAGCTTCTGACTCTTGATTTTGGCTCAGGTCATGATCTTTGGGTCATGAGATCGAGCCCCACATTGGGCTCTGTGCTCAGCACAGAGTCTACTTGTCCCTCTCCCTCTGCTCCTCCCCTAGACTGCATGTGTGTGCTTTCTCTGTCTCTCAAATAAAATCTTAAAAGAAAAAAAAAAAGGAACCCATGCATACATGGCCAATTGATTTACAACAAAGGAGCCAAGAATATACAGTGGGGAAAAGATAGGCTCTTCAATAAATGGTGTTGGGAGAACTGGATCCCTATCTTACACCATACACAAAAATCAACTCAAAATGGACTGAAGACTTGAACATATGACCTGAAACCGGAAAACCCCTAGAGGAAAATAGGGGGTAAGCTCTTTGACATCAGTCTTGGCAGTGATTTTTTGGTTCTGATACCTAAAGCAAAGGCAACAAAAGCAAAAATAAACAAATGGAACTACATCACACTAAAAAGCTTCTGCACAGGAAAGGATACCATCAACAAAATGAAAAGACAACTTATGGAATCAGAGAATATATTTGAAATATATATCTGGTAAGAGGTTAATGTCCAAAATACATAAAGAGCTCATACAAATAGCAAAAAAATCTGATTAAAAAATGGGCAGAGGAACTAAATAGACATTTTTCCAAAGACCTACAAATGGTGAACAGGTATACGGAAGGGTGCTCAGTATCACTAATCATTATGGAAATGCAAATCAAAACCACAATGAGGTATCACCTCATACCTATTAGAATGGCTATCATCCAAAAGATAATAGTTAATAAGGGTTGGTGAGGATGTGGAGAAAAGAAAACCCTGTGTACCTTGGTGTAAATGTAAATTGGTATAGCCACTATGGAAAACAGTATGGAAGCTCCTCAAAAAATTAAAAAAAAAAAAAAGAATTACCATACCATCCAGCAATCCCAATTCTGGATATATATCCAAAAGAAATGACATTAGGATCTCAAAGAGATCTGCACTCCCATGTTCACTGCAGCATTATTCACAATAGCCAAGATATGGAAACAACCGAAGTGTCCATCAACAAATGAATGGAAAAAGATATGGTATAGGTACACAATGGAATACTATTCAACCATGAGAAATAAGGAAATCCTGCCATTTACAACCACACAGATGGATCCTGAGGGCATTATGCTAAGTGAAATAAGCCAGACAGAGAAAGACAAATACTGTACAGTGTCACTTATGTGTGGAATGGAACTTTTTTCAAAAGTCAAACTGACCGAAACAGAGTGTAAAAAGGATGGTTTCCAGGGGCTGGGAGGTGGATAAAATAGAGACTGGTTAAAGGATAAAAACTTTCAGCTTTAGTAGGGATCCGAAGGGGTACGTGCACCCCGATGTTTATAGCAGCAATGTCCACAATAGCCAAACTGTGGAAAGAGCCAAGATGTCCATCGACAGATGAATGGATAAAGAAGATGTGGTATATATATACAATGGAATATTATGCAGCCATCAAAAGGAATGAGATCTTCCATTTGCAACGACGTGGATGGAACTGGAGGGTATTATGTTGAGTGAAATAAGTCAAACAGAGAAAAACATGTATCATATGATCTCACTGATATGAGGAATTCTTAATCGCAGGAAACAAACTGAGTGTTGTTGGAGTGGGGGGTGGGGTAGGAGGGATGGGGTGACTGGGTGATAGACACTGGGGAGGGTATGTGCTCTGGTAAGCGCTGTGAATTGTGCAAGACTGTTGAATCTCAGATCTGTACCTCTGAAACAAATAATGCAATGTATGTTAAGAAAAAAAAAAGAAGAAGAAGAAGGTAGCGGGAGGGGAAGAATGAAGCGGGGGAAATCGGAGGGGTGGATGAACCATAAGAGACGATGGACTCTGAAAAACAAACTGAGGATTCTAGAGGGGAGGGGGGGTGGGAGGATGGGTTAGCCTGGTGGTGGGTATTGAGGAGGGCACATTCTGCATGGGGCACTGGGTGTTATGCACAAACAATGAATCATGGAACACTTCATCTAGAACTAATGATGTAATGTATGGGGATTAACATAAGAATTAAAAAAAAAAAACAAAAAAAAACCTTTCAGCTTTAAAAAGTATAAGGTCTAAGGATCTAATATATAACATGGTGACTACAGTAGATAACATTGTGTTGTATGGCTGAGGTTTGCTGGGAGGATGAAACTCATATGTTCTTACCAAAAAAAGAGTGGGGAGGAAGGGACAGATATGTGAGGTGATGTAGGTGTTAATTAACAAGACAGGGTAATCCTTTCAAAATATATATGTGTGTGAAATCACCATGATGTACACTTTAAACATCTTACAATTTTGTTAGTATCTTTAAATATCTTACAATTTTTGTCAATTATACCTCAATAAGGCTGAAATTAAAAATAATTCATAATAAATATCCTAAAAAAAAGAAAGAAAAAGACATAGGTCTGTTATAATTTAGAATATAATTATATAAGTGAATAAGTCTTCGTAGGAGACCTATCCCTAGTTCACTGTCTTTTGCCCTCTTTAAGCCCACTCAAAAGTATAAATATTGACATGATGTACCTTCTATAGACAAGATATATCTTAATGTTATTCAATAAAGCTTCAGAATATATAAGTATGGATTAATATAAAGTACAGAGTCATGAAGTAAGCCTAGAATGGAAAGGGGTAATTATGCAGGACAATAAATTCAGTTTAAAGGATACGGTTAAATTTCTTTATCTTTTCAAGTTCAGAGGCCACAGACCTGTGCAAAAAGAAAAAAAGTAAGTTCATGATAGTTATGAGTCTTTTATAGCTACAATATTTCAAATAGGCATACTTGATTTTTTTTCATAAAATTTAGAACTGTAGGTAGAAGAGCCCAGAAGTTAAGAATTCTCTTTATAGGGGTGCCTGGCTGGCTCAGTCAGTGCAGCGTGGTGACTCTTGATCTTGGGGTTGTAAGTTCAAGCTCCATGTTGGGTGTAATTACTTAAAAATAAAATCTTAGGGGCGCCTGGGTGGCTTAGTTGGTTAAGCGACTGCCTTCGGCTCAGGTCATGATCCTGGAGTCCCGGGATCGAGTCCTGCATCGGGCTCCCTGCTCAGCGGGGAGTCTGCTTCTCCCTCTCCCGCTCCCCCCTCTTGTGCTCTTTCTCTCTCTCACTCTCTCTCTCTTAAATAAATAAATAAATCTTTAAAATAAATAAATAAATAAAAATAAAATCTTTAAAAAAAAAAGAATTCTCTTTATATTGGCTTTATTTAGCAACACATCAACTTGACTCAACCGATACTTGAGTGCTTTGAATGAATAAGGAAAATGAATAAAAGTCCCCACCTCAAGGACTTTTGAATGAGGTATTGATGTATGAATATAATGGGCATTCTTGCTATAACTCTTTTTTTTTTTAAATAACCATTTTTTCCTATTTATTTAAGCACAGTAAAAAAAAAAAAAGGTACACTTTGGAAATTCAGCGGTACAAGGTTCACTGCCATAACTTGAGGGACATTATACAGTTAATAAAGGAAGGAAATAAAAAGGGAAAAATTCCCCTGTTTGAAACACTGTATTACCTAATTTTACCTGCCCAAACAGACCATTTGCAAATATTAGGTCAATAAACTGCTAACATCCATAAAGAGGTAGCTTTCTCACTAAAATGCAAGAATTTAAAGGACTGGTATCTAACCAAGAAAAGACAAAAACAAACTGGAATGAAATGACATAGATATCACATCAAAAAAATAAATAAATAAAATCAGAGCTTTTTGTTTGGGCCTTCATACTCTTCTCTCCCTCTACCATATTCTGCTGGAGTGCCAGGCACCATTCCTTTAGGACCCTCTCCACCCACAGGCCCGGCCTGCTACAACTTCTTAATACTAACCTGGCATACCCTCTGCTTTCCTCCTCAGAGTTTAGTCAAGCTTTAAAAACCTACTAAGATTAGGGGCGCCTGGGTGGCTCAGTCAGTTAAGCAGCCAACTCTTGATTTCGGCTCAGGTCATGATCTCAGGGTCATGGGATGGAGCCCCGCATCAGGCTCCATGCTCTGTAGGGAGTCGGCTTGTCCCTCTACCTCCTCCTCTGACCCTCCCCCCATTCTTGCATGCGAGTGCATGCACACACTCTCTCCTTCTCTCTCTCTCAAATAAATAAATAAAATCTTTAAAAAAAATAAAAAGCTAGTAAAATCCTATCATTTCTATAAAAAGAGTGCTCTCTCCTTCCTTAAATTCCTATAGCCTTATGTCAACTAATCATATACTTATTTGCAATACCTTCTCTTAAACTCTTTAATTTTCTGATCTTCATACCTAGATTGTCTTTTTCAGGAGAAAGGATGTTTTTCTTTTTCTTCTGTACTTTGCACATATAATAAGACCTCATTTATATGAACTCTTAGGAAACAGTTTTGGAGAGCCAAGTTTTTACACAGTTGAATTAGGTGTCAAAACATAGTAAGTCCTTCCTTCCCTTTTATTTCCTTCCCTCCTTCCCTTTCCCTTCCTTCCTTCCTTCCTTCCTTCCTTCCTTCCTTCCTTCCTTCCTTCCTTCTTTCCTTCCTCCCTCCCTACCTCCCTCCCTTCCTTTGGAGAAGGTGGGGGGCAGAGGGAGAGAAATAATCTTAAACAGTCTCCATGCCTAACATGGAGCCCCACACAGGGCTCTATCTCACAACCCTGAGATCATGACCTGAGCCAAAATCAAGAGTTGGACGCTTAACCGACTGAGCCACCCAGGTACCCCCAAATAATAAGTATTTTCTATTAAATTTCTTCTAGAATAGACTATTGTTTTATTAAACACAGCATACTAAACATTCTCTTCTCCTTGATTGGAAGGGTTAACACGATGAACATTAGCTCTTACCATGTTCCACAGAAACAGATATTGGGGCAACTGGTAAGGGGCAGAGGGCTAAATTTGTACAACTCCAGCAGAATCTCTTATGTGTGTGTTCTTTTTCCTCATTAAGTTAGAATGAAATATGAGCAGTGGACACAACTAGAAAACAGTGTAACTCAACTAGCTCTCTGCAAAATTAATGAGGACTTTAATATCTAAAAGATCTCTCTATTCAAGTTACTAGAATAGTCTTCACAGTTCACAAAGGGGTATAGAACTTGTCTGCTTTACTGGCTTTACTACAGTACTTGTCAACTTGCACTCTTTCCTTGTACTCTAGCCTATGGATGGAGAATGAAAGAGATCTTTCAACATTTTAAGCATCTGTGGTAAAGACTTGGATATGACTTACTCCATAGTCTGCTGATTCTTCATCATTGCAAAACACCTTTTTTCCCCCACATATGACATATTTTTCTGGCCATAAGCAAACAATACAAACTACCTTTATGCTGTTGCTCATATGATGAACCAACTTCTTGTGAACGATCTGCTGTTCTATGTTTTGACTAGCATCCCTATTAAAAAGTTGAATCAGGGGTGCCTGGGTGGCTCAGTCGGTTAAGCATCTGCCTTCGGCTCAGGTCATGATCCCAGGGTCCTGGGAATGAGCCCCACATCGGGTTCCCTGCTCAGCGGGGATCTGCTTCTCCCTCTCCCTCTGCCGCTCCCCCTGCTTGTGCTCTCTCTCTCTCTGTCAAATAAATTAAAAAAAAAAAAAGTTGAATCAGTAAATTAATAATAGAAGGTGAGTTGGAAAAAAAATACTGAAATAAATTCAGGTAGCTCTTCATTGTGCAATCACTTCTCTTCCTTCAACCCTCCTTCTTTGACAAGGAAACAAAACACAGTGGAGAGGTCTTAGGCATGGCAAGGGAAATGGAACTATGGTCAGGGACTGCCTCTCCTCTCCCTACTCTTCCTCAGTTCCTTTGTCTTTCTGCTGCTCCTTGTTGCTTCCCCCCAGAGCTACTATCACCAATATGCACTTCCCTCAGGCCCTCACTTTGTAGTATGTCTTGACAGTTATCCTCTTCAAAGCCTTCATATGAAAAGGCCAGCATCTTAAAAACCTTGTCAGCTGAGTGATGATGAAGTGACCTGGCCAATCCTATAGTCATATACAATTTCCCTTTCATCCCAACTACATTTTTTGCCAGCTACTTGGGCAACTTTTCTGCTCCCAAACAGGCTGTAGCTGTAGAATGGAAGATCTGGAAAGCTGAATTCTTAGGAGACCTAAGATATTAAATAACATCGACTGATTTGATTTGTATCTCTTTCTCTAAGTAACTTAGGAAAAGGTGATAAGGAAGGATCAGGTTTAATGTTTATATTTTTTTCACCATGCTATGCTAAGACACTTTACAAAACTACCCTAAACCTTCCTAAATTGTTCCTGTTATACCTCTTTTCCTTTTTTTAAAAAAAGATTTTATTTATTTATTTGACACAGAGAGAGAGAGAGAGCACACAGGCAGGGGGAGCAGCAGAGGGAGAGGGAGAAGCAGACTCCCCACTGAACAGGGAGCCCCATGTAGGACTCGATCCCAGGACTCTGGGATCATGACCTGAGCCAAAGGCAGACGCTTAACAGACTGAGCTACCCAAGCACCTCCCCTCTTTTCCAATACAGGTTTCCTCCACTATCCAAAAGCTGAAAAACAATTACCATTAATTTTTATGGAAAATTTTTTGATCATTCCCACATGCAAAAAATAACCTCTCTTAGGCTTTTTTTTTTGACACCTGAGGACTCATCTTGCTAATGGATGCACAAAATAAACTGAGATGAAGCACAGAGGCTCACAGACACGTTCAAAGCTATGGCAGCTTGAAGCTGAGATGCTGAGTGTAGTTCCAGGGAAGGAGCTCGGAGGTACCACTCTCCTTGCTTGGGGTGCAAACTGCCTCTATAAGAGCTCATTGCAAAACAAATACTGAATGCTATTTTCACTTTTTGCCTTTTTTCTTAAAAGGAAAAATCCTTTTTGGATTTCTTTCAGTTAGCAAAAACAGGTACATACTCCCATCCAAGTACTAACGAGGCCCCACCCTGCTTAGTTTCTGAGATGAGAAAAGATCAGGTGTGTTCAGGGTGGTATGTCCATAGAAAAATGGGTACACACTGATGTAGGTCTTTCGTAAAAGCAAAGTGGTGTAATGCAAACTTTCGAAAAGTGGGGGATACCTGTATATTCAGATTATCCTCTCAGTGATACTAACCTTCCTAATGACCTTTCTTTCTGCCATTTGTTCTACTTAGGAACTTGTAATTCTATCAAGTCTGAGCTCCTCTACTGATCACAAGATCCATTTCTTTTTTTTTTTTTTTTTAAAGATTTTATTTATTTATTTGACAGAAAGAGACACAGCGAGAGAGGGAACACAAGCAGGGGGAGTGGGAGAGGGAGAAGCAGACTTCCCGCGGAGCAGGGAGCCCGATGTGGGGCTTGATCCCAGGACCCCGGGATCATGACCTGAGCCCAAGGCAGACGCTTAATGACTGAGCCACCCAGGCGCCCCTCACAAGATCCATTTCTATCCACCGAAACTCACACTACCGCCTAACAGATAGCTTCTGCTCCATAAAAACTATTTTCTCACTGTCTCCACAGGACAAAATATGCTTTTTACCTCTGCTCTTGCTCCCTCCCTAAAATGTCTTAATTTCCCTAAATATTCCTTTGAAGCCCAGTTCCAGTCCCCTGCACACTGAAAGGCACACAGGAAGGACTAAAATACTTTATTTGCTGATTTTCCAGTTAAGTTGGGAAAGGTAATTAACACGATAGAAGCGATTTCAAAATCAACTTTTTCTGAAAGTTTATTATGTTAGGCAACATTTTATTTCTTTTAATATTACTAAAATTTTAAAAATCTCCTTTAAATTTTTCCATAAAGTTTTCAGGATGAATTTAGCACATTAAAAGTCACCCATTTTGATATGAAGTTTTCAATGCAATTTTCTGACCTCAGATAAAATATGATGAAATGTAATAAATTAGATATCTGATTAAAGATAAATTATTTTCAAGCTTAAGCTATCAGGAAAAGTCTTAGGAGTTTACCATTTGGCATTTTTAATTTTTGTGTCTCTTCTACACAGATGAAGTTTAAAAGAAATATTAATACCAATTTTCTTCAATAACAGAAGATGAAGAATGTGTGGGCATCTCTCTCTCACTAGTCTGGGTCAGTCTTCTGCACCATGATACAACCGCTATCACATAGCTAGATTGAAAAATAAAAGAGGTATTTGAAAAATGAACTTGTATATTTATAAAAGCATTTTTTAAAAAGGAAAAATCATTAAGACAACTTGGGGGAAAAGGATAAAGAAATTCCCAAGCAAGGCATTTACTGGGCAATTTTTTGAATCTTTTTTAAAGGAAATGGAAAAGGCAAGTTTTTCTCATTATTCAGCAAGGAGAAAATGATTTACTCATAGTCATGATTAATAAAGATGAGATTTAAGAATCAGAACAAAGTGATACTTGGATTTCACTCAAAATTCAAATTCAAATGTCTAAAGTATCCTTTTAGTTTTACAAAGTAAAATGAGTTTCATTATGTTTTATAACGAAAATGTCTTTATGACTAAGCAAGCATTTGCTTTCTAAAATTAAAAAAATATATATTAAAAAAACAAAAATCCCCCACCAAAAATAAAAAAATAAAATAAAATTTAAACCAGAACACACCCATTAATTCCCCCCCACACACATACATAAATGTGTAATTATATATAACTCACTGAATATACAAAACAAGTATCAAGGTCAATAAAATGAATGATCTGAAGTGATGGGCTGAAACAAATAGTGATGTTTGCCAAAGACTAGTTTTTTTAAAGATTTATTTATTTATTTTAGAGAGAGAAAGAGCATGCTCGGGTGCACATGCAAGCAGAGGAAGGGGAGAGGAGAGGAGGAGAGGGAGAGAATCTCAAGCAGACTCAGGGCTTGATCCCACAACCCTGAGATCATGACCTCAGCCAAAATCAAGAGTCAGACGCTTAACCAACTGAGCCACCCAGGGGCCTTAAGACACTGTATTTTTGATGCAAATTATTCAAACTAGCAATGAATGTTGGAGCATTTACACCAAAACTCCCAACAGAAAAATAAATCCATGAGGTAAAAAAGCAATTCTTTTGTGAATATTCTCAAGTAAAATCACTAACATGTCGAGAACATTGCAAGTTGACTGATAACAAATTACATAAAACAAAAGCAAAAAAGCATATTCATAAAAAGCTGATTTCAAGAATCTTCTCCAACTTAAGCATCAGCGAATTAATTTTATTCCACTTTACAGAAATATACCTAAGTTTAGTTATTTGTGCAAACCTTACCTCAAATTGGTTAAGGCATTAATTAGTTAATTGGTAACACAGCTGTCCACAGTCCAATTTCCACAGCAAGCCAGTTATATTTAAAACATTTATTTTGACAAACCACTTGAATACAAATGGAAATTATTAAAGTTGACTTGATTTATTTAGTTATGCTAGATGCCAATATTACTGTAAATTCTGAAACCTATTGAAATGACATCATGTACATTATCTACCTGGAAAAACTAAAAATATATATAACATTTAAATCATGTTTATATGCTTCCCCTCTGTCTAAAAGTAAAATTTACTTACTACCATGAAAATAATTTTTAGGGGCACTTGGGTGGCTCAGTAGGTTAAGCATCTCCCTTTGGCTCAGGTCACAATCCCAGGGTCCTGGGATCAAGCCCCAGGTTGGGCTCTCTGCTCAGCAGGGAGCCTGCTTCTCCCTCTCCTTTTGCCTGCCACTCCCCCTGCTTGTGTTCTCTCTCTGACAAATAAATAAATAAAATCTTAAAAAAAAAAAAAAAAGAAAAGGAAAAGAATTTTTAAAACTGCTTTTCAGTACCTTTCGTATGGTCCAGGGTGTTCAATTTGAATTAACTGATCTTGTCCATCGGGAAAAGTTAACTTACACCAACCTAAATTGAGACCTTGATTTACCTTAAGCAGCAAAGAGGAAAGGTAAGTTTTATCATTCCAAAACTGAAACAAAAAACAAACATGAAATGCAACAAAAGCCTCTTTAAATTATCAATTTAAAAAATAAGTAGATGAATCATTAAAACTTTATTTTGATTAATTTAAAAGTTATCTTTTACATGGATTATGGGTATTATTTAACCACCCCTCTATACCAGTCCTTCTCTATATAATCAGTTACCTTTATAAAAATGATTCTTCGTCATCCTTTCTGATTTTTGCTAGGAAATCCAGTGAGATCACTAAAGCTTCTTAACAGATTTTATAGTTCAAAAAATAAATTGAAATAGTGTGCTACTTTATTTTCTTTGTTCTATTTCCACAGATAAAAAAACAATAAAAAATAGATTTCAGTCTGAAATATAATCACCTGTCTCTTTTCAATAAAAGAGCTGAAATTCCAATTTAGGGTTAGAGTAATGCCATCTAAAAAGACAGCATGTACTTTGTCATCAGAGTATGCAAGAAATCTTCCCACGCTGGGTATGATTGATTCTCTCAAAAGCAAAGGCAGTATACTGCTATCATTTATCCCAGGTACCTAAAATCAAGTTAATAAAAATAGCAGGAAAGAGAGTTATCCATTATTACTTAAATGATTAATAAACTAAGAGGCAACTTTATTTAGAAGTTGAATATTGTAGAATCCTTACATATATTTTGACTTTTCCAGAAGTGGATACCCAAATTAGTCTATTACAAGCAGATTAAGTTCTAATATCTTTGTAAAGTCACTGTTCTGCTGAATTTTACATAGAACATAGAAAAACATTAGGAACTACAGCAACGTATAGGTTTATAACTAAATTAGTACAGATAATAGAAATCAAAGTCTGAGAATCACTTCCTTTAAAGTCAACGTTAAAGAATTTACTTGTACAGTTACGGAAATACAGTAGAATACTGTAATATCATAGTTTAAAAGAACTATGTTTCCACAAACTTCAAATCCAATCAATTCCCTGCTCTTCCCCCTCCACTAAGAAAAAAGAAACAAAAACAAATTATAGACAAAGTATAACATAAAAGCTGGATCTTGCAGTGTTTTTCTAGTAAGTGGATATTTTTCTGAATAAACCAATATTAATGTTACAAAGAATTTCTCACATGACTTAGATGAAAGTAAATTGAACTTAGAGGTATGTATGCAAACAATAAAATAATTTTAAAAATCTTCTTTCTAAAATAATTTTAAGGGGCCCCTGGCTGACTCAGTCAGTGGAGCATGTGACTCTTGATCTCAGGATTGTGAGTCGGGCCCTAAATTGGGTATAGAGATTACTTAAAAATAAAAATCTTTAAAATAATAATAATTTTAAGATACCATTTTCCAGCAGCATATACGATAATTATGGCTTAAAGAAAGCCTTGTCTTGGCACAGTGTTGAAGAATTCTGTGAACATGAAAAACAGTACTTAAACATTTGCAAATAATGGCATTTTCCAATTCTAGCATCGCATTCTTACTGCTATACAACATGTTAGGCAAGTAACTCATTTCCACTAAAATAGGTTCAGAACACTTTTCTTCCAGAAATCCTTTATGCCCTGGAAGGGGGGTTGCTTTCCTTTGTGTTAATCTTACATAGTGAAGGCTACTCCTCTAATTTTTTAGCAATGAAATGACTCCAAATGGAGACTTTTGAGGTGCTCCTTTCTAAGAGGTGATGGATTCACAGCACCTGCAAGGTTTGTCAAAGCCAGAAGTACTCTTATAATGATGTGATTACCTTATTTTATAAATGAAGAGACCAGAAAACTTGACAGATTCTACCAAAGACACATATTTCCACTGTACCAACAAATTTTTAGTCTTCCCCTAACCACCAGAAAATGTATCAGGGTTCTCAGACACATAACACTTGAGTCAGATGAATGTGAAGAACTTACCTGGTTGCCTGTTTAAGTAGAGAACACACAGAGAACAGACTTCCTGGTCTGTCCGGAGGAAGGTTATTTACTGAGTAAGTTTTCTCTTCTCTCTGAAAATTAATTTAAAATGAAATAGCTCAATAATAAATCCTGGCCATTATTAGTTAACTCTTCTTTTTAAATTTTGTATTTATATTGTGACGATGCAAGCAGTTATTTTAACTTAAAAGCCCATAAAAGGTATATTTTTAAAGTTATTTTATGCTTTTCCTTTTTTCCCATTTTTTTTTAAGTCTAGCTTTCATCCTGGATAGTTATAAAAGTTGCATTCTAATACCCTATAACTTACTGCCCACTTTAAATTTTGGCTATACTTAATATGGCAACCAAATTAATTTTCCTACACCTTAGCAGAAATCATATAAGCCTCACTTTACCTGTAGACCAAAAAAAAAAAAAAAAAGCCTATATAGGTTTAAAAAACTATTTTAATTGAACAAATTATATAATTTTATTATGTTTTCTTAATGGAAGAACTACTGCTACAGTTTGTGGAAGACATATTATGTATAATATAAGCTCAGCTTCTTGAATTAAAAAAAAAAATTTTTGTTATTCCCTTTGAATTCCCTCTTTCTCAGGCTCTTTAACACTTGTGTTTCCCTGGGTTCTGTCTCCAGCCTTGTTTTCTGATTTCCTGACTTCTTCCTGGGTAATACCAGCAGAGTCCAAAGTTGTGTTCATAATAAATATAATATCAACAGCTAACATTTATTGAACAGATACTATATGCTAGGTGCTATGCTATGTAATTTACATGGTTATTTCATTTACTCCTCAAAACAATTCTGAGATAAGAACTATTAATGCCTATTTCTTTTAGATGAGGAAACCGAAATTTGAGGGCTAAGAAGTAGCACAGATCTAATTTGAACCACAAGAGAATATAGCTCATACATGCTTTACCATCAGTGAGAGAAGATAGGCTTTGAAGTTAAGACAAAGCTGGATTCAAATCACAAGTATGCCTCTTACTAATTATAATGACGGGCAGGTTTATGTAACCTTTTGGGTTTTTTTAAGATTTTATTCATCCATTCATTCATTCATGAGAGAGAGAGAGAAAGTGCATGCAGCAGAGTGGCGGGGGGAGGGGGAGCGGGCAGAGCGGGGGAGGAGAGGGAGGAAGAATCTGAAGCAGACTCCACAGTAAGCAGGTGCCTGACCCAGGCAGGCTCAATCTCACAACCAGGAGAGAAGACCATGACCCCAGCTGAAACCAAGAGTCATTGGTCCAACCGACAGAGCCACCCAAGGCGCACCTTACGCAGACTTTTTTAAACCTTGGTGCCTACTACCTGTGAAATGGTGATACTACCTACCACCTAGACTGAGGATTAATGATATAATACATATATAAAGTACCCAGGACAGAAGTTAGTATATAGTAGGTACTCAAAAAATAGTCCCTCCTCTTCTCTACTAGGCTTCTCCGCTGGAGATCTCACTTCAACATGTAGAAAATGGAATTACCTTCATTTCAAAATTCACATTTTCTCCTTCTCTACTTCGTATATACCTGTGGTGTGTTCCCTCTCCCTGGAATTCAGTTCCCTCCTCCATCATCTCCCTTTGTCTAACGCCTACTTTCCCTTCTTCTCAGGGAAGCCATTACTGAGGTCCCACAGACTAGGTGAAATCCCTAGTTATGTCCACAAGCACAGTACCCTCCACTCCAGCTTCTTGGTTTTCATTATGATTTCAATTTAATACTTTTTTACTTAATGTCTGTCTTCCCTGCTAGAATAGAGCTTCGTGAAGGTAGGGGATGTGTCTGTTTTACTGACCTCTGTATCCCCAGCATTTATTAGCAATGTGCTAAGGCACATGATAGGCACTCAAACTATTGCATTTTAACTATTTACATCTTTTTCTTTTGGATACTGAGTTCCTTGAGAGTTCTTGTCTTTTCCACTGCCCTATTTCATCAATTCTAAGGTGCTCACTTTTCACAATTTAACCTCTATGACATCTGGATACATCTTATAATTAAGAGTATCTCACTTTTAGGCAGATGTTGAGATCTAACAGAATTTAAATGTTTTATTGACACCTCCCAGTAAGATAAAAAAGCAGTCATCATCAAAACAGTTTAGATTTGATAAAATTTTGGTTTAATACTGTGCCTGCCACCATCACTCATTGATTTATTCAATAATCTGCCATCATTTTCAACTCCTTCCTCATCCCCAATCTCCAGTCAGCCATCAGTTCTGTTTCCTTAATATTTCTTGTGTCCATTCCTATGTTTCCATTCTCATTACCACTGCCTAGTCCTCATACTTTCTTCCCTGAACTGCTATAAATGTCTTCTAACTGGTCTACCTCTTCCCCACTCCAGTTTATCTTCCTCTGAAATGACCTAACAAAAATAGGATGTCACTTCCCTACTTAAATCCTTCAGTGGCTCTGCAAAAGCAATATGGTTTCTCATGCCCCCTTTAGGAGCTGGCCAAACTTAGTGGTTTAGTCTCTTCCCCAGACATTACCCCAACACTCGATCTCTACAGCATTCTGTCTATCTATAGCATTTTCATTTCCTTCAACACCCCACACTCGCCCCAGCCTCTAGTTAGGTGACATTCATCTACCTCTTTGATGCTCTAGCAATAATAGTGTGTTGAACAAGACAGGGCTGACTTCTAGTGTGGGCTAAGTTAGCAAACAAACATTAATCAGTAAGAAAATGTCACACAGTATTAACTGCTGGGAAGAAAAAAAGAGGAGGGTACCATGACAGACCGTGTCATAGGTAGCTTCTTGAATTTGGATAGTCAGGAAAAGCCTCCTTGAGGAGATGACATTTAAATAGAAATTTTACCAACAAGAAGCCAGCCATGCAAGGAGTGGAGCAAGTAGTGTTCCCTCAGCGATATACTCCTCCAACCTCTACCCTTCTTCTGTATAACTCCTTCTTTAAAATCATAGGTCTAGGGACACCTGCCTGGTTCAGAATAGAGCATCTGACTCTTGATCCAACTCTTGATCTTGGGGTTGTGAGTTTGAGCCCCATGTTGGGTGTAGAGATTACTTAAAAAATAAAATATAATGTAATTATAGATCCTAGCTAAGCCATGTCATCCTCCAGAAGACTTTTCCCCCCAAAACTAGGTCAGGTGCCCCTCCTTATGTGGTTCCAGAGCACCAAGTTCTTATCTCTACAGAAGCAATTACATCTTTCCTATTTAAAAATTTAAGTGTACAAGTAGCAATACATCACTATTTTTTTTTTTTTGGAAGAAAACAAAGCTAAAAAAATATAAGATTTAAGTCCCTCCCTACTTTTCCTCCCTCACAAAATCCCACACTCCTCCCCAAAAGTAACCACTTCAGTTTTAAGGTTTAAGAGATTTATCTATTTACTTGAGAGAGAGAGATAGAGAGAGCACAAGTGTGAGAGGCAGAGGGAGAGAGAGAATCTCAAGCAGACTCCTTGCTGAGCATGGGGCCTGATGCCGGGCTCAGTCTCACAACCCCGAGATCATGACCTGAGCCAAAAATCAAGAGTCAGATGCTTAACCAACTGAGCCACCCAGATGTCCCTTCAGTTTGGTTTTTATCTGCCCAGATCTTCCCCTGTGCATTTACATGTGTATTATATACAGTAATATATTTGGGTTTGGGGTTTTTGTTCTTTACAGAAGATACCACTGTACATGTTCTTCTGCAACTTTCCTTTTTCAGTGTCTTGGAGATCTTTCAATCTCTCTCTCTCTGTATGCATCTACATCTTCCTCATTCCTTTAAACTGCTGCACAGCATCCCCATAATCTGGCCACAAAGCTCATTTCACCATTTTTCTACTGATAAGCATTTAGACTGCATCCAGTTTTTTGCTACTACAAACAATGCTACAATCCACAACCTTCGCCGTATTTCTTTGTATATATGTGCTAATATTCCGCTAGAATAGATACCTAGAGGCAGAATTTCTAGCCAATTTAACTTGATATTTCAAATTGTCTTTCATGAAGGGTGAATCAATTTACACTCCAACCAGCACTGTGAAACACCCTTTACACTACACCCTTGCCCATCGTAGACACTATCAAACTTTAGATAATTTCATGAGTAAAAACATATGTTAATTTGCATTTCTTTGATGCAAGCAGTAAAGCCTAATATGCTTCCACATATTAGGAGTTATTTATATTGCCTTTTCTATGGCTTAACCATTCTTATTGTTTACTCATTTTTCTACAAGAGTTTGTGGGGGTTTTTGGTCTTTTTATTCTGATTTATAGTGTAGAATATTTTCTTCTAGGCCTTTGCTTATCTTTTTGGCTTTATCTAATTTAACAGAAGTTAAATATTTAAAATTTAACATAAGTATGAAAATTTCAAGGTTGCCAAACTTTTATTTTGTGCCTTCTGGTGTTTTGTACTGTACTTAAGAAGACCTCCCTCCCCCAAGATTATAAATATTGTTCTTCCATATTTTCTAACGTGAGAAAGTTTGGTTTCTTACATTTAGCCCTTTAATCCATCTGGAATTTATTTTTGAGTATGGGTTAAAGGAAGGAGCAAACAATTTTATCCTGAAAAGATAGCCAATTGTTCCTAAATCTCTTCACTCCAGTGGACAGAGCTAAAGTGTTGCTCACAGAGGTGGTCTGAGAGTGAAGCCTGAAGCAGGCCACCACAAAGGCACAACTCGTCTGGATGTTCTGTTTTCTCCCAAAAGCTCATGTTCCTCCTCCCTGATATGTTTGCTTCAGTATAAAAATTATCATCACTGGGGCACCTGGGTGGCTCAGTCGGTTAAGCATCTACCTTCAGCTCAGGTCATGATCTCAGAGTCCTGGGCAAGAGCTCTGTGTCGAGCTCCTTGCTCAGCAGGGAGTCTGCTTCTCCCTCTCCCTTTACCCCTCCCCCCACTCGTGCTTTCTCTCTCTCTCAAATAAATAAATAAAAATCTTTTTAAAAAAATTATCATCCCTCCCCTTTACACCTTGAGTAAAACTGAAGCTCCAGGAAGATGTAGCGTATTTATCTTGTACATTTTCAAATTCCCAATACGTAGCAGTCAGAAGTATAGGTATGCACACCCACTCTATTTGCCTGTTTAATTGACTGTCTCATGCACTAGACACACACACACACACACAGAATACTGGTCACACTTTTATTTCATTTGCTCATTTGCCTATCTGAATGACTACTAGGCTGTGAACGCTTGAGGGCAGGAGTTCTTCATCCTTACCCAGTGCCTGACAGAGTGTCTGCTTAGGAGTATTCAATTAATACGTATAGAATAAATGAACACTTTCCTACAAATAGACCCAGCGGGAAATCTGTTCCTATATATATGTTATATATATATAAATATTAATGAACGGAAAGATATTTGGGATTTACTTAAAATATAAATAGGGAGTGGAAGGGGCAGTGGGAAGTATAGATGGAACAAGTGGATAAACAAATTATCACTCAAAATTCCACTCTGTAATATGGAAAGAAAACATATTCATTATGTTCCATCCTGCAAAGCAAAGCCAGGTGATACTACGGTGATCCTTACATAATGGTGGATGTCAAATGTCAGATTGGGAACAAGCAAATGTAGACTATTAATAATATAGCCATATGACTACATTTTGGTCTGATAGATTAAATCTATCATGTTATGTTTTACTACTTTCAAAAACAGAGAACAATCTTGTTCAACTTTCTTTCTTTTTTTTTTTAAAAGAGGGTGGGGAGGGGCCGAGGGAGAGGGAATCCCAAGCAGACTCCATGCTCAGCATGGAGCCCACCACGGGGCTTGATCACACATCCCTGAAATCACAACCTGAGCCAAAACCAAGAGTTGGATGCCCAACTGACTGTGCCACCCAGGTGTCCCTTGTTCAACTTTATAGTTGTATATAAAGATTTAGGAGTTAAGAGGTATTTTAAATATGCAAACAGTTACATGATGGGGAAAAAAAGAATGTGCATATATTAATTCAAAGAGGAATACTGATTCAAAGTAATGCTGCTGGTTTTAGTGTTTCCTTATTGATAAATTCTATGACATGAGAAGTTTAAATTTGGGGCGCCTGGGTGGCTCAGTCGTTAAGCATCTGCCTTCGGCTCAGGTCATGATCCCGGGGTCCTGGGATTGAGCCCCGCATCGGGCTCCCTGCTCCGCGGGAAGCCTGCTTCTCCCTCTCCCACTCCCCCTGCTTGTGTTCCCTCTCTCGCTGTGTCTCTCCCTGTCAAATAAATAAAAAATCTTTAAAAAAAAAAAAAAAAAGAAGTTTAAATTTAACTTCCGATTTAAACATAAATTGGGGCACCTGGCTGGCTCGGTCGGTAGAGTGTGTGACTCTTGATCTCAAGGTTGTTAAGTTCGAGTCCTACCTTGGGTGTGAAGCTTATTACTTAAGAAGAAAATCTTAAAAAACAAACAAACAAACACAAATTTCTTAGGCAAATGACTGGCAGAATACAGGATAAAAATGCAATAAAAATAAGGTGGCTAGTAATCACTGTGACAATGTTGGCAAAAGGTTATATGAATTCTCCAGACTGTGTAGTAGTAGGCAAGCAATGTTATGTAAAGATCAAATTTCCTATATATATTCAGAATTATTTAGAAACAGCTATATACAAATTCTTGAGCTGAGACCTAATTGTCAGCTTACCTCTTCTGATCCTTCTTGAATGGAATAATATGTAAAATACCTCCCAAAATAAGCTCCCTCTGATTTGAAAACAGATCCATCTCCAGGATAAATCTCTATTGAGTTCACATTTTTATGGTTTAGTCTAAGGAAGGAAAATAATCATTAAATTTCTTTTTCTAGTTGAGAGTAAAACATAAATGAGAGCAATCAAACAAACAAACAAATTAGTAGGGGATTTTGCCTACCCAGCAAAATGGATACTTGCAAACTCTGCACCCAACCAGCTATACTAAATTTTTTGCAAAAAAATAAATAAAACACATAGAATTGGTTAACATACCTATTTCAAGAACTAAGCCTACTTTTTGGAAGTCAGGCATCTTATCATCCTGGTAGCTTCACTGCCAATCATGGTAGCTGGCATACACTAATCACCAAAGAAATGCCCACTGCAAAGAAGTTAAATATGACAACTCCAGAACCCGAAAATAGGATTATTCTTCAATAATGAAACTAGTAGAATCAATATCTGATGAATGAGATTAGCCATGTGTAAAAGGAACCATCTCTAAGAGAAGGTGATTGATCATATCTGAAGCAGCCAAGTACAATCAAGATATTGGGTATATAACGTACAAAAACTTCAGCCAAATCTACTTTTTAAAAAGAAATATATGAAGAATATATTGTCAGGAAGGAGTGGGCTTTCATGCACAAAAGGAGAGCCCAAAGAACAAAATTTTGCAGTGCTCTTCCAGCATTATTTATAGTAGTGAAACCATGAATCTAGCCAATATTAGTATTCTAGTCACCGGAGAGGTATACTTTGTGGTGGGGTAGGAATAATTCAATGGGATAGTGCAGACACAGAGGAGCCTCTAATCTTCTCTAATGCCATGCTCAACAGGCAACATTTTGATGTGACTAATTCAGACAGCTAGATCCCCTGATGCTTGGAAGAGGAATCCTAAATAACTGACATGAGTATTTCATTCACCAGGAAAACTAATCCTCACTGGCTCTGGAGTTGTCACAAAAATCCTGTGAATATGGTTAATGTGAATTAGTCACAAGACCCCTATGTACACTCATAAAACTAAGTTTTGGGACCTATAAAATTTAGGACCAAACAGAAGAATGATGGCCCTGGCCAAACTGTTGTTTGTGGGAGTCTGTCTGCAGGGCTAGTCCCCTCCCCTCTGACATCGCTGAAGAGCTCCCACTCCAACACAGGTGCCTTACCGGTAAGTTACACCTTTGTACCAAACCACTTTCACTAGCTCAGCATAGGAATATTCTTCATCAAACTGTCTTTGTGAAAGTGAATCACAAAAATTCCACCTGTGAAGGACAAAGTACAAGCTTGTAATTCTGGTCACTTAACATAATTACCTTTAGAAGTCAACAAAATAGTGCTACTGTAACAAGATGTATTTCTTACTTAACTTGCTAGAGCAAAGAAAAGCAAAAATTAACATAAAGGTATATGAAGGAAATTGAAAACTTATTTTTCCATGTATTTTTTTCAGTATTTTTAACAATCTCACTATTCAATCTCAGCACAATTACATAAATGAACAGTTTTACTAACATTTAAAATTTAGGATTCAAACAACAAATATTTTCTACACTATCTATGCCACACCCACTGGGGATATAACACCCAAAAAAGCAGACACAGTCACTGCCCTCAGTGAAGATTCTTATCAAGCAGGGATGTTAAACAGCAGACACAGAACACAAAGAAAGGAGAATTGCTGGATGCTGTGGGATTGGAGAAGAATCTAATCCTGTCTGGGAACTTTAGGACAACCACCCGAAGGAAGAAAACTTCCGCTGAGACCTGGAAATGCGCACAAGTTAGCGAGCTGAGAAAGATAAAGCAGTGCTCCTGGCCAAGGACAGAGCAGGTGAGGTGGGAAACAAAGCTTGGACAGGCATTCTAGAGATTGTAAAAAGGCCAAGAGTAGAAAAAGCAAGGGAAGCGTGGTGAGGATTACAGATGTTGAAGGGATCAGAAAATGGAAGGCCTATTAGGCCATGTTTAAAGATAATGGACTTTAAGGTTAACAGCAAGTTATTGAAAACTATTCATCTGGAAGCCTAAATCTCTTTCAATGTGTATTTATAATACTGGAACTTCCAATTTTAACTAGATAATCATGACAAGCCTGAAAAATCACTCCCCTGTTTTGCTTTAAATAACAAATATATATTCAGAGACAACCTGGGATCAAAGCCCAATTCTACACGTGCTAGCTATGTGACTCTGCTCAGGTTATTTAACCTTCCTATTTCTCCAGGCTATCAGATGGGATAAAAAAAACAAGACCCATCGATATGCTGTCTACAAGAGACTCATTTTAGACCCAAAGACACCCCCAGATTGAAAGTGAAGGGGTGGAAAACCATTTACCATGCTAATGGACACCAAAAGAAAGCTGGGGTGGCAATCCTTATATCAGACAAATTAGATTTTAAACCGAAGACTGTAATAAGAGATGAGGAAGGACACTATAATCTACTTAAAGGGTCTATCCAACAAGAAGATCTAACAATTGTAAATCTATGCCCCTAACATGCGAGCAGCAAATTATATAAGGCAGTTAATAACAAAAGCAAAGAAACACATCGACAACAATACAATAATAGTGGGGGACTTTAATACCCCCCTCACTGAAATGGACAGATCGTCTAAGCAAAAGATCAACAAGGAAATAAAGACTTTAAATGACACACTGGACCAAATGGACTTCACAGATATATTCAGAACATTCCATCCCAAAGCAACAGAATACACATTCTTCTCTAGTGCCCATGGAACATTCTCCAGAATAGATCACATCCTAGGTCACAAATCAGGTCTCAACCGGTACCAAAAGATTGGGATCATTCCCTGCATATTTTCAGACCACAATGCTTTGAAACTAGAACTCAATCACAAGAGGAAAGTCGGAAAGAACTCAAATACATGGAGGCTAAAGAGCATCCTACTAAAGAATGAATGGGTCAACCAGGAAATTAAAGAATTAAAAAAATTCATGGAAACCAATGAAAATGAAAACACAACTGTTCAAAATCTTCGGGATACAGCAAAGGCAGTCCTAAGAGGAAAGTATATAGCAATACAAGCCTTTCTCAAGAAACAAGAAAGGTCTCAAATACACAACCTAACCCTACACCTAAAGGAGCTGGAAAAAGAACAGCAAATAAAGCCTAAACCCAACAAGAGAAGAGAAATAATAAAGATCAGAGCAGAAATCAATGAAATAGAAACCAAAAGAACAGTAGAACAGATCAACGAAACTAGGAGCTGGTTCTTTGAAAGAATTAACAAGATTGATAAACCCCTGGCCAGACTTATCAAAAAGAAAAGAGAAATGACCCAAATAAACAAAATCACGAATGAAAGAGGAGAGATCACAACCAACACCAAAGAAATACAAATAATTACAAGAACATATTATGAGCAACTAGATGCCAGCAAATTAGATAATCTGGAAGAAATGGATGCATTCCTAGAGATGTATAAACTACCAAAACTGAACCAGGAAGAAATAGAAAACCTGAACAGACCAGGTGCCTGGGTGGCTCAGTTGGTTAAGCGACTGCCTTCGGCTCAGGTCATGATCCTGGAGTCCCTGGATTGAGTCCCACATCGGGCTCCCTGCTCAGCAGGGAGCCTGCTTCTCCCTCTGACCCTCCCCCCTCTCATGTGCTCGCTCTCTCTCATTCTCTCTCTCTCAAATAAATAAAATCTTTAAAAAAAAAGAAAGAAAGAAAGAAAGAAAACCTGAACAGACCTATAACCACTACGGAAATTGAAGCAGTAATCAAAAATCTCCCAACAAACAAAAGCCCAGGGCCAGATGGCTTCCCAGGGGAATTCTACCAAACATTTAAAGAAGAATTAATACCTATCCTTCTGAAACTGTTCCAAAAAATAGAAATGGAAGGAAAACTTCCAAACTCGTTTTATGAGGCCACCATTACCTTGATCCCCAAACCAGACAAAGACTCCATCAGAAAGGAGAATTACAGGGGCACCTGGGTGGCTCAGTCGTTAAGCGTCTGCCTTCGGCTCAGGTCATGATCCCAGGGTCCTGGGAACGAGCCCCGCATTGGGCTCCCTGCTTGGTGGGAAGCCTGCTTCTCCCTCTCCCACTGCCCCTGCTTGCGTTCCTGCTTTCCCCATCTCTCTCTCTCTGTCAAATAAATAAATAAACTCTTTAAAAACAGAAAAAAAGGAGAATTACAGACCAATATCCTTGATGAACATGGATGCAAAAATTCTCACCAAAATACTAGCCAGTAGGATCCAACAGAACATTAAAAGGATTATTCACCACGACCAAGTGGGATTTATCCCTGGGCTGCAAGGTTGTTTCAAAATCCGCAAATCAATCAACGTGATACAATACATTAACAAAAGAAAGAACAAGAACCATATGATCCTCTCAATAGAGGCAGAAAAAGCATTTGACAAAGTACAGCATTCTTTCTTGATCAAAACTCTTCAGAGTATAGGGATAAAGAGTACATACCTCAATATCATAAAAGCCATCTATGAAAAACCCAAGCGAATATCATTCTCAATGGGGAAAAACTGAGAGCTTTCCCCCTAAGGTCAGGAACACGGCAGGGATATCCACTTTCACCACTGCTATTCAACATAGTATTAGAAGTCCTACCCACAGCAATCAGACAACAAAAAGAAATAAAAGGCATCCGAATTGGCAAAGAAGAAGTCAAACTCTCACTCTTTGCAGATGATATGATACTTTATGTGGAAAACCCAAAAGACTCCACCCCAAAACTGCTAGAACTCATACAGGAATTCAGTAAAGTGGCAGGATATAAAATCAATGCACAGAAATGAGTGGCATTCCTATACACCAACAACAAGACAGAAGAAAGAGAAATTAAGGAGTCGATCCCATTTACAATTGCACCCAAAACCATAAGATACCTAGGAATAAATCTAACCAAAGAGGCAAAGAATCTGTACTCAGAAAACTATAAAATATTCATGAAAGAAATTGAGGAAGACACAAAGAAATGGAAAAACATTCCATGCTAATGGATTGGAAGAACAAATATTGTGAAGATGTCAATGCTACCTAGAGCAATCTACACTTTCAATGCAATCCCCATCAAAATACCATCCACTTTTTTCAAAGAAATGGAACAAATAATCCTAAAATTTGTATGGTACCAGCAAAGACCCTGAATAGCCAGAGGAATGTTGAAAAAGAAAAGCAAAGCTGGCAGCATCACAATTCCGGACTTCAAGCTCTATTACAAAGCTGCCATCATCAAGAGAGTATGGTATTGGATGGGTTAGCCTGGTGATGGGTATTAAAGAGGGCACGTTCTGCATGGAGCACTGGGTGTTATATGCAAATAATGCATCATGGAACACTACATCAAAACTACACTACATCAAAAACTAATGATGTAATGTATGGTGATTAACATAACATAATAAAAAAAAATTCATAACCTTCCTGTGTCTCAAGTTCCTCTGTAAAATGGGTTGATAACCATACTTACCTCATACAATTTCTATGATAATCCAATAGATGAAGTACCGAGGTGCCTGGCACGTAAGCACTTTGTGTCAGCTATTACCATCACTACTGTACTACTTACAGAGGTTATTCACCTCTTTGTCGAGGGAAAAGGTTTATATCTGGCCTCCAGAAACCTCTCCACGTTTACCACTTGTTTCAAAAATGTTCAATGTGTATATACATGGGTGTATACAGCTAACCAAAGATAGGTGTGGCCTCTGAGACTAGGTATGAAAGAACCCAGGATCATAAATCAGTCAGATCCATGCTCCAGCAACCAATGGGAGGACTCCACACAGATGCAGTTGATGTTTCTCTGTGCTCCCCACCACAGCCCTGTGCCAACACTTACCACACTTTAATCATCTTTTCAGTGACAGTGACCTTCACAGAGTCCAAGCTCCTAGAAAGCAAGGACTGTGTCTTGGTCATCTCTATAGTCTCTGTGCTTTAGAAAGTATGTAGTGTACAGTCAGCCTTCCATAAACACTCAATGCATGAGTACAGAGTAAGGAACATAAGCAACACATGGGCTAGGGGAATGATTTACTATTGGTTATTAGCAAAGTTTTGGATCACTGAACTTTCCTTAAGAATGGTAGCAGATGACTGAGAAAGAAAAATTATCTTTAGTTAAGGACTGGCTCTGACAAGAGCTTGATGACAAAGAAGCCATTCTTCCATTACCTGTGCAGGTGGGGGACAGGACAGCTGAGTAACAGGGCCCTGGGAAGAGCAGAAACCTCTTTTCCTCTTTCCTCTGAAATCTCAGAAGTTAACGTTCTACTCCGGGTGATGTCTGCATCACTTCTTGACATACTGCTGATTTTATTATGAAAATGAAGTGCTAAAGACAAAGGATATTTCCATTCCTCTGGACAGGAGGCCACAGGCCAGCGCTGCTTCACCCATGTGTATACACACGTGTGTCGTGTACCAGGCGGGGGTGGCTCCTCCCTCCTTTCAGCTCCATCTACACAGCTCTTCTTCTCTAAAGGTTCCTTGGATTTCGTGAGCTGACAATAAAGGTCATTTTCTTTATTCTTCAGTCTCTGTCTTGATAAACTTCCATATGTACAGATTTTGCCTGCTTTCTCAACTAGTTTGTCCTTTCTGGCTTGATTCTTCTTTTCTGACAATACTAAAGACGAGTCTGGCTTCTGGCTTACTTTACACAAAAAATGTACTATAAATTCATGCTGCGATCTGGGAAGGCAAAGGTATGCGTGCCCATCCAACGATGCTATCTTCACGCTGCCCCTCTGCGTACATACCACACCATCAGCAGTGTCAGGACTGGGCCATCTCACTTCTGAGAAGTCAATGAAGATACGCTGAGTGGAGGGGAGAAAGAGAGATGGGGAGCATTTTGTCAGCAGTCCAATGTTTCCATACATTTGATGCTTATATATTGTGTAAGAAAGCTCTTGAAGTTGGGTTTGTGTTTTACTACCTAGAAAGAATGAAAAATGGCGAGCCAGGTGTTGGCCTATATGTATTTTTCCACAGAATATTTGATATTGTTAAGATTATTCCTCTTAGAGAGATGTAAAACACACACACACACACACAGAGATAAAAAATGAAAGAGAAGAAAAAGAGATAGATTTTCAGCCCTTCCCAAAAGTCTACCCTGAAAAAGAATATTAATGAGGGAAGATCAGCACTACAATGTACAAACACCACCACAATGTACTATATTAAAAGCAATCACAACTTAAATGGTATGGAACTAGTATAAAAATCATTGACAGAGCAACTCAGATAACAAGGAAACAGAATCAACCATATCTTAAGATGTTACATGTGATTACATAAACTTTTCAAAACAAGGAGGGAAGGGGAGAATGACTTAATAAATGGTACTGGAATTACTGAATAGCATGTGGGAAACGCTATCTCAAAGGGTTATCCAATAGACTAAATAACATGTATAAAGTACTTATCCTAGGTAGCACCTGGCACACCATACCCTAAAATAAATTCCAGGTAGCTTAAAGGGCAACATTTTTTAAAAACTGAATTACTAGGGGCGCCTGGGTGGCTCAGTCAGTTGAGCGTCAGGCTCTTGGTTTCAGCTCAGGTCATCATCTCACTTGTCGTGAGATCGAGCCCTGTGTCATCGAACTGTGTCGGGCTCTGCGTTCAGCGGGGAGTCACCTTGGGGGTTCTTGCCCTCTGACCCTCCCCCACTTGCACGCACCCTCTCTCCCTCTCTCTCTCAAATAAATAAATAAATAAATCTAAAAAAAAAAATTACTCAAAGGTAAACTGATCCTGACCAATAGCAAACAGACTCGTAACAGGTGCCAGTGCCTACTACATCTCCTCATATAAGATAAAAACAGTAGGTGTCACCTAACAGTCTTTTTTTTTTTAACCCATAATTTTTTTTTTATTATTATGTTATGTTAATCACCATACATGACATCATTAGTTTCTGATGTAGGGTTCCATGATTCATTGTTTGCGTATAACACCCAGTGCTCCATTCAACACGTGTCCTCCTTAATACCCATCACCGGGCTGACCCATCCCCCCACACCCCTCCCCTCTAGAACCCTGTTTGTTTTTCACGTAACAGTCTTTTAATCAATTAATCTTGGCAACAGTTAAACACTTCAGCTTCCATTTATATAAAACCTTAAATTTACAAAAGCTAGTGTCAAGAAAGCCTCTTAAACTTATAGTGCTATTTATGTGTACAGATGTTAGTACAGTATTCACTGATGGCAAAGCTGGCTTGTAAGGATGGTCAGTTAAGATGGTTCTCTCTTCGGGGCACCTGGGTGGCTCAGTCGGTTAAGTGTCTGCCTTCAGCTCAGGTCACGGTCCCAGGGTCCTGGGATGGAGCCCTGCACTGAGCCCCATATCGGACTCCCTGCTCTGCAGGGAGTCTGCTTCTCCCTCTTCCTCTGCCTCTCCCCTCACTCAGGCTCTCTCTCTCTCAAATAAATGAATGAATCTTAAAAAAAAAAAGTTCTCTCTTCCAGAGTTAGATTATCTAATAATCCTACTACAGCATCAGCAACAAATACTCTTATAGACTAAGTTACAGCTTACAATTTTTCTTGGCTCCTTTGCCATCATGACAGTAGTGGAAAATGATTAAAAGACATGGCCTTCAGAGTCAGATAAACTTGGTTCAAATCCTGACTGCCTTTTAGAAAATGTCCACGAACAGATTAGGTAAACCCTCTGAGATTTAGTGCCCTCACCTGTAAAAATATACCTGAATATACCTGTTTTGACTGGCTGGACATCCACTTTGATTATCAGGAACCCATGCCATACTGACTGGTGTTATTAAATATTTTTAATATCATTCCTAATTCTTGGCACAAAGTAAATCCTAATAAATGATAGCTATATTATTATTCATAAAACTTCAAAATAGAATATAAGCAAAAAAATAAAATGTGCGTATCTATAAGTAATTAAACATCTCTATTGAACAGTAACTGCACATAAACTACTGAACTATGTACCTTCAGGGTTTCATCAATATTTAACATACCAGAACACCCTAGTCTGGTGAAAAATATAAGCCTATGCATTCTACAGCAACATGTGTATTCCCAAGTCTCATAAAGAAAAAGATTAAATATGAAACTACCTGTTTCTAATTACTTGCCCTCAAATATTACTTATAAAAAAATCTTTGAAAAATTACCTTTTTTCTTTCAGAAGGTATGATGGTTTCAGATAAAAAAGGGCAAACAGCAAAAGAATTTCGAAAATCTAGGGCTCGCTGTAGTTGCTCCTACAAAAAGAAATACATAATGTAACCTTAAAAAATGTAAAATAATTTGAAAATCAATTTAGAGTGACAGTAATCTGGAATACTGATTACTTTCCATATTCTGACTACCTCAACAATATTCTGGCATCAGAAAGAGTTGTTTCTGTGTCATCTTTACTTACTCGGTAAGTGCTAATAACGAAGTGTGTCCTTTGACGAATTCTTTCTGGTTGTTCTAAAGGATGTGCTGAAACAGGAGGTGCCTTTTCAAATAAAAATTCAGAGCCACATGGAGAAAGCTGCAGTCTGGAACCATCAACATATTGCACTTGCACTGAATCGTCTTCATAAAGTACCATTCGCACTTCCGCTGCCATTCCTAGGACTATGGATGAAATGTCCTTCCAGGGTGAAGACTGAAGGAAATAGGAAATAGGGTAGCACAAATAGTTCCTTTAATGTACAAAAGTTCTATAATAGAAAATGGATGCATTTTCTAAGAACATAAGCAAAATGTATTTCCCTTGTATTTTTGTTGGAGGAAAAGGGATTATTGGGGCACCTGGGTGGCTCAGTCGGTGAAGCATCCGACTCTTGGTTTTGGCTCAGGTTGTTATCTCAGGGTTGTGAGATCGAGCCCCACATTGGGCTCCGCACTCAGCCCAGAGCCTGCTTGAGATTCTTCCCCCCTCTCTTTCCCTCCCCCTCTGCTCCTTTCCCCATGCTCTCTCTCTCTAAAATAAAAAAAAATTTCGGTTGCCTGGGTGGCTCAGTCGTTAAGCGTCTGCCTTCGGCTCAGGTCATGATCCCTGGGTCCTGGGAACGAGCCCCACATCGGGCTCCCTGCTCGGCGGGAAGCCTGCTTCTCCCTCTCCCTCTCCCCCTGCTTGTGTTCCTGCTCCCGCTATCTCTCTCTCTGTCAAATAAATAAATAAAAAATCTTAAAAAGAAAGTTAATTAAAAAAAATTTTTAAGAAGCAAAATAAATAAATTTTAAGAAGTGATTATTTTACTACATACTTTTAAATTATCTGACATTAACAACCTGAACAGAATGCCTTGATTAACCCCGAGGGCTTTACTCCAATGTGGGAAGATAACCTAAAGGGATAAGAAAGCTCATCAAGTTATAACTGCCTTTATACTTTCAATAGCTTTAGTTCTCCTGAAGTTTAATTTCTGTAAATTATATGCTCAGCAAGTCAATTCATATAATAAGCAAATTCCATCTTTGTGATAAGAATACAGCAAATCATTTGTAATATATGCAAAAGGCAGGCCAAAAGTAACTAGTAGGCCTAAGAAAAAGAACACTGAAAAAGAAATCCCAATACCTGGATTTTTGTTCCTAGTCTGACATTAAGGAAGTAGTTCCATGTCACTCCTGAATAAGCTAAGTAATCTTCTAGTGTCTTAGACTCACTCTTATTTCACTGAATTCAATTTCCTCTTCCCTACCTCTAAAATGACTGTCATCGCCTACGCTTTCCATAAAGGGTTGACTGATGGGCAATTAGAGGGTTGGGTTCCATTCATACTCCACCATATACTAGCTAAATGCTTCAGGCTGTTTGTTTCCTTATTTGTAAAATGGGGCATAGTAACAAGACTGTTGCGAGGATTGAACCAGACAACACATATGCCAGTGCCAGAATTGCAATGTCGCTTTGTAGGCGCCCAATCTTTTTTTTTTAAGATTTTATTTATTTGTCAGAGAGAGAGAGAGCACAAGCAGGGGGAGCGGCAGGCAGAGGGAGAAGGAGGCGGGGGAGAAGCAGGCTCCCTGCCGAGCAAGGAGCCTGATGCAGGACTCGATCCCAGGACACTGGGATCATGACCTGAGCCGAAGGCAGACACTTAACTGACTGAGCCACCCAGGCGTCCCATGAACCACCCAGGCGTCCTGGAGCTCAGTAAATTTTATGATTCCTTTCTAACACCATCGCCATCCTCTCTGACACTTACCCATCTCCCTCTAGAACATCATCCTTTTTTGTTTTAATATTTATTCATTTAAGAGAGGGAGAGAGGGTGGGGGAGGGGCAGAGGGAGAGAATCTTCAAGAAGACTCCCCGCTGCGCGTGGAACCCAATGCAGGGCTCCATCTTACCACCCTAAGATCACGACCTGAGCTGAAACCAAGAGTTGGAAGCTTTACCAACTGAGCCATCCAGGTGCCCCGAGGACATCATCCTTTTTAAGACTTTCCTTTCTAAACACTAGCCCATCCTCTTCTAGGGCATTATCTCCTACTACTCAGGTGGTCAACTTTCACCTGACAGAAAAAAGTAACTTTCCTCAGTTTACTCTTTTTTTTTTTTTAAAGATTTTATTTATTCATTTGAGACACAGAGATACAGAGAGAGAGAGAAAGCATGAGCAGGGAGAGAGGCAGAGGGAGAAGGAGAAGCAGGCTCCTCGCCGAGCCAGGAGCCCAATGCGGGGCTCGATCCCAGGACCCTGGGATCATGACCTGAGCTGAAGGCAGATGCTTAACCATCTGAGCCACCCAGGCGCCCCTCCTCAGTTTACTCTTTTTGCCTACCAAAAAACTTCTCCAGTATAATATCCACTCATTGTCCACTTTCTCTCCCATCCGTCTTCAGTCCATTGCAATCCAGCCTTTCTCCACCTTTCTACTGAAATTGTTTCACAACGGTCACCAATGTCTTCCCACACACAGTAACTTCAGTCTTCATCCTACTAAACTGCTCACTCTGTGATAGTGCTGTCCACCTTCCCCTGCACCAAACTCTCTTTTCCTCTGCCTTTTATTTTTTTAAAAAAGGAGGGAGTGCCATGGTTTCTCCCACTACATCTACCTCTATTTTTATTTTAATTTTTTAAATTTTAAGTGGACTCCACACCCAACGTGGGGCTTGAACTCATGATCCTGAGATTAGGAGTCACATGCTCTACTGACTAAGCCAAACAGGGACCCCTACCTCTGTTTTTAGTTTAATCATTCCTTTCACCATTCTCTTAAATCAAGGATTTAAGACCTGACCTTAGTCCCATATCATCTCTTACTATAACCACTCATGTTGCTTTTATGCCCACTCTCTCTTTTTAAAAAAAATCTTACGCCCTTACAATGTATGTAATCAGCTACATATGACTGGCCTATAATCCTCTGTAAAATATGTCAGAATATAAGTACACGTTAAGCCATATGGTCTCTCCTGAGCAGATTCACACAATTTTATTAATTCCCCTCTCTAGAAAACTTCCAAATCCACCTGACCTCTCCCCAGAACTTTAAGCTGCCTGCTAGACCTCTCTTCATGTCCTTGTCCCACAGATAAATCAAACTCAATTAACATAACTAAAATGGAACATTGTCACTCCCACCAAAGCAGACTTCTGTAACATCTCCTCATTTCACTTTCACTCTTACCTCCCTCAAGTCCAGTCTACACACAGTAGCCAGAGGGATCTTTTAAAATAAAAATGAGATCTATCACATCCTGGCTCACAATCTACCATTTTGCACTTAAATAAAATTCCAAACCAAGACCTATAACAGCCACACAATCTGGCCTCATCTTCCCCTCCAAATGTCATCTTCTATCTCTCTTCTCTTGTTCAGGACACTTTAGCTACAGTGGCTTTTTTTTTTTTTTTAAAGATTTTATTTATTTATTTGAGAGAGAGAGAATGAGAGACAGAGAGCATGAGAAGGAGGAAGGTCAGAGGGAGAAGCAGACTGCCTGCCGAGCAGGGAGCCCGATGCGGGACTCGATCCCGGGACTCCAGGATCATGATCTGAGCCGAAGGCAGTCGCTTAACCAACTGAGCCACCCAGGCGCCCCTACAGTGGCCTTTTTAATGTTTTTAAAACAAGCTGTTTCCTATCTCAGACCCTTTGCACTGTTCTTTCTGCCTAGCATGTCCTTTCCCTGGCTTATCACATGGCTGGCTCTTTGTCTTTTAAGCTTAAATATCACTTCCTCAAAGGCCTGACTTGTTCAACTCAATTAAAGTTGTTCCCAACCACCTCCCAATCACTTTTTTTTTTTTTTTTGTCAGAGAGAGAGGGGTCGGGGGAGAGAGCGCACAAGCAGGAGGAGTGGGAGAGGGAGAAGCAGGTTTCCCATGGAGCAGGGAGCCGGATGCGGGACTTGATCCAAGGACCCTGGGATCATGACCTGAGCGGAAGGCAGACGTTTAACCGACTGAGCCACCCAGGCGTCCCTCCCAATCACTTTTTATCCATTTCATCTTTTTTACTCATAGGATCTATCACTATCAAAACTGATTCTATTCCTTTCCCTGCTTTTTATCTTTTTCCACTGGGATATAAACTCAATCAGACCAGAGACCTCATCTGTCTTATTCACAGTAGTATCCCTGGCATTTAAAACAATACTTAGCAAATAATAAGGGTGCAATAGATATTTAGTTAATGATGAAAGAATGAGTAAGTGAATTTCAAAATTCCTGCTCCTCCTGAATTTGCAATGTGAGTTAATGGCATCTCAATATTAGCAATATTTGACTTTTCACTTTGTTTCTCTCTACTCCCCTGTAACATGTCTTGTTGACTTGGTAGGTTTCTTTTATGAACCTGGCTCCTTTTCCATTTCAGTCCAGCAACTCACTCCTCCATTTCTGCCACTATCTAGGACCTTCTTCAGTTTCTTCCCTCTCCATTTCCAGTATTGCTGTTATAGGTAACTTTCCACAATCCGGACAATACCAACCACTTTACATCACTTGTTTACGTGCTTGTTCATGTCACAAGCAATAAATATTCATAGCAATAAATGTATTTATACTGCATACACACACACATATACATATAAATCTCAGATATCTACTTGCTATTTCAGGAAAAAAAAAAAAACAGGTCGGAAAACTTGTATTTTCTGATTGCCAATTAGGAAAATGTCTCTATGTTTGGCCAAGTTTTTAATTAAAAAAAAAAAGTGGGGAGCCTGGGTGGCCCAGTTGGTTAAGTAACTGCCTTCGGCTCGGGTCACGATCCCGGGGTCCTGGGATTGAGCCCCGCGTCGGGCTCCCTGCTCAGCGGGGAGCCTGCTTCTCCCTCTGCCTGCCACTCCCCCTGCCTGTGCTCTCTCTCTCTGTCAAATAAATAAAATCTTTTTAAAAAAAATTTTAAAAAGGTTACAGAGATATAATCATTTATTTAAATAACAAGCAGACACAAGAAACAGTGGAGTATCTAAAGTTCCCGGCATATTACTAAAAAAACATAATCCGGCTCCAACCTACATTTCAGCCTCATCTCTACTGTCTTATTCCTGTTTGTTTTCACCACCCAGTACATTACGTCAGAGTGTTTAACGATCAAAAGCCACAAGTCTGTACTTGACATCAATGGGACCTCATTCTTCCAAATGGCAGTATCTAGTTACAGAAAAAGCCTCACCAAAACAATAACCAACGTCTGGGACTCACACGGCAGTTCTGAGATGAAAATTCCTAGAAATGAGGCCAAAGGCCCCTTTAATTTGCCAAAATGCTTGAAGCCTGCCCACGACCGCTTCTCCAGGGATATTTCTTGAATTTGACAAATTACCAACGGTGATGTTTCTTGATGAGAGAAAACAATCACAGCCGCAGAGGAATAAGGTCACAGAGAGAGTGCTCTGGACGAGACGTCCGTCGTGTCAGGGTAGCGGGAAAAGGGCGGCAGCGCCAACTATGAACCCGCAAAGAAAACACAGGAAATCAACAGCAATTCAAATCTTCCCGCAACCGGGGGAAGCGTCTTTCCTCTCCGGAAAAAGACCGGAAGTCCCGCCCAGTCCGCGCCCTCCGCTCCGGGGGCCAATCTCCGTCGCGCTCCTAGAGAAGGGCGGGACCGGAAGTAAGGGAGGCGGGCTTTCCCTGTCCTGAATGCGGTTGCTTCCTTCTTGATCTTTACTTGATATTCAGGTTGGGACCGGTCGGACCTAGCTGTGATTCGTCCTTGTCAGGCAGTTCAGCCAAGAGCTGTTAGTGGAGTAATGCATGTTTAAATAATCTAAACAACAATTATACCTTAATAAAGCTGTAAAAAAAAACAAACAAAAACTTGGACAAAGATAGAGACCTCTTCTTTTCCTAATTTGGTATCAACTGTGTATCTGCACTTTTTTTCTAAAATAGCAAGTAGCGTGGCTGCTAAATTTATTGTAAGTATTTATGGGGAACTTACTATGTGCTGGGCACCCTGGGGATAAAGCAGGGAATGAGACCCAGGGTCGAGGATGGGGGCTGGAGATTAACTGGAAAGAAAGGAGTAGAAAGTAATTTCGTCACAGTAGTGGTTAAATATTCCTAAACTAAAATACAGAGGTCTGTGAGAGCATGTAGTGGACAGACCTGAGACTGAGGAAGTATTTCCACTGAAATCCAAAGGGTAAGTATGTTAGCCAAGTACAATGTGGAAAAAGTGTTTCAAGCAGAGCTAACAGCCTGTGTTAAGGCCCTGAGGCCCAAAGGAAAGATCTTGCCCCCTTCGAAAGGCCAGTTTGATTTAAGAATGATTAAAAAGGAGAGAGAGGCTTTTAGGAGCAAGAAGCCTGAATGGGGACTTAGAGATAGGCAAGGGCCAGATCATTATGGATTTATGAATGATGGACTTTATCTTAAAAGCGATGGTAAACTATTACAAGGGCTTTTTTTGTAAATTTTACTTAACAGTGCAATATTGGTTCTGGAGTAGAATTCGGTGATTCATCACTTACATACAACACCCCTGCCCTCTTTAATAACCATCACCCATCTAGCCCATCCCCCACCCACCTCCCTCCATCAACCCTCAATTCGTTCTCTATCCTTAAGAGTCTCTTAGGGCTTGTTTGTCTCTCTCTCCTTTTTTTCTATTCCCACTTCCCATATGTTCATCTGTTTTCTGTCTTAAATTTCACATATATGGTAATGTTTTTCTCTGACTTATTTCACTTAGCATAATACACTCTAGCTCCAACCACATCATTGCAAATGGCAAGATTTCATTCTTTTTGATGGCTGAGTAACATTACGTTGTATATACATACCACATCTTTTTTATCCACCCATCAGTCGATGGATGTTTGGGCTCTCTCCATAATATGGCTGTTGTTGATAATCAAGGGCTTTTTAAGCAAAGGTGGCAGCACCAAGGAATGGGAATAAATCTAACTCGTTAAATTCATCTCCATTTTTGAAAGTCTGATAAGCAAACTGACCTCAATCTTACGTAGAGTGTCATAAAGTCACCCTCAGATGCCCTGTTTTCATTGATCAGTAACATCAATTTCTATTACACACTGTTAACTTAGGTCCTATCCTGCTCCCACCTTTTTCCTAATGACTAAGAACCTCCTATCTGCAAACTGTCTACTACTAAGGGGTTTTGTGATGCTATTTGTATTTTAGAAAGATCCCTGGAATGTCTGAGTGAAGAATGGATTGTAGGATGCAAGAGCAGATGTGGGGAGCCTGGTAGTCTTTTGAAAATGCGATGGGAGAGATGGCATTTCAGACTCAAGATTAGACAGTAAGGATGGAGAGCACAGCTCCAAGAAATATTTACATCAGTTCAATAGTCTTGGGGATGACTGAACAGGACTTAACAGTTCCTCAAGTTCTGACTGGAGTAAGTGGATAGGGGGCAGTGCCATCAGTAAGATGGACACAAGAAAACTTAGGGAATAGCAGGACTTCAATTTTGTGTCTTCCTAGTGCAAATACATTAGCAAGGTCTAGAAATAGATTAGAAAGAAATCTGGAGGTCAATGTTGATAGCTGCTAACTGAAGCTTTAGGAGAGGATTAAATAGTCCAAGGATATAGTGACATGAGAAGAAAATGTTGACAGAGCTTTGAGGAACACCAATAAAGATTAAAGGGAAGAGAATTCCACAAACACTGAGGAACAGCCAGAAAGAAGGCTATTCTATTCCAGATGCCTAGAGGTTTTCAATTTTGGTGTCCCTTGATACTGTCAGGTATTGCCTAGAGAACAAGCTAAAGAATCAAATTTCTACTGGATTTAGTGGCATAGATGTCATTGGTGGCTCTACCAAGGGCTATTGTATATAGTGGCAGCAGAAGCTATAGGTCTCAAGAGCAAATAGGAAGGAAATGGAAAACAAATATGGGACATTTGAAGAATCTGGCTAGTAAGCAGATAGAACTGTACAGAAACGTGAGTGCCAGATTTCTCGATGAGAGGAATGACACGTTCAACAGCTCGTGCAAAGGGCCAATGGAGAGATTTTAAAAAGAAAAAATACAGACCAAGTAACAACAGAGTTCATGAGGGAGTGAGGGCATGGGATTCAAGCACATGTGGAATAACTGGCCTTTAACAGGAGGGCTACTTCCGAGTACAAGAGGAGGGATGAAATGAATGGGAGGCATTTGTGTACATTTGCCTGATTTCTTCTGTGAAGCAAGTCATTAAATGGGGATGAGAAACAAAGACAGTGGAGTTTGAAACAAGCAAGGTAATAAACACAGTAGGATTACTGGCAGTGCTGATAGCGTAGGTGGCGATTATGAGTTGACACTGGTACAAACCTACCAGAAATAGGACCTCCAGCTGCCTGGTTGAAGCAAGTGTTGGGTCCATCCAGGGTTGTTTTGCCAGGCTGACACAATACATGACCTAGTATACATGACCTAAAATTATTTACATCTACTAAAGTCTAGTCAGCCAAAGACCACCAGGTTAAAGCCTGCAGTCTGACAAAATCTTATTGACTTGTAAGCAAGGGAGGAAACTCCAGGGAAAACACGAATGGCATGCTACACAAGAGGAAGGAGGGCACCCACTTTGGTAAAATTTGGATTCCTGCTGAAGGAATCTGAGGAGACTCTAAGGGAAGAGATACCTGTTCTGAGTTGGATGCTGCTTCTGAAGCAAGATTAGAAGCAGGAATTGACTAGGGATTGGTGTGGTTATGAGGTGACGGCTGTCTAGTAATTGGGTATCCCCAGTAATAGATGGGTGGGATAGCAAAGCAGGTCTGAAGACAACAAAGCAGTAGTCCTACAAAGGGGTCATGATGGTAGTTCATAATTGCATGGCTTTGGGAAAAATGTGTCCTGTTAACTTTCTAGCTGGCTTTATCTGTGTCTATCCTCCCAACCAGAAAAACAGCAAGGGTACACCTCCCCACCCCCCATGAGAACTGATTTTCAGTCCTTCAGTCCTGAACAGGTTTTTACTCTTTCATACCACGTGTCTTCTCTTGTTAAACATGACTGATTTTTTTCTAAACAAATGAGAACTTCCTCCAGATCCATCTGTTCTTCTACAGATAAGACTTAATGAAATACCTAATCATGGAGTTGCCCTTTTCTGACAATTTCCAATCTAGGGTGAACCTCCAGTTTCTTGGACCCTCTCCCAAATTATCCAACCAAAGCACAAATCCTATTATAATGGGTTCTAATACCCTCTTACTGACACACCCCCCAGTTCCCCATATGTGTATTCTCCTTTAGTGCAAAAGTACGAAGCCCAGCCTGTTCAGGTACATGTATATTCCTGGTAGTCTTTGGCTGGAAGGGCACGGACAACATAAAGACAGAAGGTATGAGTTGATGACACAAGTGCCAGATACTGTACAAACCAGTATTTGTACTTTGTTACCAGAACACAGGCCTATGACCTGCACTAGCACCCATGCATTCTTGCTCATTGGAGACTTGTACTATTAATCCTTACAAGAGACTTAGGACCCATGTTTCTGTTGAAGATACGGCCAACAATAGTAGCACAGGGCTGGCTCTTCCTTTCGGGATATACCGTTGCAGTTTTAAAACATATCCACACATTTCCTGATGGCCTCCTATTTGATATGTCTTTAGTGACTCAGAACTAAGACTGTAATGGAAGTTAATGCTGTGTGCAGCTTCCAAATGCAGCTTCTTCCTGAGTCTTCCACAATGCCCCCTCCAAAATCCAGCTGCCATGTTTGTGAAAAGTCCAGGCCACATGGACAGGCCATGTGTAGGTGGGTCTTGCCAAGTGATAGCTTCAAGTCATCTCGGCCCAGTCAGCCATGTGAGTGAAGAAGACTTCAGATGATTACAGCTCCTGGCCATTTGAATCACCTCCAGTCCTTAGTTTTCCCAGCTGAGGCTGCAAACACTGCAGAATAGAAAAAAGCCATGCCCTGTCCAAATCCCTAAACCACAGAACTCATGAGCATAATAAAATGCTTATTGTTTGAAGACATTAAATTTAGGTGGTTATTTAAACAGCCCTAGTAACTGGAACACATAATGATCCTGAGTACAGCAGTGACTGGTGACAATGAGCTAGTGGACAAAGCTGGATAGTTATTCACAAAGCAACCACAAGAAGTTTAAAGTATATTCAGTTTTCATGTACTTGGCCCCTGGTCTAATGAACTCCCTCTTCCCCATACCCCTTCCCCCTCACCCCCAAGATTTACAATGAGCACAGTCTTTGGAGAACTGCAAATTAAAGTAATTATCCACCACATTACAGGAGCCATTTTGAAAAAAAGAATCCTATTACAAGTTCCAAAAACCCCAATTATATATATCCTTCCCTTTTACAATAAGGAATCTAAAGGTTAATGTTTTATATTTAATTTTTCCAACTAGACTTGTTACTGAATTCTTAACACACACTGAATAGGACATCTTCTAGCATAGTTTGATTTCAAACACTTAATTTTATGACAAAGTTGAACAGAAATTCTTTAAAATATCAGGATACCACTCCAAAAACTTAAGAGGAAAACAAAACTATTTAAATTTTATTTTCAAAGTCTAACTTTAATCCAGACTGAACAAACAAGCTGAAAAGTGAGAAAGCTAACTGTATTAGCAGACACAGATGTACCAAATGTAAAACAGTGGATTATTAACAGAACTATTTACATGCATATTTACAAGCAATCCTTTTGTACATAAGTTTTTAGTTAGCTGGAAAAAGGCTTTTGACATTAGGTACAAATATTTTTAAATAGGGCTGAGGTGGTACTGCATTATAGTAAAAGTATTAGAAAAGTGATCCTCAGGGTGTATCAATTATAAAGCAGGTGAAAACTTGAGTGACAAAGATCTAGTAAAATTCTCTAGTAAAAAAGTCAATGCAACTCATGCTACAAAATAAAAATGAAAGCCATATAAATAAAGCAGAATAATGTTCTAGGCTTTTGGGTAATGAAAAGTTGGGGGGTAAGCTGGGGAAGAACAATTCCAATAAATCCTAAGTAAAGAATCCTGGTTGTTTAGTTGGGAGTTTTAAGTTTTGTTTTTTTTGTTTTTTTTTTAATGACATTTTAAAAGCCCTTGGTATCAAATAGCATCTGGATATGTAAATCAGTTGTTAATGATATATTCTAAGACTTTAGTGCTAAAGATTTTCATGATTGTGATTCATACTTGAAACCCAATTCATTGAGACAACGTAAAACTAAATGAAAGCTATATACTCATCTAAAAAAGGATGCTACATTTTGCAATAATACATATTTCCAGGCTAAGACTTTTTCCCTCAAGAAAAGTAGAATTTAAAGGTTAAGCTTCTAACCAACTAGCAAAATTTACTTTCAACATTTCATTTATTTCAAAATCGATTTTATTGCAGCCAGAACAGTGGAATTAACTGTACATAATAAACTATTATATATATATACACATTTTAAGTTATAGGGAATAAAGTTTATTTTGGCAGATAGTGTTAAACAAAATTAAAGTTGCATACATTAGTAACATAACTCAACATCCTTAATTTGGTATAAGTGTGACACATTTTCCTGTTTTCCTGTGTTCTGCTAAATCACCATAACCTAAACTGCTTTATAAAACTGTTATGTTGAAATTTAGCTTTACTGTTTTCGCTTACGCTCTGATTCCAAACAAAACTTTTCATAAGCTTCTTCTATCTCTGGGTCCATCTCATCATCAATATCATCCAAGTATCTATGAAAGAAGTAAAGATGATTCATAAGTTTAACATTTTTCAATTCAGAAATATCTAAGATGCTAAGCCACACAAAAAAGTATGGTGATATAACTTTCTTAGACTGTTACAGAATGTAAGCACTTTTCAGAATTACATACATATCAGTCCTCAGACAACCAAACGCTTAATCTGAGCAGTTACCTTTCACACTGGATTCTGAGTCTCTTGTGTTTGAAATTAAGCTTCTGTTATACTTTTAGACGTATGTTAAAAAAAAATTTAAGTTATCTCTACACCCCATGGGGGGCTCAAACCCACAACCCCAAGATCAAGAATCCCATGCTCTTCTGACTGAGCAGTCAGGCGCCCGACATATGTTAAATTCTTAACCTAACCTAAAAGTGAATTCAAAGTCTCGACATATAAATTTAGGGGCTCAAGATTGATATTATTTTCATAAACTTACCTTAATCACACTATAGTTAGAACATAATTTCAGATATGCCATTCACCTCTAATAATGCAAAGTTTTATGTCTACTTTTTTTTTTTTTAAGATATTATTTATTTGATAGAGACAGCACAAGCAAGGAGAGCGGCAGGGAGAGGGAGAAGCAGGCTCCCTACTGAGCAAGGAGCCCAATGCAGGGCTCGATCCCAGAACCCTGGGATCATGACCTCAGCTGAAGGCAACTGACTAAGCCACCCAGGCTCCCCTATTTTATATCTACTTAACATCAGAAATGTTATTCTTGAAATGACAACTTAGTCACATTCCATTTATCTGGAATCACTTTCATAACAAGAAGCTACCTTCGAGATCATCTATCTCAGAATTTTTCCAACTATTAGGTAGTTTAAAATGATGGAAAACAAAGCTTTCCACAGTTAAGTATGGGTAGAAAATTTAAAGAGCCCATTAAGGATTTAATATACATATTCTTACTGAATACCCATAGCCATCTTAAAAAGATAGGTACTACTATCATCTCCATTCTTTTTAAGTAATCTCTACACCCAACATGGGGCTTGAACTCACAACCCTAAGATCAAGAGTCACATGTTCTACTGACTGCACCAGACAGGCGCCCATCATCTCCATTTTAGAGATAAAAGAAAAAAAGACTCTGGAAGGAGGTTAAGTAAATAACTCTAAGATGTGGGTTAAATATGTAGCACAGCCAGAATCTGACTCCAAATCTTTTCCCTTTTCTACACTTTTCCTCTACAACATGTTGTCTGTATGTCTCCCCACCCCGCAATAATCCTTTCCACCTACATATGTGACAAAACTATCTTGCCAATCCTACCAACTGCTGATGGGTCTTTCTGTCATTGTTCCTCCGTTTCTAGTACAAGGCCATGTGTTGAAATGGCCATAAGTGTATCAGGGCAAGAGCATGTAATATTTACCAAGCAAAACTTCAGAGGACAATCTGAAATTCAATGCCAAGAACAGCTTGAACTTCCAGTGGTATACCCAGCAGGGCTGAACCTTTTTCTTATTGGGCTTGAGTCCTTACAACCCTATTTTTTTTTTTTTTAATTAAACTAGTATGTAAAAAAAATATGGTAACATTAGATCTCAAACAGACTTATAAATGTCACTAGATGGGGGAGAGAATAAAAGTGGTTCACTTTTTTAACCTACAACATACATGAGAGATGAGACGTAGGAAAAAATTAAGTCAGTTTTAATTTATTCCCTCTCCTCCACTTAGAAGAATACCTGAGTAACTGGTCCAAATTCACATGAACTGTTAAGAGAGCTGGGACCAAACCTTACAAGCTCTTGGTTCTTCTATAACTCAGTGTAATGCAATCTGATGGTAAGCGAGTAGCAAAAGTTTCTTTTATTACAAAGAATGGCAGGTAGGGATCAAGAGATGTGAATGGGACTATAACTTACACCTTCCCATCAGTCCAAACACTTAATGTAGTTATCAGCATTCTCTTTAATCTTAATTCATCCTTTAAAACAGCTAAGATCTGAGTCTTTTACTGTCTGCCAGGAGGTGGTTCTAAGTATGTATGTATTTTCACCTAGTTCTCAAAGGAACTCAAGGAAGGGTCTACTATTTCTACTTTACAGATGGAAAAAACAGGCACAGAATTTGCCTAAGACCTTACAGTATTAGAGCTGAACTGAATCTATTTCACAAAACTATACTTGAGTATACCACTATTTTAGTTTTTCCCCTTCAGATATATATACATTTTCAGAATCAGAGTTTATGTTTTCTGGTATGATTTCCTGAAAATTTTTGGTAAGCCATACATGTATACCATTGCAACACCATCAAATCAAAATGTGCATTCTTCATCTACCTTTTTCTAATCTAAACTCCATCTACAAACTATGGCCACAGAAATATCACAAAGAAAGTTAATAGCTAGGAAGAACTTACGGATCACCAGCCCCTGATAAATCTGTCCCATTTTCTTCATAATCTGGAAAAAAGTCTTCTCTTTCAAGTAACTCTTGATATTTCTCTTGGTAATCTATAAAAAAAATTGAAAAAAAGGTTGACAAAAGTCATAAAATGGCCAGTTATCCTAAAAATGACTTTTAATATTAGTTTTCATTTAAGTAGAGCCAGTGTTTAAATAGCAGGAAGCTTCCAGTTGCATATTTAATAGCTTTTACAAAACTTATATTCTAACTGGCTTGCTTTTGCCACCTGCGTGCTCATAAATCTTAACATTCCTCTAATTACATGTTGCAAATCAAGGCCACTGTGGATATACCATAGCCAATGTGTATGCCGCTTATACTCTCTGCTGCTTCTTTCCATAAAACAAAACATATATCTATATAACTTGTTGGGAAAAAACATGTTCTTCCATATTCCTGTTCTTCCTTCCACAAGGAAGGATTTTAATCAAATAGCCTGGCCTCTGTTCCCCTTACTCTTTCCCGAGGAAGTCAAGTGAGCTAGTGGCTAGCAACTAACAGCCACTGGCCCATGTTTCTCAATCAGATTAGCTAACCTAGCAAAGGTTCTGAGCACAGGGGATTTTCTTTTCTTCCCTCAGAGACAGCTGGAAGGTAGCTATCTGATAAATGTTTCAGCTATACGAACTTTCCCTTGGTTGGGTTCTTCCAAGGCAATACGGGTAATTTTATAGCTCTCCATCTGCCAACTGTCTTAGGCAGAGTTACTGAGTATCTTTTAAGATTAGCATATCCATATGGAGTACTTATCTCTGAATAATAAAACAGATCAGTGTGTATTAAAATTAGTTACCTTAAAATTGGTTTCTTGTGAACAATAGCTACCTCAAATTTCAACAAGATAATTACATTAGACCGTATTTTCCCCAAGATTGCCAGTCTCTATAAAACTTATTTCAGCTTAAAGGGTTGGTGATATTTTGACATCCAATTTTGGCAATTTGGAGACAATTTTAACTGCAGAACCTTTCTGCAACAAATACTTGGGGTAACAGATAAGACAAACATTCTTTTAAATGCACAGATGAGTTCAGAAAAAAGAAAATCAAGTCCCTTGATGACCAACAAAAAGGGAACTGAAAATCATACATACCTACTCCAGCCAGGAGGCTGGCAGACCACATGCTCTCAGTTAACAAAGGGGCTTGGATTTAAAAACCTACAGAAGTTCAGAAAGCAAGGTCTTGGGCCCATGTGAAACAGAGATGGAATTCATGCCCACGCCCACCTCTACCTACAAAAACCCGGGCCCTTCAAAGGGTGGATATCTCAAAAAAAGGTGGACCAGGAAAAAAACAAAATGGAAAACACTCTGGTGGCAAAGAGAGCTAGCAAAGAAGCTTGCTGGTCTCTTCCTGGGTTTGAAGGAGAAACAACAGTACTCTGAAGAAACTGGTTCCTCAGAAAATTTGTAATAATGGGCCTAGACCTCAAATTTCTACTACCCACATAAAAAACCCTATGACAAGAAAATAAAAACTTGTTCCAAATCAGTTTTACCCCTGTGGCTCCTTGGCAGGAAAAGATGTTACTACAACCCAAGCCATAAGGAGTTTTCATGAAGAAAAACAAAAAAAAGCAGTTAAAACATGAGAGCAGTCATAAAGGGCCACAATATGTATAACTTCAAATGGTTTAGAAAAGTGTGGACAGAACAAGTGATAAAGCAAATAGAATAAACGTTAACAAAGGGTACATGTGGGTAATGGGTGGATGGGTGTTATTTGTACAATTTTTACTTTTGTAACTTTTCTGTAAGTTTGAAATCCTTTCCAAAAAAAGTTTAAGACCATTAAATATCAGATTGCAATTTAAAAAAAAGATCAAAATAAATTTTATGTGATCCTCAAAAATAACAGCAAGGTTAGAATTAAAAGAACAAAAATGTGAAACAAAAATAAGCATCTTTAGAAATTTCTGTAGACAGGGGCGCCTGGGTGGCTCAGTCGTTAAGTGTCTGCCTTCGGCTCGGGTCATGGTCCCAGGGTCCTGGGATTGAGCCCCACATCGGGCTCCCTGCTCGGCAGGAAGCCTGCTTCTCCCTCTCCCACTCCCCCTGCTTGTGTTCCCTCTCTCGCTGGGTCTCTCTCTGTCAAATAAATAAAATCTTAAAAAAAAAAAAAAAGAAATGGACTTCCTTTAAAAAAAAAAAAAAAATTTCTGTAGACAAAAGAACAAATAGGTTGAACAAATGAGACACAGATGAACAAAGAACCAAAACGATTCAAGGTAACTTTGAAGACTAAGAAAATCTGTCTTACCAGCCATAGCAAGATTTAAAGTAAAGTAGTAATTAAGACTGTGGTATTGGTATTAAGACAGACAAAAGATCCACATGCACAGACACAGACTAAGATACAAGTTAGAGAGGACGGACACGGTACACATCAGAGGGACTGCATTTTACTGAGGAGAGAGAATGGGTAACTCAACACCAGTTGCTGAGACAAGAGAACATGGAATATTTAAGTCCTACTATATCTATCACATAAAGATTAGCCAGATGGATTAAAGACCTCAATATGAAAAAGCAACAAAGACTTTTAGAAGAAAATGGAATTTGATGGTAATAAGGAAACCTTAGCCACCGAGAGCAGGAACAAGACAGATACAGTGACATGAAAACTCGAAGCTTCTATAGGATAAGACAAACATAATGGAAAGACAGCATATACTGGGAGAACCTCAGAGTCACTTTCTGGGCTATGTAAGGAATTACAAATCAGTTAAGAAACAAACGATCCAAGACAAGTATGGGCAAAGAACACAAATAGGCAATTCTTAAAAAAAAAAAAAAAAAAAATTCTTAAAAAGAAAACAACTGTCAATAGAAACATGAAAAGAAATTCATTATCACTAGTAAGGAAATGAAAGTTTACAATTTGGTACAATCTAACTGACAACAATAAGGTCTGGTAATAAGTGTTGCCATGGATGAGAAACAGGAATCCTCATGTTCTGCTGGGGGCATATCATGTGGTATAGTCAGACTGGAAAGCTGGTTAGCAACATTTAGTGAAGTAGAAGATGCAGGTAACCTACAATGTAGCAACTGTACTTCTTCACCCTGAAGAACCTCCTGCATGTGCACAAGGACTACTTAAAGAGTACAGCACTCTATAGTAAGGAGTGTGAGCCACCCAACCACCCTCAAGTAGGGACCTATAACCAGTGCTGTACTCTGAGTGCAGTATTATTTGGCATTTAAAACGAACCAGCGTGCTTTTTATATTCTGAGTGTTTCATAATTTAAAGTTGAAAGTTAAGCAGTCCTTCTTTCCACCTCCTCTGAGGAACAGGAGGTGCCTCCTATCCAGAGTAAGCAAATGGGAAAATTCCGAACAATAAGCTGGTTATAATTTTTATCAACTGGGAAAATTTTCTCTTGCTCATACTGCAGTCCCATTTATCACAATTAAAGAAATCTTTCTATAAATGGCCCTTTTCTGGAAGGGGAAGTGTGCCGAGATTTAGATTTTAATTAACTTTGACCTACTGACTATTAATGAAACCCGTAATTCTTAGTATCTGCAAGTATTAACCCATAGTAACAAATGTTGTACTCTATGTAGTGACTAGAACCATCTTTCCCTTCTATTTTAACCACCTAAAGCTTACAGTATAAAAATGAAATATTAGAGAAAATATAAAACAAAAATGGTTGCATTTAATCAAGGGATTCCTCCAAAACCACTGTCAGGATGACAAGATACTATATACAGAGTCAGACTTTCCACTTGAAATGGTTCAAAGCGGTTGTCCCTGTCAAGAATATTCTATAGGAGATAAACATTTACAAACATTTACCCTGTATCTTAGAACAATGTGCCTGCTTCAAACAGTTACCGCTTCGTACCCGTGAGGGTATGGTTTTCTGTAACTCACTAGCTTACCAAGCAATGGGGGGCAAAGCACTGTGAGACAGCCTACCTGGGTCGGCCGCAGTGAAAGGAACACCGTCAGAGGTATAAAATGTTGGTTCATTCTAGGATGAATCAAAGTGATACAAATATGTAAGCATTTCAGAGTTTATTTTTTAAAGCACATTAATTAACGAAGCATGGCTGAGGTCACTCATCTGCACCTGATAATGCAAGATCACAGAAAAAACTAGCTTCCTAATAGCCATTTTCATTTCATTGGGAAAGTCTATGGTTTTCAGATTTCTATTCTATTCTCTCAAGTTCCTGCGGCTGTAACCCTGCTGTCTAGTCTGTCACACTCGTGATGAACTGTTTTGTTGTGCACTGTGATTTAGCGTTGTGTCAGCTTATTTTGAGTTGTGGTTCTCCCCCCACCCCCCACCAATTTTTAAAGAATTTCCATGGCTGGGGTTATAGGAGCATTTCTCCATTGTTGTGTTAGGTTTGGTCATGTCAGGAGCTTCAGGGCATCATTGGCCTGGTGATCACTTTTATTTTAATTTACTACAACATGCAAAGTAAAAGTGTGAGATGCAGGCCTTTGGTTATAATTTCTCTGGAAAAACTTCCCACAATCCCACACTCAACTGAGTCCAAGCCTTATTGATTTCCCTTGCCACTGGATGGATCTTTCTCTAGTCCACGCTTTCCTTAGAGGATTCCATGTTTCTTCCCTATTTACCTGGCCTGCTGGTTGCCATGTGACCCTACGCCAATGAAAAGAGTTACTGGCATTAAATTCTGAGAATACCTTTTTTTTTTTTTAAGAATACCTTTATGTACCTCATCTAGAAATTTCCAAAATTGGATCCAAACAATAAACAAAACTTAAAATGTAAACGCTGGCATACCATAAAATAATTAGGATCATTTTCAGGTGTTGCTTCTCTGTACGTTGAAGTTGCGTGGACTCTACCCCAGTTACTTGACCGGAGTTCAACAAGCTTCAACAGCATCTGTTTCACATCTCTGCAGACAAGTTGAAAAGGAGTTAAGGGTATCCACCAAAGTGTTGTTAGGCTCTAGAATACCACAGACTCCTAAAACCATGTTTCATAAATTTAACATGTACATCTAAGTGCTTTGATTTTTTAGGCATTTCCTATATTGACATAACATTTTTTTTTTTAAGATTTTATTTATTTCTTTATTTTGAGAGAGAGAGAGAGAGAAACAGCATGAGAGGGGAGAGGGTCAGAGGGAGAAGCAGGCTCCCCGCTGAGCTGGGAGCCCGATGTGGGACTCGATCCCAGGACTCCGGGACCATGACCTGAGCCGAAGGCAGTCGCTTAACCAACTGAGCCACCCAGGCGCCCTGACTTTTTTTTTTTTTAAGCAGCCTTGAAAGTTGTTCCATCTGGGGTGCCTGGATGGCTCAGTCGGTTAAGTGTCTGCCTTTGGCTCAGGTCACGATCCCAGGGCTCCGGGATCAAGCCCCACATTGGGCACCCTGTTCAGCAGGGAGCCTGCTTTTTCCCTCTTCTCCCTGCCTGTGCTCTCTCTCTCAAAATCTTAAAAAAAAAAGTTATTCCATCTAACTGTGACTATATGGTTCTTAAAGGCAGTGCCTATCCCATATTTTTACCTCCAACTGGACTTAAAATTGTACCTCACCCAAGTATTTACTGAACAGTTTAAAGTCTGAATCATTTTACTTTTCAACGGACTCCTATCTCACCACAGGAAAATCTTAACTTTTTCAATTTATAAACACAACTGAACAAAAAAAGCCAGGTGAGCAGAAGCCATAACTAAAATATTATACCTTTAAAGGAAATATTTAAATATTTAGGTCTGTAAGATTTCAATTCTTTCGATGATAGCATACATCACAGGTTAAAAAACAAGCCCCACAGAAAAAGAAATTGAGATCCACTGGCTAGCTACCCACCTGCTGCAATTTGCATCTAGGACAACATTCTCAATTCTCTGAATGATTTCTTCCATATCAGTCTTTCCTTTCTCCTTCCAGGCATCTTCCAAAACTGACCCTGTCAACTAAAAAAGCAGGTTATCAGTAAAATAAGGGATTCAATAAAGTACAGAAATTCTTAAAAAAAAAAAAAAAAGTATTCATAGCAATTCAAGCATTCTCTAAAGAAAATGAATTTGGTAAGTTAAATACTCCCAATTATTCTCCACCATCTAACAGTCAGGAATCTCTATTTTTCCTGATTGAGAGAAATTAAAGCAGAACCTGAATCACAGGTTTTATGTATCAATGACTATAGGGTATATTCCCCATGTAAGTTAGGCTATAAAATTTTAATCAACCTTTCGCTTTTTGAAATATACAAGTATAGAAGCTCTGAATTTAAAAAAAATAAAAAATACAAACTTCAGGGGGGGGAAAAAAAAAGAGGTAAGGATATAAACCGGTAATTCATAGGAAAAAAATGGCTAACAAATGTGAAGAAATGCTTAAATTCACTAGTGATCAGGAAAATGCAAAACAAGATTTTTGTTTTTACTCATTACCCATGACAAAACAAACCAGGATTGATTATATCCATCACTGGTAAGAATATGGGGAAAGCAGTATACTCATGCACTGTTGGTAGGACAACAACCAAACCACACACTGGCGTTTAGAAGGGAAATTTGACATTACTTCTCAAAATAAAGTATACTACGCTCACTGACCCACCAAATCTATGTGTAGGAATCGAACCTACATAAACAACTGCACATATAGAAACGAAGTTACTGCAGAAAGAGGTAAATCTTTTGTGCCAAAGATCTAAGATATTTGTTAGATTAAAAGAGCAAGCCAAAAAGAGATTTTTTTGAGGGCACACATACATACATGGGAAAGGAAATTTAGAGATGGGGGTGAAGGACTTCCATTTTTTGCTTCTCAATTTGATTCTCATATTTAAAAAAATCAGTACAGGGTAGCACGGGTGGCTCAGTTGGTTAAGAGTCCGAGTCTTGATTTCGGCTCGGGCCATGATCTCAGGGTCGTTGAGATTGAGGCCCATGTCAGGCTCTGTGCTCAGTGCGGAGTCTGCGTGTCCCTCTCCCTCTGCCCCCCGCCCCCAAATCCTGCTCATGCACTCTCTCTCTCCCCCCGCCAAAAAATCTTAAAATCAGCACATACTGCTTTTCTAATATTTAAATTCAAGAGCAAAGCAAAATGTCAATATTTAACTTAAAGAAAAAAATTTAATCTTGAATTCACTCAATACTATACATACTTTCCTTCCTCTAAATCATATACGAATGGGGTAGAAAGACGAATTTTAAGACAAACATAAGTAAAACCTACCTTCAGTAATTTTACTGCACAAATTAAGTTGTCATCCATAGGATTAGAAAAGAGAGCATTCAGCAACTCCCGAAGACCAACCTGAAGAATATCTGCTCTTGTAACCTGTCCATTTGTTCCCTTGATCTTTTGGGACAGAAGAAAATGAAAAGCAACCATGCCAAAATATTACAACAGATAAATAAATGGTCTAACGTCTTGGCAAAATAAGTGTTTTAAGTTAAACAATACAAAAATCAGAAATGCTCTTGTATCTTCACAAAATTATACTATTTTACATGTATATAGGACCTCTAATACAACTAGTAAACTACAGGTAAAATTTTCCATTTATCACACATAACATATGGTCAGGATAACCTAAGCCTCCTTTATAAATTACTGCTTCATAAAGCATTCTCTGGTCTATTAAGCTACCACCATTTTTGGAACATGCAGCATTTTATTATTCTTTTTTATACTATTTAAAAATACTGTTTTGCATCAGAATCGTCTAAGTATCGTAGCTCTCCAGCCAGAAGAGCTGCAGTCTCAGGAGTCACACCTCATCTGTACACCCCCCACAGACATGGCATTATTACGTCCACATAGGAAACAACTGCATTCTTAGAATGACTCTTCATTTACAGCACACTTTAGGTGAATGCTCTTATTTTGGCTTATATAAAAATTAAACTGAAAGATTAATGCATGAAATTTTTAAAAAATTAAGTCCATCCAGGGACACCTGGCTGGTTCAGTTGGCATAGCATGTGACTCTTGATCTCAGGGTTGGGAGTTCAAGCTCCATGTTGGGCATGGTGCCTACTTAAAAAAATAAAATAAAATAAAATCCCAATGCAAAAAAAATAATAATAATAATAAGTCCATCTGTGGTAAAATGGGGTAGTAAATTAGGCACTAGATTGGACAGACCTTTTAGATGCACTGAGATGCACATTTGATGGTGGATCTCATGGGTCTTTTCAGTGGTGTTTACGATTAAGTTTTCAAGTCAAAGTTAAAGGAGGTATAACCTATCTCTGGGATTAACTAGTCCAAGAAAAAAAAAAGCAAATCCATTACAAAGTAATATTCAGCACTAGATATTCTAGTGTCTCCCCCCTGCACCGCCCCACCCTTTCAACTCAAAGCTTTGTGTTCTGCAGAGTACGCTGCTTTTGAGCCACCATCTGAAAGTCAATATACGAAATGTGTGAATTCAAAAAAGGTATTATCTGTATTTCGAGAGCTTACACTTGCATGGAAATCATGGCTTTCCAAAAGTACACAGACTTTAAAATTCCCAGTAACCACTTCCCAACAGCCTCCCCGCAAACAGAAGAAACAAACATTATGGACGTTCCATTAGAACGCAGGCACTAGCGTGAGCAGCCCCTAAAGCACTGTTTCTCTCTCCCTTCACCTGGTTTTATTTCACCCTTAATGCTGTCCAAGGATAATGTGAATACAAATTCCTTATCATGATCAGTTTACGTTCCCAGGCTTTGTCAGTACTTAAGAAAATTCCTCCTCACCTCCAGGTTAAGATAGAGCTCCCCCAGGAAGAGAACAAATGCGTGGAATCGTTTCCGAGTCACTTCGTCACCTTTTGCAGCTTGATCTTTAACTTCATATTCAGTCCGACATCTAATGAAGATACACCTTTTATAATTGCACACTGCTTTGTTTTGTGAACAAACAGGATGACCAGCTGTCGGGTTCGCAGTCCGCAAGCAATACAGAGACAAGTACCATGCACCAATGCCCTGACTTTCTGGAGTAAAAAATGTTCCTGTCTATTGTAGAGACCAGAACAGGCATCATCTTTTTATACTAAGATTCCTAGTTGTAAGAAACTAACGGGTTTATTTTCAACTACTCTTATCAGATCAAGTTTGTAATCTGTTTAAGCAACATAGGTTTCATGAGGTTCATTGCATACTGGCGCCAAAAAGAAAGAAAATGCCTCACCTTTGTTTTATTGGCTTTTTGTCAAGAAAGCAATGTTTTGTATTTTTTTTTAAAGCATTGTTTTAACTCAAATTGTCTCTGTAAAATGTTCTATTCTGAATATATGAACTTTGAAACATATCTTTAAATATATATATATATAGATATATAGATGGTCTCCAACTAAGCTGAAAATAAAATGAACTCTTATTAAGCCCATTATCCTTAATTTCCATTATACAAATCAGAGAAAAGAAGGGAAAGGTCCCCAACTGAAATTCACATAGAAACAGAAAGCAATTAGTTTGGTCTCAATATCCCAGAGACCAAAGGAGTCATATAACTTAGTTTCCCTTGCTTTATTTTCCCCCGACTTGGCCCATCTGCCATCCTATAAAGTATCTAAAACCATTACCATAAACCTGTCATTGCCCATTTCAGTGAATTATGGTGTCAGCTGTTATTAAAAAGGATTTTTTAAGGGGCACCTGGGTGGCTCAGTAGTTAAGCGTCTGCCTTCGGCTCAGGTCATGATCCCGGGGTCCTGGGATCAAGCCCCATATATTGGGCTCCCTGCTCAGCGGGAAGCCTGCTTCCTCCTCTCCCACTCCCCTTGCTTGGGTTCCTGCTCTTGCTATCTGTCAAATAAATAAAATCTTAAAAAAAAAAAAAAAGGATTTTTTAAATGTACTTTAAATGTTTACGTTCTTGGCGTTAAATATTTATCTTTATTGATAATGTGGTGAAAAAACTCAAGGAAAGTCATGTGTTTTGTAAAGCTGATTTTTGACAGTTCTGTTAAAGACAAAAGGAGGGATTTATGGAGACTGAATGGATTCCAAGTATGAGGGACCAGTTTAGCTTCGCTTTGTAAAAAAAAATAAAATAAAAAAATAAGTAAATTTTTTAAGGAAAAAAGAAGTCACTGCTTACCAAGAATTTACCTTGGGTCAATCTGTGAATCATCCATAAACCCAGGATAATTTATCATGTCTATGTGGCCTATAGCTTACAAGCTATTTTAAATGAGCAGTATTTTCATTTGAATCAGATATAGTAAGTTATTTGTTACCGTCTAAACATTTTTTTTTTTTTTTTTTTAAGATTTGTGAGAGAGAGAGCGCACACATGTGTGAGAGCTCAAGCACAAGCAGGGGGAGCGCAAGGCAGAGGAAGAAGCAGGCTCCCAGCTGAGCAAGGAGCCTGATGAGGGACTCGATCCCAGGACCCCCAGATCATGAACCGACCCAAAAGCAGATGCTTAACCGACTGAGCTACCCAGGCATCCCTAAACATTAATTCCTCATCAGAAAAAAAAAGTTGGGATATCTATAAATGAAACACTCTGGCTAATAGAAAGGAAATTAATTAATGCCCGTTTAGTTATCCAAGCACCTTATTGGCTACTCTCCCTTCACGACTTTATCGGTAGTTTTGATGAAATGACCTTTTTGTTTTATAAGTACAATGATTATTAGATTATACGTTAAGATATGTTCATTCAAGTGCAAAAGTAAATCCCTACCCCTGTATGTCATTAATTATCTAGATGAGAGGAACCTATACCTCTAAACTAACCCTTTTTAAATTAAAGATTTTTCAATTAGAAAGGCAATACGTGCTTATTTCAGAAAGGTTTAAAAAACAGAAAAATATAAAAAACAAAGTCATAAAACCCAGAGATAACTGCTGTAAAGTAACTTTTCAAACTACATATATATTTAAGTTAATAGAATTATGCCCTGCTTTTTATTTGTTCAAGGACTAGCACTTCCATTATTATCTTTGACAGTATTATAATATTATGGGAGCGCAGATGGGGTAGAGTCAGAAGAGACCTGGAAGAGTAGTTTTCAACCACGGCTAAAATTCAATCACTTGGGGAGGTTTTAAAAAAACCGAGGCTCCACCTCAGTCCAATTACATCAGAATTCCCAGGAATGAGGACAGGGTCTCAGAGCCCTATTTTAAGTCTCTAGAGTGACTTTAAGGCACAGCCAGAGGTGAGCAGCTCAAGGGAAAAGCAGCCAGCCTTTATGCCATGCTACCTCCCAGAAGTACCCACTTTCACACCTTTCTAGGAGCTATACATCTAGATAAGGTTAAATAGCTTTTTAGAACTTTGTCATTTATATTTTTCCAAGTTTTACCTATTCAAAGGCATTCCAAATATTTCTATTAAAATACTGGTCTTCTGGGGCGCCTGGGTGGCTCAGTCGTTAAGCATCTGCCTTCGGCTCAGGTCATGATCCTAAGGTCATGGGATCAAGCCCTGTGTTGGGCTCCCTGCTCAGCAGTGGAGTCGGCTTCTCCCTCTCCCCCTGCTCATGTGTGTGTGCGCAAATGCTCTCTCTCAAATAAAATCTTTAAAAGTAAAAAAAAAAATTAAAAACTGGTCTTTTTAAAGGCTCCTGGGTTGGGGGCGCCTGAGTGGCTCAGTCGTTAAGCGTCTGCCTTCGGCTCAGGTCATGGTCCCAGGGTCCTGGGATCGAGCCCCGTATCAGGCTCCCTGCTCCGCGGGAAGCCTGCTCTCCCTCTCCCACTCACCCTGCTTGTGTTCCCTCTCTCGCTGTGTCTCTCCCTGTCAAATAAATAAATAAAATCTTTAAAAAATAAAAAATAAAAAATAAAGGCTCCTGGGTGGCTCAGATGGTTAAGTGTCTGCCTTTAGCTCAGGTCACAATCCCAGGGTCCCGGGATTGAGCCCCGTGCTGGGCTCCCTGCTCAGGGGGGAGGCCTGCTTCTCCCTCTCCCTCTGCCCCGCCCCCTGCTCATGCCTTCTCCCCCCCCCATAAACAAAGAGAATCTTAAAAAAACAAACAAACAAACAAAAACTGGTCTTTTTCTTACTCATTCCTAAGAGGTCCCTCTTTTCATATTAGAGCTCATTGCCATGTGTTATACATTTCCCTATTTTTTCTTCATATAAATTTATGACCCCTCCCAATATTATAATCTATATGTAATTAGGTTTAATCTCTTATTTTAGGATTTGTGGATATCATGTCTTGCTTAAAAGGGCTTTAGCAACCTAAGATTTAACTGTCAATTTCTCTTAGTATTTAGTGTTGCACTTTTAAGTTTTTTACAGATTTGAAATATATTTTGGTGTAAAGAGACAGGAACCCATCTTTGTTTTCTCCCCCAACGAATGGCTAGCCAGTTGTCAGCAGCACTATTTACGCTTTACATACATATTTGGAGTATCTCCATCAAAAGCTTAATTTTCAAGTGTCTCTGGAGTCTACTTTTGGGATCTTTATTCTGTTCCAGTGCAGTTTAACCACATGATGGAATACTTTGCAACCACTGAAAGTATCTTTAAAGAATTAATGGACCAACTACAGTAAACTCGAGGCAACCTTGTTATTGAATAAAACAACTCCCATAAGAAAATTAGTTTCCCTAAATTAGCTTTTGAATTCAAGGTCATGTCGAAAATAATACCAAAAAGATTCATGAAATTTCACACACTGATTCTAAAGTTCATTGGAGAAAAGCAGCATGCAAGAATAGCAAAGGAGATTCTACCCAAAAAATGTGGGGAGGGGTCCAACAGTACTATATTAAAAAATTAGAGCTTTTTAGTAGTATCGTAATAAAATAGGAATAGAACAAGTGATGAAAAGAATATAATGAAACTCTAGAATCAAAACCCAAATGTAAGGATGTAGTGTGATAAAGGGAGCAGTTCAACTCAATAAAGAAATGGATCATTCTAAAAAGTGGTATGGGAAAAACTAGTTCAACATGTGGCAATAAATTAGAACCTACCCAAACCAAAAGTACAGATGTAACTAAGAAATATGTAAGTGGGAGATTTTTAAGATCTTGGGAAATGAAAGGCCTTCTAAGCACAAAACCAAAGGCAGAGGGCACCTGGGTGGCTCAGTCGATTAAGCGTCCGCCTTCGGCTCAGCTCACGATCTCAGGGCCCCACATCGGGCTCCCTGCTCAGTGGGGAGCCTGCTTCTCCCTCTCCCTTCCCCTCTGCCACTCCCTCTGCTTGCGCTCTCTCTCAAATGAATAAATAAAAATCTTAAAAAAGAAAAAACCCAAAGGCAGAGATCATTACAGAAAAAAAAGACCGGTATGTGGGACTATAAATTTTTAACAGCATATACTAGAATACAAACAATGGTCCACCCTGCCTTCCCCTGCAACCTTCTATAATGTACAGTCTTTAGAAGAGAGGAATGGTCAAAGTCTAGTAGGTCTAAAAGCAGCTTTCCTTTAACTTCATATATTCACACTGACCTTTGAAGCAGCAACTGACGAAAGTTGCCGCTCTGTGGGCTAATTGTCAGATGATGGGACAGGTAATTACACAGGCGAGCTCCCATGTAAGAGAAATTTGGGATAGATGTGGCCTTTCAAAAAGAAAAAAACTTTTTTAGGACACAAATACATTGTTCTTAATGCAAATACTTAACAGCAACGTTCTAAAGAAGAAAACATTTCCTCCCCTAAAACTGACCACACTCTACAAATGTACAAGTCTTTTTTAGTTGTTAGGCATAAAGAAATTAACTCTCCCTCCCAACTTTACACCAAGATCAAGAACAAAGGAAAAATTCTGAGTTCTCCCCATCATTTACCTGAGGTCACCAGAAAGCAAATAGACAAGACCTCTTTATACTAACCAATTTTTGCATAAGACAGGTGCATGTACCCAGTTGCATAGTGCTAATTATGAAAAGAGTATTTGCCAAACGATTGTTCTGTGGTGTTTTTCAGGGACAGACTGGCACAGACTTTGGCATCTAGCAGTCCAGAGCAAGATTCCCAGGCCTGCACTGAGACCTTGGACATCACTCAACCTCCCTGGGCTTCCATCTGATTCCTAAAAGAAGTGATAAATGGTCCCTGGTACAAGAGATTAACACTTAAAGAATACTCCAAACATACTTGGGGTAAAGCAGAAATAAAGATAAGCTATTCCAAAAACTAAGACCATGAAAAAACACTACATATCAAAGATAGTTTGATATAGCCAAAACAGTACTCAGGAAGTTTTAACTTTAATTGTAGTTTTTAAAGAATAGTAGAAAACACAGTTCACTACCTAATATTAGGTAGCATATTAAAAGGTAAAGGGACCTGACCAAGGTTACAAAGATAGTAGCTAACCATAATCTAGATATAACAAATGGCCTGAGGCCTCTCTGACCCTTTGCTGGGTCTACTTACCAGCTGTGGTAACCTTAGCCAAGTCCCTTAACCTCTGTTAAGATATGTATAAAATAAGGGATAAAAGTAGTATCTTCAACCATGGAGGATTAAACGAGTTAATTACATGTCAGGTGTTACCTAGCATGTAGAAAGTACTTCATAATTACTAGGTCTTTTTATTTCTGATTATTTCCTTGCTTGCAAAGACAACAGACTGGTTTCTCCTGAGATCATTCATGGATGTGTATCTGGTACCACAGAAGACTTGAAATTCAAAAATCATCCTTTTCCCATTATGGGCATTGCCTGTTTTCCTTTAGTTTACTTTTAAAATTATCACGCACAACTTAAAGACAAGAAGTTCTACAAGGCTTGTTATTAAAATTTCATACTTCCCCACTATACCTCAACTTCACTCCCATGGACAACCATTTTCAATTCTTTCAGCTGAAAATCAGGTTTCAACCTCTGTATCTCCATGCTTTGTGATTTCCGTTTGGACATTATTTCTTACTAGTTTCCCTCCATGGACAAGGAATATCCAGCTTTCACCTTGCTTACCCTCACTCCTTTCCACTATGCCAATCTTTCCGCCTACCAACATGGTCATACTATGATTTGATTAGTTTTATGTTTCCTTTTACAGCTGGACCATGTAATATATGGATTTCTACTTTCTTGCACAACTTTGTTTTCCCTAGACTTAAATTTTCTCTACTCTGTTCTTTACTTACATCTCATTGATTTACCCCTAAACTCATAAGTTCCCAAGTTTCTTCTTAATACATTCAAACACAGCAATTATGCTCATCTTACCAGGGAATCTTGCCTGGAGCCTTTTGCCCTACTCCAATGAAGCCCGGCTATTGTCTTGGGATCTCCTTTCACTACCATCTAGATAATCCATTTAGCCATTCCTATAAAATTCTGTTTTCTAGTTTTTACATCTTCATCTCTGGCTTAATTTCCTCTTTTTGGTGGAGTACTTCCCTTCAATAACTTCTCAAGAAGGGTTGTAATAAAACTTCAAACCAGATACTCAGTGCAAAAAGATGTAGAGGGTTTAGTTTTTTGGGGGTTTTTTATTTGTGTTTTTGTTTTGTTTTGGGGGGTTTTAATATTTTAAAGCTATCCTTTTAGTGTCATTCCATTCTTGTCCTAGAGTCTTTCAGAGATTCCACACAGTAAATCAGGGTGATTTTCAACTTTCCCCACTGGCTTGGAATTCAAATTGTTTTTTTTAGATCTGCCCACCTGCTTTCTAGTCTCTAAGACTGGTACTTTAATCTCTTTCCCTCATGTCAGCCCCTACAGGGTTCTGGCTTCTTAAAATCCCCTTCATTTTTGTAGTGGTATTTGGGGAAGAATCAAAGTTGAATATGTATGTTTAATTGCCATTTTTATAACAGGTCTTCTTTTGTTAGTTGCTAGGAGTAAATCCCCCAATGAAATTTAAGAACTGTTGGTGAATCTGTGTATCACTGACACAGAATATTGATAAATAGGGAGTACATATTTGAAGAACTGGCTTTGAGACAATCACAGAAACTAGTTTGTTATATTACAGCCCTTAAGACTAGAACCAGGCAGCCTACGAAGAGCTGAAACTGAAGAGAAGAGAAATCAGAAAAGCACTAACAATTTCTCCATTTTCTTCTCATATTCCTTTGCAATCCATTTAGAGGCCAAAAGTAGGTATCAGGACAAATGGAGCAATTCTATACTCCTAAAACCTCAAGCATGTCCAGAAACCTGAGAGTTGGACAGGTAATACTGGGGTCCAGTAACTATCCAGAACAAGCTGTGAAAGTAGTCAAATGAAACACTAGGTAGGATGAAAATTACCTACTATCATAATCACCCTTCCACATATTCCAAATTCAAGTTGCTCTTTCAGCAATGACTTAAAGAACACTTAAGTTTCTATTTCTATTTATCTCCTACTGTTTTTGGTCAGTTTCAAACAGTGCCCTTAATCTGTCTTCAAAATCCAGTGTTATCTATCTCCCCCACTGAAAATAGCATTAATGTGTCACAGACCAATACGCTAGGATCAAACTTAAATTTTCTGTGAACAATCTAGACGGACAGACTTATGGAATTAAGATGTAAATCCTTGGAAATTTAAAATAAACATAAATGTTGACTCAAGACAGTGTTTTATGGTCTAGCTTTTTTTTGGGGGGGGTGCTCCTTTGTGAGGATGAAGGAAGTTCTCCCGTTGATTTTTTTTTTTCCTCCCCTACTCCAAAAGTGCTATATAATTTGATACCGAGGAAAACAGAATTGCACTCTTTCTGTGTACTGTTAATTTCAGATCCTGTAAAAACACATACTTACCTAGCCTCCCTCATAAATGTCCAACATTCCTTCCAACTGCCTGTACAGAGCCTTGAATCTCCAGTCTGGCTCTAGCCCCTAGATCCCCAGCTACAGGAATTTCATACAACAGAGACTTAAAAGCTCCCATGAACCATAAAAAGTTAAGAAGCATGGAGGCCAGTGAACATGAACGTGAAGGAGCAACCACCACCCCTGGGCTTCAGGAAGCTATCTGATGATCACCTGCGGCATCAGCCAACCTACCTGTTGATAGATGAGTTCTACAAGTTCTTGCAAAGCATCATCTGTTGTAACCCAGCCATTCAGGGTCTCTGCAAACTGTTCAATTTCAGTTTCAAAACTGCCAGGCTGCTCTGTAAGATGATTCAAAAAATCCTGAACATATTCTGATAGAGTAGGATAATCCTCACAACCATCTTCATAGGATTCCTATAGATGAAAAGTTTTAAAAAAATGTTTTAATCCATGCAACGGGCTAAAATAAACCTGAGGCAGCTTTAAGGTGAGCGGTCTCTAGCACAAATGATTCTTCACATAATAAAATTTATTTTCTTCAATAAAATTAAGCCCACTGAATCATTCTTCCTCGCCCAATGGCCAACGTGTTACATTATAGCAGAAGGACTCCATCTAACTGGGTAGGAAATTGTCTTTTCATTCTGGCAGATTTACAAGACAACCGAGAAAATTTAAACCAATATTTCACTATAATACGGACATCAAAATTTTGATCTATTTATGGGTATAACATCTGAGATCTGCTTCAAAGTGGGAAGGAAGAAGGGGCCAGTGATAATAGAAACAAGAATGGCCACAGGTAGCTAACTGTTGAGGCCATGGGGATTCATTATACCCTTCTCGTACCTTTTTTTTTTTTTTTTAAAGATTTTATTTATTCATTTGAGATACAGAGATAGAGAGAGAGAGAAAGCATGAACAGGGAGAGAGGGAGAGGGAGAAGCGGGCTCCTCGCTGAGCCAGGAGCCCAATGTGGGGCTCGATCCCAGGACCCTGGGATCATGACCCGAGCCGAAGGCAGACGCCTAACCATCTGAGCCACCCAGGCGCCCCCCTTTTCGTACTCTTAAAGGTATTTGAGAATTTCTATATTGGGGAGGAAAAAAAGCTAGTAAGACTTGTCATCTGTTAATCCCCAAAGACAGTGAAATATATATAGTTAAGGGACTATAACATTTCCCCATAGTACATTGTGGCAGACTGCTATATCCAGCCTTCTAGCCAACCTTGACTGGAGTAGTTTCCAGCTAATGTTTTACCACTATCACCTTTGGTAGTTCCCAATCTTTTAATTAATGGCTGGAGGCTGAACAGGGGGAGGACTGCAAAAGGTATCAGATTATCAACCCTATACTTGCAATGCCTGGAATACTAACCAAGCATTCTGAAATTTACTTAACAGTTATGATTTAATAATAACTATATTACTGATGAAAGTTACCCTTTTCCAAAGGAGTCAAATGAGAAACCACACGAAAGAATTATGACCATAATATAGAAGCATTTTATGAAGGGGTTAAGTTCTAAAGCCAGTGAGTGCATAAAGAAAAAATAAAATCACACCCAGTCCAAATTCCCCTTAGGAAAGCTCCATGTTAGATGAATACACAATCTTAGTAGAAAGGCTAATCCAACCAGTTGGTCCTACTATTTTTTCAGCTGACCACCACTTAGAGGCCATGTTATGTAGTTTTTATGTATTTCCAGATATTAAAGTGATACTACTTACCATGACAAACTGCATGTGCTATCACAGGCACTAAGGAAATAGAACCAACTGCAGGAAGAGCGGACTCATGTGCCCGTATCATGCTCACAGCGTTTGCTGAGCGGAACAGGTAAACGGACAGATTAAATGTCTAAGCTCAAAACTGAATCCAAATTAAATGACTCCACTCTAAGGGCGCCTGGCTGGGTCAGCTGGTAGTGCAAGGGACTCTTGATCTCAGGGTCCTGAGTTCGACCCCTACACTGGCTACAGAGATTACTTAAAAATAAAAATTTTTTCTTTTTTTTTTTTTTAAAGATTTTATTTATCTATTTGACAGAGAGATAGACAGAAGAGCACAAGCAGAGGGAGTGGCAGAGGGAGAGGGAGAAGCAGGCTCTGCACTGAGGGACTCCAGGATCATGACCTAAGCCGAAGGCAGTCACTCAACCAACTGAGCCACCCAGGCGCCCCTATTTTAGAGTCTTTTAAAAAATTTTTATTTTTGGGGCGCCTGGGTGGCTCAGATGGTTAAGCGTCTGCCTTTGGCTCAGGTCATGATCTCAGGGTCCTGGGATCGAGTCCCGCATTGGGTTCCCTGCTTGGCGGGGAGTCTGCTTCTCCCTCTGACCCTCCCCCCTCTCATGTGCTCTCTCTCATTCTCTCTCTCTCAAATAAATAAATAAAATCTTAAAAAACAAAAAAAGATTAAAAAAAATAAAAGACTCTAAAATAAATTAACATTGACGAAATTCAAATTTATTCATCATAAACATTACAGCTATGTGACAGAGAATTAAATGAGTTAATGAGTAAATGCCCCTGGACCAGTGAAGAGCACACAGTAAGGCATTAAGTCAGCAAATCTTTACATTTCTGAGAAAATACTAAAACATATTCCAATGCCATAGCTGTGTTCTCATACCTAAAGGATCATATCTAAAAGCATCTAAAAATAAAAAGCTATGCTTCTTGGTATGTAGGATGATACTCTGATTAATGAGCTAATAGCCACCAACTGCCTGTAAAATATGGGACAGTCCCTTTAAGAGCTCTGCAAGGCTGCCTCAATCCCAAAAAACTCTGAAGCAAGCATTACTGTTCCCTGTGCACAGATGGAAGAAATGAGCACAGAGCAGTTAAGTCACTTTGGTTATTCATTCAAAACCCTTCACTGAGTGCCTGCTAAGTGCCAAATACTGTTCCAGGTGCTGGGGGTACGGTCTTGGCATGAATAAAGGAAACAAAGTCCCCCTCCAGTGGAGCTTATCTTCCATCACAGAAGACATCATTCAGATCTTAGAATATACTATGAAAAAAAAAAATGGGCTGAAACTAATGTAACACTGTATATTAACTATACTGGAATTAAAAATTTTAAAAATAAGAACAGAGGGACGCCTGGGTGGCTTAGTTAAGCGTCTGCCTTCAGCTCAGGTCATGATCTAAGGGTCTTGGGATCGAGCCCTACATTGGGCTTTCTGCTCAGCAGCAGAGTCCACTTCTCTCTCTGATCTCTCCCTCTGTGATCTCTCTCGCTTTCTGTCAAATAACTAAAATCTTAAAAAAAAAAAAAAGGAAAAAATGGGAAGAATTCTGAAGAATTAACATCTAATCTGAGAAAAAAGAAAAAAATAAAACCAAAAAACCCAGTCCTACAAATACCTAAGGAGAGAGAGTCTATATATAGTAGGCTCAAGAAGCACGTAGGCCCCAAGGATAGGTGCTTACCTGACACCTTTGAGAAAGAAAAGCCAGAACACAGAAACTGAAGATGGGGCAATAGTTAACATTATCAATGAAGCAGATGGGGAAACTGTGTAGGGTCTTGGGGACAACAGGGAGACTGCCTCAAAAGCCAGTGGAAAAACCATCGGGCAAAGGCATAGAAGCTGGGGTATGAACAAGGAAGGACCATGTACCAACTTAAGTAATTTGTAAAGTCACACAGCTAGTTAGAAGAACTGAGCACAGAACAAACCCTGTACTTCTAACCTCTATGCTATACTCCAAGTAACTGACAAAGGCTTATAACCCAACCTTGACATATGTACGAGAAAAATCCATCTAACAATCTATCAACAAAGAACTGGTTAAATATACCAACTTATATCCACATAATGGATCATATAGTCACCTGACAAGATATATTTATATCAATACAGAAATCACCAATATGTTAAAATGAAAAGAACACAGAACCATTATTCTAGTACAGTTTAATTTTAAGAGATTTATAGACTATGAAAAGCTCTGGAAAGATAGACAAGGGATAAACAGTAGTTAGCCCTGGAGTAAATAAATGCTCATATTATGAATAATGACCATTTTTTATAAAATTGTGAAACCAGTTAAGCATTATAAATGTATACATTAAATAGTTTAATATTAGCCAGGTACATATGTGAGTTTCACAATTAAAAATTAGTTTTTGATATATAGTTTTACAGACTTGTAGTGTCCCTATTAAGAGAAAAGAAGGAACCCTACAGGTCCCAACTGAAGGTATTAATGTCTGATTTCTATCAAATGTCATCCACTGTGGCAAAAATGCAGTCTGGAACACTGATTTGTAGTCTTTTCAATAAGACCAATTCTCTTGTAAGAAAATTTGAAGTCTGGGGGTGCCTAGGTGGCTCAGTTGGTTAGGCATGAGACTCTTGATTTTGGCTCAGGTCATTATCTCAGGCTTGTGAGGTAGAGCCCCGTGCTGGGCTCCCTGCTCAGCGGGGAATCTGCTGGAAATTGTCTCTCTCCCTCTGCTCCTCCCTCCGCTCGCATGTGCACATGTGTGCACGCTCTCTAAAATAAATCTTTAAAAAGAAAATCTGAAGTCTGAAAGTAAAAAAGGAAAGCAGAGCTGCTCTAATTGTAAGCATTACAGGGGATTGATCAAGGTGGTGCCTGGCTGGGTCAGTGGAGCAGGTGACTCAATCTCAGGGTCGTGAGTTCAAGCCCTAGGTTGGGTGTAGAGATAACTAAAAATAAACAACGACAGGGAACTGATCAGAGCCTGTTGTTTCAAGCAAAAAAGGAAGCACAGCATACTGTGGACAGACGAGGACTCTAACATGTTTGAGTTATTTCTCTAGTACCAGATTTTTTAGAGTACAAATTTTGTCAGTCTTCAAAGTGGAGTTAGATGGCCTGCAAGCTGAGGAATATTTAAAGTTTTATGTATTTTTCTTAGAATTCTGACAAGATATTAGGGAGGGACATCAGATAGAAAACATACTTTTCATGGAAGATACTCTGAATGCGTTGCTAGAGATCTAAAGCAGCAGGAATAAAAGGAAACTAATCTGACACTTAGATGGTGGAATAATCAAGACTACTTTAGTTAACTGGATTGAAGGGGGCAAGAGTGTGAAAGAAATGTGAGTCAACACACCGTTTTTTTAGCCTGAGTAGCTAGTTAGAATATAAAAAAAAAGTTTGCAGAAGATAAATTCTTTTTTATACTTGAGTTTCAATGGGAGATCCTCATGAACAAGTCAAAACAAATGGAAACACAAGCCAGGAGCTCAGAGGGAGAATCAGATTTCAGGTATCAGTAGACAGGCAATGGTCAGATTCTAGGTGATAGGATCACCAAGGCAGGTAATAAAATGGAAAAAAGAGAACCTCAGGGACTACAATCTGAGAGAAGGAATGATCTGCAAGTTGCAAGGATGAAGAACCGCCACAGTGCCCAAAGGAAAAAGGAGAGGTGCTCATAGAAGAAGCAAATGCTACAGAATAATTTTACACGTTGAAACCTGAAAGAACAATGGTTGCAGTCCTGGAAGTGAAAGACTATGCACAGAGAGGAAAAAATTAAAATTAGTATCTTAACTATTCAGTTCTTATAAAAAGAAACTTCTAAAAGACTGAAAAGGTACCCTTGGCCCCTAGCACAGGACCTGACACACTGGAACTTGTTACACTGCATAGATCATACTGTGGTCAAAGTCTACTAGGATAGGGATTGAGAGAACAATAGATTTTCAGACCCAAAGAGCACCAGTAAAGGTCACAAAAAGTAGTATCAATTCAATTAGGGGGATCAGTCAGCGGAGGTTTGAACAGTGAGAAGTAAATACTAACCGTGAATACTTTTACATTTTGGAGAACATCACTATTGAAAGGCAGAACACAAACAGGCAGTAACTTGAGGGGAATGTTCTTAGAAAAAAGCTGGGAGAGACGGGGGAGGGGGACAGAGAGAGAGAGAGAGAGTGTGTGTGAGTGTGTGTGGTGGGGGGATTTTGGTCTCTTAATAAATGCCTTTTTTTTTTTAAAGATTTTATTTGTTCATTTGACAGAGAGAGAGCACAAGCAGGGGGAGCAGCAGAGGGAGAAGCAGGCTCCCCACAGAGCAGGGAGCCCAATATAGGGCTCGATCCCAGGACTCTGGGATCATGACCCGGGCTGAAGGCAGACACTTAACCAACCGAGCCACCCAGGCGCCCCTTAATAAATGCTTTATGAATTCCTATGGAGAATTTTTGGTTCTTGTTGGTGAGCTGTGATTAAATATTCAAGATGTAATGGTTTGTCATCAGAGAAGAAGCAATGGGCAGGAGTAGATAGATACAGCAACTCCCTGGTAAGAAGGCACGGAAAGCAAGAAATTCTAGCAGTGGGATTACAGGAAGGACTCTAAGATAAAAGGGTTCAGAATTTTGGAAGGGTTAAGAAAGCACAACAAAAGACTATCATAAAGGCTTTTTAGAAAAAAGCATGAAATCTTGGGGTGCCTGGGTGGCGCAGTTAGTTAAGCAGCCAACCCTTAGTTTCAGCTCGGGTCATCATCTCTAGGTGGTGAGATCGAGCCCTGTGTTGAGCTCTGCCCTCAGTGCGGAGTCTGCTTGGGACTCTCTCTCCCTCTCCCTTTGCCCCTCCACCCCGTACTCCTTCTCACTCGCTCTCAAACCTTAAAAAAAAAAAAAAAAGCATGAACTCTTGTGAAGAGATCCAACTCAAAGATACCCAGATTTTCTTATAAATATAAAAGCAGACTCAAGGCATTTCTGTCCATTTTGTTCACTGCTGTATTTCCAGTGGTAATTGTCCAACTTCCTGTTGAATGAGTGAGTGAATATAGCTAACTCTGGATTATGGCTACTACAAAGAGAAGTCTCCCTCACAACAAGACCTTATCCTAAGAGTCAAGGGAAAAACGAGGATATTGCTATTCTGTGACTAAGTAGACAGAGAAAAATGCTTAGCATTGACAAAGGGTAAAAGGGTAAATGAATAAGACTAGACAGTGCACGAGGGCAGAGGTAGCAAGCTTGAATGACTATAGAATCAAGGTGGAATACAAACAAATGAGACAAGCCAGTGAGCAATTAGAGCTCACACACATTCCATCTAAGGGGGCTGCGTCCATTCAGCTCCAGACAATCTTTGCTCTATTAAAGTTAACAGTCCGGGGGCGCCTGGGTGGCTTAGCTGGTTAAGCATCTGACTTGATTTCAGCTCAGGTCACGATCTCAGGGTGGTGAGACTGAGCCCTGCCTCGGGCTCCATGCTCAGCTCAGAGTGAGCTTGAGATTCTCTCTCCCTCTTCCTGTGTCCCTCCCCTGACTCGGGCTCCCGTTCTTTCTCAGTAAATAAGTAAATAAAGTAATAGTCTGGCACAAACACATATTAGGATTTCAAGAGAAACCAGAAAATTCAGATTTGCAACATCTATTTAAGTGTTGGTAGCTTATTAAAAGGTGCCCCTCCCCCCCAAAAAAGATACACCTGCAGGCCACACATGAGTCATGGGCTCCCAGTATGCAATCTGCTCTGGCGGACTGAACAAAGAAGCAGCTGATCTAACAGAGGATATCAAGGAATGCCTAACAGAGGACAGTGGCTCAAAGTAAGTGAACATGGCTCAATACACTGCTCTGTAGCCCAGGAGTCACTTGAACTATGTAGAACTATGTAAACTAGTTTAGTACAGACTCGGAAAAAAAAAAAATTGCATCCCTCCTATCATAAAATGGCCCAGGTAAATAGGGAGACAAAGAGAAAAGTTTTGTGGCTATTTGAAAGTAAGTACTCTTTACTATTTTATCCAACTACTCACAGCTCTCTAATCATTCCTTTCCTGAGCCAAATACAACTTTTTGGCAAGAACCCAAGCTGTTCTCACTTCTACTTTACATGACTGACAGCCCCTTTCACCCCAAATCAACTGCTCTTCCTGCTTGCCTATACTTTCTCCTTCCCAGCCCCAAAGCTTTTTCCTGGGCAGTCTAAGATGCATGGAGTTTCTGAAACATAAAATACAGCTTTTCCATACCTTTCCTTTCAAAAAATGGAAGGAAAGCACTGGCCCCCAGCCCCAAGAAGTAACAAAGCGGGTGTACCACCGTTAGTTAACAGGTAAATATAAATTAAAACCAGAAGTAGATGCCACACACCTACCAAAATGGCTAAACTTAACAGAAAATTCCAAATGCTGACAAGGAAGCAGAGCAACTGGAAATCACACACTACTCAGAATGTACACTGGAACATCTCTTTGGAAAACTATTTGACAGTCTCTCTTAAAGTTGGCTACCAGGGCACTTTGACTCCATTAGGTGTAGAGATATAGAGATCATTTAAAAGTAAAATCTTTGGGGGAGGAGGGGAGGAGAAGAGTTGGCTACCCTATGTCCTTGTGATTCCACTCCTAGGTATGTACCCAACAGAAACAAGGGCAAATAACCATCAAGACATGGATAGACAGACTAGCAGCCCTATTCACAATAGCCTAAAAGTGGAAACTACTCAAGTGTTTATCAAGAGACAAAGCAGAAGAAGAAAAAAAAAAAAAGACAAATGGGACTGTGGTATATTCACACAGTGGAATGCTAGGAGAGTAAGTCACCTTCAACTATGAGCTACAAGGTGGATTAATTTAGATGTTCAATAAAATTGTGCAAAGATATTCTGTAGGACTCCAATTATATAAACTTTGAAAACAGGCAAAACTTGTTAAGTCAAAATAGTAATTAACCTAGGAGAGCAGTAATGATTAGAAGGGGTTGGAAGGAGTTTTCGGGATGCAGATGACATTCCTTTTCTTGATTTGGATGCTGGTTGCCTAAATGTTCACTTCGTGAAACTTTGAGCTAACCTTTATGTACACTATTCCGTGTTAAATGTCAATAAAACTAAGAAATTAGGAAACATAAGACTTCTGCTAAAGTATCATCATTTCTTTAACCCTCTAATGGTTCCTGCCCCACTTATATACAATTAATTGCTATGCATTTACCCAGGACACATTCCTTTCTATATATCCCAGTTGTGCTATTTTCTCCCACTGAAGAAAAATGTGATCAATTTTTTTAAGTTCTTATACTGACAAAGATGAATCTGAAAGTTTAAAAGTTCTTCAGAGCTGTGTAAACACTTTATCAAAACCCTTTAGGGCGCCTGGGTGGCTCAGTTGGTGAAGCGACTGCCTTCGGCTCAGGTCATGATCCTGGAGTCCCTGGATCGAGTCCCGCATCGGGCTCCCTGCTCGGCAGGGAGTCTGCTTTGCCCTCTGACCCTATCCCCTCTCATGTGTTCTCTCTCATTCTCTCTCTCTCAAAATAAATAAATAAAATCTTAAAAAAAAAAAACCCTTTATATTTCTTCATAACAGTAGTTAATTAGAACCAGAAACACTTCTGTTTTAACAGAGCCCAGATGTGTAACATTCAAAAGCCTACCTCAAATTAGTCTGCAGCAAAACCATGGTTTAATTTACCCTAAATGAATATTCAGCTATCTTGCTAAAATCAAATTTTAAGTCAGCTTTGCCAGGCCATTATTCTACAGATTGTCCGATAAGCCTGAACACAAATTTTAGTTTTATATATTGAAAGCGCCCTTAACCATATCCTGTATTAGCCTAAAAATACTCTAAAGATACTGGGAATACAGCAGTGAATAGAGACAAGGTCTACTCCTAATTTACATTCTGATATTTAAAACATGGTAACTACAAAATATATTCCCGAATCAGTTTTGGTTCCTCATGAGTTCAAAGAATTCATAATAAAAGGTTTTTATGTGTAGTAGGAAGCACCAGCATACTGATAATAAAATACAGTAATAACCACATTATCCCAGTAATATTAACTCAGAATTGTGGTAAAAAGGCCTACTTACTGTATAATTAGAAGAATAACCTGATGGGTAAAATTCAGGAGCATTCGCAGACAGTTTAGACATTAACACAGGAGCTACAACCACCTGGGGTTTAGCCATTGCTGACTCCAAGTTCTGCTGTGGGATATTATCCTGTGAACTAGGTGGAGCTCTCAGGGGCCTCGTTTGTTCTGAGAAAGGAAAAATGAGGTGTTAGACGCATTCCTTCCTTTGTATAGCAACTTACTATCTCCTGAAAAACCAAATGAGAAGGGCAGGCTTTTAAGAGTTAAACGAGAACGGTCACGAATTTTAAGGTTAACGCCAGGATTTTTACAGAGAGCCTGCAAAAAGGAACAATAGACTTGCTTTAGCTCATTTGTGGCTATACCTGCCTCCTAAATGAAGGCTTGAGGGCTTTCTTTCCTCTTCTCTTAAGGAGTCGATTACAAAGGTGGTTGCTCGCCTGAGGTCTCCCTTTCCAGGGCTGGGAGGGGGAGGCGATTTTTACTTCCTCCCCGGACGGCCGAACTCGGAGACCGCGCACTGGGCCCCTCCCCCAGCCGGGGCGCACAAAGGATTCCTGCAGCCACCTTCCAAACCCGTTCCCGGCCCGTCCCCACCCCGTTAACAACTGGGCCCCTCGGGGAATGCTTTCGGGGAACGGGGGGGGGGCGGGGAACAGCGCGCCGACCTCGGCGCGCGCGGAGGGCCGTGGGGAAGCGTTGGCCCAGGAGGACGGGGTCCCCTAGAGCGGCTCCGTACCTGGGAGCGCCCCGGGCCGGGGAGGCCTCTGGGGCCCGGCGGGGACCTCGCACTGGGCCCCTGGCGGCGGGGCCGTCCTGGGCTGGCGCAGCGGCGGCGGCTGCAGGAAGCCCGGGGCTTTGGGCTGCGGCGGCGGCTGGTGCCGCGGCCGCTCAGCAGGCCCCGCTCCGTTCGGGAAACCGCCGCCCTCAGGCCCGCCCCCTCCGCGGCCCAGGCCCCGGCTCCGGCCCCGACCAGCACCTGGGGCCCGATCGAAACCGTCCGACATGCTCCTCCTCCTCCTCCTCCTCCTCCGCCGGGGGCCGCTGCCGCTGCGCTCGGGAGAGGACGCGGGGGAGGCGCCGCGGGCCGGCTCTCACCGCCGCGCTCACTCGGCCCTCATGGAGGAGGAGGGCGGCGGGCCCCTGCTCGGCTCCTCGACGCTTCGGGCGGAGCGGACGGCAGTCGGAGCACCCGCCGAACCCGCCGCTCCAGAGCGCCCGCCCCCCGCGGCTGCCCTCGGCTTTTCGATTCTCCCCAAAACCCGGCTCCCCCGCCTTCGGCGCGGCGGGGGCGAAGGCGGGTCACAGCGGCCCCCCGCGGCCCGGAGGCCCCGGGCGCGCCCGCCGCGTCTGCTCCCGTTCGCGACCGGCTGGGAGCCGCGGCCCATGAGGCCGCCCGGGAAGCGGCGTCCCGGCCGCCTGACAGCCCTGCTTGCTGCGGGGGCCGGGCGGGGGGGTGCATTTCGTTCCCCACGGCCGGGCCGAGGGCAGAGAGGGGCGCTTACCCCAGGCGGGCCCGACCTACGCGGTGGTTCTCAGGAGAGAAGTGCGAGACTGACGGTTGATGCCAGGAAAATAAAAATACGGGGGGAGGGGGCGTGGAGGCAGCGCCAGGGTTCGCGGACGCGCACCTCCGTGGGCGCGCAGGTGTGTTCAATGACCCTGCGCCGGCCGGCCGGAGGACTGGCGGGAGGACTGGTCCGGAAGGAGGGCTCCGGGAGAAGCTCTGCCACCGGCCTCGTCGGCCACGGCGGAGGGAGGGAGGAACACAGTCAAAATGCAGCCCCCTTTCCCGCCCCTTTTGCAATTCACATCAGGTGTTTATCCCACCTTCTGTGCCCAGGCTTCAGTCTTCTCCCTTTTCTCTTCCCGTCCAGAAAGGTTCTGAAAATGCACTACCTTTCAATGAAATTCCCCTCTTTTTCGTCGCCCACCAGTTCTGTCCAATAAAAATACAGTGCGAACACAAATACAAGCTACTTATGTAATTACAAATTTTCTAGAAGCCACGTTAATGAGTAAAGAAACAGGTGCAATTATTTTTAACGATCTATTTTACTTACCTCAATTTCTCCAAAATGGTAGCATTTCAGCATATAACTAACACAAAAGTATTAATGAGATGCTTTTCCTTTTTTGGTACTAGTCAAAATCCACTGTGTATTTTACACCTTCATGTCTCCGTTGGAATTAGGCACATTTCAAGTGCTCAGTAGGCACATGTGGCTAGTGGCTACCGCATTGCACAACAAAGTTCTTGACGTTATCTATGTGTAAATTATTGTTTTTGTCAGGACTGACAGTGATGAAGCCAAATGAAGGATGAATATAAGTAGTGAGAAGGAGGGAAAAAAATCAATTTCTTTACGGTTATATTGAAACATCCTCACAAACTTCGCTTGTGGGCCTTTATATTAAGCCGGGCTTAATGTTTTCCAATCTTGTCATCTTGAGAATCATTTCAATTAGGAACAAAACTCTTGTTAACAATTTTCTCTTCGTGCTAATAAAAAAAAACATTAGCATCTTTACCTAAATGAGTGAGAAGAATGGCCTTAATGAGGGCAATCATAAATAAATGATTCATGCTGTTGATTGTTGACAAAAATAATGAAGTCAGGGAAGGAAGCCAACAAAAAGTACGGTTCCTTGGTATAGAGAAAGAATGTATGAAGCCAGAGCTTGGTTTAGATCCTGGTCTTGATCCTTAATGCCTTCGTGATCCTGGGTAAGCTAGGGATTTAGTTTCTCTGAGCCTCATTTTCCTCATCTTTAAAACAGTAAGTATGTTGTAGTACCCAGCATATATTACAAAGACAAGATTACAGTGTAAAAATTAGATAAGGTGATACTCATCACATTAAAATCCATTCTTTTATATTACTTCTTACCAGGACTTTTCTCTTCAGTAGGAAAGAAAAACGGTATACTCAGACACAGTGAGAGTGAGTTATCCTGATGTTCCACTGAAGTAGGAGCCCTAATCCTGTCCCAGGCTTTTGTTTGCATTCATCACCCTTTTGTTCTCCTTAGAACTTTGATGATGACTAGCACTTTTTTTACACCTGAGACATTCTTATTTGAGAATAAGGCTACTCCGCATCTGTGGTGATATCAGGGTATCTTTATAGCCACCTTTTGTTAGATAAGGTGGTTAATTAAGATGCTATCCTTTGCCTTCTCCCAATTTACTGTTATGTAACTTTAACCCTATTCTTATGAGATGGCAAAGGTGGCCTTAGAACCTGAATGGATTTAGCTTCATTATAATAACACTAGGTAATACTTAGTACGTGCTAGCCACTGTTTCAAGAGCTTTACTTTATCCTTTTATTTAATCCTCACATCCTGTGAGATAAGCATTCCAATTATCCCCATTGGACACCAAAGGTTGCCAAGATATATCCATCTCGGGACTGTTATAGGGCTAAGTGGAGGTGGTAGGTATTGCAAAATGCCAAGAGGCCAGGGGCACCTGTCTGGCTTAGTTGGTAGAGCATGCAACTCTTTTTTTTTTTTTTTAAGAGAGGGAATGGCAGAGAGAAGAGGGGAGAGGGAAAGAGAGAATCTTAAGCAGGCTTGAGACACCCAGGTGCCTCATAGAGCTTGCAACTCTTGATCTTGGGGTTGTGAATTGGAGCCCCATATTGGGGGAAAAGATTCCTTTAAAAAAATGCCAGGAGGTCACACACACACACAAACATAAGTACTATAAAGGACTCTCTGGAGAGAATCATCAAAAAAGCTCCTTCTCTACATTTATGCCTTTCTTATTGATTTATGAGGGTAGGGCTAAATTTGGAGAGTTGGAAAATATGTTATAATATGGGAAAAGGACCCGCTGTAAACCATGGAAAGGAAAGGATTTGTTTCCTTAAACTGGGTTTAAGGGGCGCCTGGGTGGCTCAGTCGTTAAGCGTCTGCCTTCGGCTCAGGTCATGATCCCAGAGTCCTGGGGTCGAGCCCCGCATCGGGCTCCTTGCTCCGTGGGAAGCCTGCTTCTCCCTCTCCCACTCCCCCTGCTTGTGTTCCCCCTCTCGCTGTGTCTCTCTCTGTCAAATAAATAAATAAAATCTTAAAAACAAAAAACAAAAAACTGGGTTTGAGAGATGTTTTCCAGGAAGACTTACCAAGCTGTCTAGTCACTTATGATAGTTGTACCTTGGAAAAACTGTGTCTTGGCACTTAGCATGCTAGATTGTTAATATTTGGTCTATTCTCTATCCTCTGCATTAAACTACTTCTGAAGTCAGAGGACACCTTTTTTTTTAAAGTACCTGTACACCCATTGTGGGTCTTGAACTCACAACCCCAAAATCAAGAGTTGCATGCTCTACCAACTGAGCCAGCTAGGCACCCCAACCAGAGGACACCTTTTCATCTCTACACCCTTAGATCTTAGCCAAGTACTTGGTATACAATAGGCTTTTAATGGTGATAGGAATCACCTGCAATGCTGCTTTTTCCTTAGGTCATTAGTATAGTGATGATAAAAAAAAGACTGGTTTTCTTTTACAGTTTTTGGAAGACTTAAATTTAAAAATGAATATTAAAAAAAGAAAAAATTAAAAAAAGAAGATTGGCTTTCATAAATCTAGCAGAACTTAATGACTTCAAGATCATCATTGGACTGTATGGGAGTAGACAGTGCAGCCTTTCAAGTCCAGGTAAGAGGAGAATGTTTTCATAAATATGAGGGAGAAAATATTTGCAAGCCATATACTGACAAAAGACTTACATTTAGGGGTGCCTGGGTGGCTCAGTTGGTTGAGCGTCTGCCTTCAGCTCAGGTCATGATCTCAGGGTCCTGGGATCGAACCTCAGCAGGGAGTCTTCCTCTCCCTCTGCCCCTCCTCCCCAACCCCCAGTGATGCTCTCTCTCTCAAATAAATAAATAAAATCTAAAAAAAAAAAAAAAAGGCTTGTATCTAGAATATATGAAGAACTCTCAAAACCCAACTGTGAAAGAATAATCCAGTTAAGAAATGGGCAAAATACATGAATAGACATTTCACTGACGAGAATGTACAGATGGCATTTAAGCCCATAGGGGAAAATGTTCAACATCATTAGCTATCAGGTAAATGAAAAAACCCCAATGAGATTTCACTACCTACTTATCACAATGGTTAAAGTAGAAAATAGTGACAACACCAAATGCTTGCAAGAATGTAGAGAAACTAGAAACTGAGTCACTCATACATTGCTGGTGGGAATGTAAAATTGGTATAATCATTCTAGAAACTAGTTCCTGGCAGTTTCCTTAAAAATTATACGTATAACTACTATACAACCCAGAAATTGCACTCCTGGATATTTGTGATGGTTAACTTTATGTGTCAGTTTGACTGGTCCATGGGATGCCCAGATATCTGGTTAAACATTTTTTTCGGGACATGTCTGTAAGGGTGCTCCCGAAAGAGATTAGCATTCAAACCAGTAGACTGAGTAAACCAGATGGCTCTCCCCAAAGTGTCATCTTATCCACTGAGGGCCTAAAGAAAGCAAAAAAGAGAAGGAAGGGAGAATTCCATCTCCCTGTCTGATTGCTTGGGCTAGGACATTGGTCTTTTCACTTTGGACTGAGACTTGCACCATTGGTGCTCTGGTTTTCAGGCCTTCAGATGTGGACTGTAACAATACCACTAGCTTTCCTGGGTCCCCAGCTTGCAAACAGCAAATCGTGGGTTGTTTCAGCCTTTATAATCATGTGAGACAAATCTGAGGATTGGTTTTGAGTATTACAATGTCATGGAATTTGTGTGCTAGTTGGTTTCTTTTCTATTTCCTTTTTGGAATGGGAATGTCTGTCTTATGCCTGTCCCACCATAGTATTTTGGAAGCACATAACTTAACTGGTTTCATAGCTTCACAGCTGGAGAGGAATTTTGCCTCAGGATGAATGTCTTTGAATTTTGCCTTGAATCTCAGTCATATCTGATTTAATGATATTTATTTATTTATTTACTCCGTGTGAGGACACAGCAAAAAGATGGTCATCTGCAAACCAGGAAGGGGGCTCTCACCAAAACCTGACCATGCTGGCACCTGATCTTGGACTTCCTAGCCTCCAAAACTGTGAGAAATAAATTTGTTCTTTAATCCACACAGTCTGTGGTATTTTGTTAAAGCAGCTCAAACTAAGCATTTTCCCCAGAGAAATGAAGATTTATGTTCACACAAAACCATGTACCCAAATTTTAATCACAGCTTCATTCATACTATTCCCAAACTGGAAACAACCTACATGTTCTTTAATGGAGGAATGGTTAAACTGTG